CACTTAAATCCACCTCATTTAAATCTCGCTTGAATAAAAGGAGGCAAGAATCGCACCCTCTAGCCATAGGAGTGCTTGTGGGAAGGAGGAATGGGTTAAACCTCACAAAATAAGAATCTGGAGATGCGATCCCGAAACTACTGAATTATTAGTGGTACATGAAATCAGGACAATTAGGAAATAAAAGAATTGGGCAGGTGACAAATTAGCGTAGCAATTTTATTTCAAGTAAAGCTGAGGATTTGGGCTTAAGCCTATAGATAAACAATGCTGCAAAGATTTCACCATTGAATTAAGCCTATCCCAGTGACAGATGGCTCTGCAGGTGGATGAAATGGCAAAACTTGGCCTATTTAGCAGATAATATGGTGGAAGATGGAGGGTTGTACTGTGACCCTCTTGGACTCTTAGCATTTTTGATTTTGTAGGTCCCTAGCTCTCCCACTGCCCCCCCAAAACTAAAAATTCTGTCTTGTGGCTTCACTGGTAACAAAGCAAATATAATCCAAGAAAGTCTATGTCATAATTTTGTGCTGACTTTAAAAGATCAGAAAGCATTTTCATGGACCCTAAAAGAGCATGTCAGTCATGCGGAAGGCTGCCAGGAATAGAAGGTGGGGCCCTGGGAGTGGGGGGCCAAATACCTGTGAAAACCTCTCACGAAAACTTCACAGGCAGCCTAGCCTAGATCAGAGTCATGTACCCGCAGATTCTTGTACCCGCAGATTCCAGCCTGATTATGGGACCCAGAGATAGTCTGGAGCCCCAGAATAATGTCACCAATGTTTCCCAATTTCTGCATGTCTTCAAGAATGCTCACTGAGATCTAAAGTGTTGTCTTGGCAACACCCCAACACCACCTGCTAGATTCTCAGTTCGGGGAGAATGACCCCACAAGGATGACCCTCACCAGGACAGGGCAACAAGATTCAACCCTACCCATAAGAAATCCTCCAGGTTCAAGGTGTGGTTGCAGGTGCTGGGAGTAAGTAGGGCACCACTGTTATGACAAGCTTGAACAAAGAGGCCTAGGGCTCAGGGAAGGCATTCAGTCTTCCAGAACAGCTCTCTTCATAGGCATTTCTGGTCATCAGGGAAGCACCGCCATTGAAACAAGAAACAAGCATTGAAATTGCCTGGCTTTGATATTAACATGTCTCAGTGGGGTCATGTGATGTCCTCCCATGAACTGTCCTCCATTGGTGGCAAATCTAAGCCAACCCAGCCAATGACTGGGAGTTTCCAAGCTCAGACACTCACCCTGACATTTAAAACGCTTCAGTAGTTTCTGTTTCATGTACCATGGAAACCTGATGAATAGATGATCTGAGCGCTCCAAGCAAACAGAGTCATTCTGTCTCACTGAGCAGTTAAGGAAGCAGGCTGTGTGAAATTATAAGGAATCCCAGAGGTCATAGGTGTGGGCAGGCAACACATGTAACTCATTCTCTGGGGGCCTCTGATCATTTGTAAAGTAAGAATACTATTCCCATTTCAAAGGTTACCATAAAGATTAAATAGAGCAGCATAGGGAGACATCCAGCCTGGCATATGCTTGAATACTGAGTAGAGGTTAGTTTCTGTGCAGGTCTAAGTGTACACACACACACACACACACACACACACTCCATCTCATGCCCTATTCTGCCGTGTGCACAGCCCCAGTTCCACACAATTGGAAGGAAAACCAACAAGCAAAACTTCCATGGCCAGGATGATGATGGCAATGGTGAGGGTGTCCGTCCCAGGCACTCTCTCTGGGAAACTTGTCTAATGTCATTGCCAAAGATCTCAGAGGCTTATTTGGCCTGAGCCTGCCTGTTGTGACCCCTCCTCTGGAGGCTGGAGGGGCAGCATGCCCTCCCCCTGACCTCACACGATAGGCAAGGTGGTTTTGGGACGAGCACATCACCTAGCAAGCTAGAGTGTTCTCCTGCCACACAGAAATATTACTTTTCCCTTAGTACATTAAAATCCCCAAGCAGTTTGTGCTAGTACAAGTGAGAACCTGTAGACTAATTAAATTGCATCTTCAGTCCAGGGCCTCCATTGTCCTCTACATTCCTGTAGTCCATTGACATGCACCTCTGGAATTCAGACCAGCAATTTAAACTGCACGTATCCAAGAGAGGACTTTTCTGTTCCTTTCCCTTAACCCCAGTGCTGTCCCCAACCCCACTCCTAGCCTCCCACTGAGAAGTTGGTACAGCCTCATCCAGCTGTTCATGCCGGAGTCCTCTGGTCTACTTTTTACCCCATTCTTATCTAATCTGTCAACTGGTCTAGTTGGATATGTCCCCAAATTTCATACAAAAGATGTAGTCTTCTCTCCAAACTTACCTCTGTCTACCATGTCACATCCAAGTCTAAGCTGGTATCACCTCTAGCCTGGGGTTTACAGAAATGACTTCAGATCTGTCTCAATAGTACTAGTCATAATTCTTTCTCTATACATTAGAATGGTAGAATTTTCATCCTAAAGTTTATCTTATTTATGGGTATGAAACTGTCTCTATGTGGGTGTCCACAGAGGCCAGAAGAAGACACCAAATCTCCTGGAGATCCCCAGGAGTTATAAGTGGTTGTGAGACTTCTCATATAGGATCCAAATTTGCATCTTCTGTAAGTATAACAAGCACTATTAATCTCTGAGCCACTCTTAATCTCTTCTTTAAGGCAAGGTTTCATGAATCCCTGGCTGACTTTGAATTCACCATGTAGTAGAGGTTGACCTTGGACTCCTGATCTTCTTGCCTCCACCTCCTGGAGTGCTGAATTACAGGAGTACGACACCACAGTCAGTTTATACAGTGCTGGAGGCCAACTCCAAAGCTTCATGCATGCTAGGCAAGCACTCTACAAACTGAGCCCCAGTCCCAGACCAAGGATGGCTGAATCAAACCACACTATGTTGTATCCCACATGGGAAGTTCCTGGGGCTTTCCTTCCCACCTAGTTCCAAGGCTTTGTCTTTCCCCTGCATCTCTGTCTCACCCTTCATCTCTGCCTCCCCCCTGCATCTTGTCTAACCCCTCATCTCTGACTCATCCCTGCATCTCTGTCTCGACCCTGCTCTCCACTCTCAGCTACACTCCCCTTCTCAGCTTTACCATGCCAAGGTCACCCCTTCTGTGGAGGTCACCATGCTAGCTCTTTTCTCCTACATCCTCTTGGCAGGTGTCTCCTTTGTGATTGTCCACACACTCCAGTCCTTACCACCTCAAAACTAAGCTTAAGTCACTGTGTCACCACACCCCGTTCGCTACATTAGTGTCCATTTCTGGAGGTTACCCCATTTCTTAAGTTTCAAGTGCCTGGACAAGCATGGAGCAGAAGACACTGGGAACTGAGGCAGCAGGCAGAGGTATGTGCAGATGGTGAGGTCCAACGTGAACCTGACCAAAGACTGGATTGGAGTCTGGGCCTAGACTTCGAGCCCTGCTGTGCTCAAGACAAAATGGACAACAAGACAGCCTTGAACACCCAAGTGCTATTCACGACATCATTCTCTCTCTCTCTCTCTCTCTCTCTCTCTCTCTCTCTCTCTCTCTCTCTCTCTGTGTGTGTGTGTGTGTGTGTGTGTGTATGCACATGCACGCATGCACGCATGTGTTAGCATCTCAAACTTAATCTGTACAGACAGAACTTAAAACCTCCCTGGCCATCTGCTGGGCTCTACAGCTGCGCTCCCTTCGCATGCCTACATCACATCCAGCAGGACACCCGCTCCCCACCACACCCATCAAGTCTACATCTGGATATCATCATCGTCACCACCATCATGTGCCACTGTCATGATTTGTAGCTCTGGTTCACCCTCCCCCCAAGCTCTTCATTCTCCATAGCAGCCTTGTAAATTCTGAAATGCAATCCCATCACCCCCTGCTCAAGTCCATAATGACTTCCCTCCCAATTAGAAGCCTCGGGACACCTCTCCTGGTGGCTCCAGGGCCCTCAGAGCCTGGCACAACTGTTCCTTGTCCTCACTCCCCACAAGGCTTCTACTACATCCTGAGAAAAGTTAAAGCTGTGGACTCCAAGGAACCCTGCTCTTTGGGCAAGCCACTTAAAATCTTCATGTCTCACTCTTCCCATTAATAAAGCAATGGTGATGATGATGGTGGTGGTGATGATGATGGTGATGATGGTGATGATGATGATGGTGGTACTGGTGATGATAATGGTGACAATGATGCCTTCCTGAGATGACACAAAATTCCAAGCCTATAAGAACAACCTCCAGCCCACAGCAAATCTGTGTTCACATTAGTGACTTTAAATAAACTTGTATGTAGGGTATTGCTGAGTATGGGAATTTTGAAATAATTCACTGTCTTTCACCCTCAGACTTTAGGGAGTGGGAACAAGTAAGTACAGGGAAGAAAAATCAAGAACAGAGGATTCACTTGCAGGTTGTTATAATCAAGCTTTAAAGACACCATTGAGGGAACTGAGAGTTGACTCAGTTGTTAAAACAACACTGGCTGCTCTTCCAGAGGAGCCAGGGTTCAAGTCCCATGACCCACATATTGACTCCTCTGTAATGGTTCCAGGGAGTCCAATGCCCTCTCTGGCTTCCATGTGCACTAGACACACCTGTGGTACGCAGACATGCATGAAGACAAAATAACCATACACATAAAATGGATTAATAAAAAAATTAAAGATACACTTGAGGTCTTTCATCACATTCATGAGAGAATCTCCGTTTGTGGAAAAACAAGAAAAACTGGAGAAGGGACCAGTCTCACTAGTGTGGACAGCATGGCATTGTTTTGTAGGCTGGTTAGTTATTTAAGTATAATCATAATCATCTGATTAAAAGTCACTTTTCGTAGATTAGCCTGAATCTAAACCCAACATGGAGAAACCAGTCGCTTCAGATAGCCACAGGAATTCTTGACTCACTCATGCCAGAGAAACAGATGCTGCCAAGAGCTGTCAAACCTCTGTGGGCCAGGCAGGCAGGGCTGTCGCGACTATAAATCGCCAGTGTTGGCTGTGCCGCTGGCATTTGTTCTCTGGGACCAGCAGGTGCCCACGCTCCTGCTCCGGTGTACCTGAGATACATAGGCAGACACGTCTGCAGTGGGGCATTTGTTTCATTTTTGTGTTCCTGGTTTTCCATTGACACGATGCCTTCCATTTTTCGTTCTGACGAGCTGATTTTTTTTGTGAATGGAAGAAAGGTAAGTTTCTGGCATGACTAATGAGATTTTCATTCTTGGATGGTAAAAGTCAGACTTACTCTTCTCCACTGGGCTTCAGCTCCTTAGTGGCTCATTATATCCACTTTGGCATCCAATTATGAAATCGTGAGTGTCTGTTTGCTTTGCATTCTCACTTGGAATCAGTGTTTTTTTAAAAAAAAAAGAACATTTTATTTGTTGTAAGGTGACAAGCGTGAATTCCGACAGGGCTGCTTCATGCTGCAGGGTGAGTGGCTGACATGTGTCCCTTCTGCGTTTGCTGACTGTGAGCTCCACCTGAGTTCACTAATACCCTTTCACAGGAAAGAGACAGGACGCTGAGGGAAACAACAGCAAATGACTCTCAAATGATAGCGATTCCCTCAGCCTAGCCCATCACCCAGGCAGACAGTTCAGTCGATTGGCAGTCTCTGTAGAGGACAGGGCCGGAAGATGTTCAACCTTGTTCTTCAGGAGAAAAGTAAGCATGTGGGGAGCTTGGAGTGCTTTACAGCCCGAATTTATATTTACTCATGTGTGGCAATTAACAAGAAAAAAAACAGGTAAAAGTAATTTCTAACGGTTCTTGTTTCTCACACCTTGGTGATGCTGTATTGCTGAGTTTTTTAATGAAAGAAACAAAGCACCAACAAAGGCAAAAACTCTTAGCAATTTTTCCAGTCAAATAGTAGAGAAAAGGTCATTTCCGAGACCCTGTAAATTTGTAAACACAGAATGAGAGACAGAGAGGGAGGGAGAGAGAAAGAGACAGATAGAGAGATGGAAAGAAAAAAATCAGAACAGAACAGAAAGAAAGCCCGGTGTAGCGATCTGGAATGACCTGAAAGAACCTAGCACATCAGCAGCGTAATTGCTAAGCGACAGTGTCAGGATTGCAAGACTGAGGTGGGGGGGAAGTGGCTTTTGTTGATTCGTCCTTAAATGTTGTTTAATGTTTTAATGCTAAAATACATACATGTTCCCCAAACATCAGTTTCCAGTTTCTTGGATGCATAACTGAAATGTAGGTGCTCTAAGCTCATTTTATCTGACATATTTCTAGGACAAATTGTAGACGTCAGAAAAGGTGGCAGTCTACACAACCCTGAAGAAGGTATTAGGCCACCACCGGTTCTTTTCTTTGGACCCAGAGCTCAAGCTGACTGAGGCACAGTGTCCATCAGTACTCATCATCCCACAGGCTCCCCAGGGTGCCGCTCTGCTTCCGGTGTTGGCGTTTCTTCCTTTCCTTCTGCCTCCCTCCCCCATATGCTTTTCCGATCATCTCAAACGTGTCTGTTTGTCATCTGCTTTTCTTGTGCCCACTTAGAAATGCGGCTGTTTCCTTGAGACAGAGGCCCTGTTTGTGGGGCATGAATGCCTGGCTTCTGAAGTTGTGAAAACAGTGGCATAGGATGCGAACCCCCATTTGTTTTGATTTGGGGACTCAGCACTGGTCTTGGATTAGTATGCATTCCTCTGTGAAAACTTCCTCATCAGAGTGTCGTTTCTAGGCTGTGCTTACCTTTCGCAGGCTTGTTCTCATGCTGGAGGCACGGGCACCTTTTGGGTCCCCCCCAAGCCCTCTCTCCCAAAACACTTGCATGAACATTCTTCCGAATGACTCCTCACAGACGCTGCCAGGTGACTGTGAAATCTCAGCAAGGCTAGTCCACAGGTCCGGCCTGGTGGCTTTCCAAAACCCAGTACAGACTCATTCCCCACAGGTGGTGGAATGCTGCGTGCTTTCTCTGTGGAAACATACGTTTTGTCGGTATCTGGCATACAGGCGCTTGCTGCAGACTAACTTCCTGCATTTTGCTACTCTGCTGTTGTCTCTGCATTGTTTTCAATTACCAGATGGAGATTTGGGGGGCGCTTGCCCCCCATTTCATATGCTTCCTAAGAAGAGGTTTGTTCCTTTACGCGGTTCCTGAGATATTTTGCTAGCGACTGAGAATGCTGGCCGCTTGACATCTGATTTGCAGCTGACAGGCTTAATCACTCCACATTAAAACTCTCTTCCTTTGGAACCCGGCCACACTCTGTGCTCTTTGGACCTGAGACAGGCGTGACTGAAGGGGACAGCAGTACACTTGTGTGGCAATCCAAGGCCCGCTAACACGAGGACTGAACGTACAGTATTTACCAGGAGTGCCGTAGCAGGAAAACCAAGCACTAAGTGTCATCAGACCTTGGTCTGGGGACAGAGAAAATGGGGAGAAGGAACTACAGTCCTCATTATCAGCCCCTGCTGCTATCTTGTTCCCAGCTTGTCAATCATCGCCATGTGCTCATAGTTAAGGTGTTAAAGAATGTAGTGCCTCTGCTCTTAGGCCCCTACACACACACACACACACACACACACACACACACACACAGATGGTCTGTAGTGTGGGAGTTCGGCTAATCTCTGCATTCCTAAATCTTCTGAGGACTTTAGAAGGAGAACTGCACACAGGAGATGTTTAGTGAAGAATCGATGGTTCACTTGCCTTGCTCAAAGGCAATGAGAACACAAGGCGCTGTGGAGAACGGTGCCCTCCGTGTCTGGGTTCCATGCTGTTCTGCCTCCAGGTCAGCAGCGTTCTGACTTGCTTTCCCCGTCTTGCCTGGCTGTCCCAGCAGAGGAGCTGGCTGAGTTCCTCCAAGTCCTGAGGGCAATGGGCTTTCCTATGTGCCAACTCCAGTAACCCCTGTGCTCAGCTGAGGGTGGAGCCAGGAGGAGAGCCATTTGACTTTCCCTCGCAGACTGGTAGAGCTGGGAAGCGAAGACCCTGGTGCTAAGGAACATCTCTGGCTAACATGTTTTCACAACTTTCTATGGCTGTGAGTTATGGGGGTCCTTCCTGTGTGTCTGTTTCTCATTTGGTGCTTCCCGAATAAGTCAGGAGTCAATGCTCATCATAGATGATAGAAAATTCAGACATGGAGATGAAGTGTCCTTGCTTCTCCAAACTCTTGGTGCCAAGAATCATTAAGAGATTTCTGTAAAGCAACCCACAGCATAAATGTACCCTCCGACCAAAGGCTTGGCCTGCTGTGACCTATGACAGCATCTCCAACCCCTTCCCTTGTTTCACAATGTAGGTCATAGAGAAGAATCCTGATCCCGAAAGGAATCTACTGTTCTACGTGAGGAGAGTCCATATCCTTTGACTGTAAATGGGAAGAAAACGGTTAAAGATTATCAGAAGGGCTAGTGGGGTGGTGGCTCAGTGTTGAGAGCACTTACTGTTCCTCCAGAAGAACTGAGTTCAAGTCCCAACACCCACATTAGACAGCTAACAACCACCTGGCAATTCACACGTCCAGCACCAGAGAGAGCCACTGTCCTCTTATGTTCTCAGCAGGCTAACACACACACACACACACACACACACACACAGCGCACATCCATACAGTAACGTACATATAAATAAAAGTAATAAAAACAAATCTTTTTAAAATTATTGATCAGAAAAATCACCTGCATTCATTCTTGGTAAGTAACTTGTGTCCCATTTGTGATGTCTAGTTGGAGTTCAGAGAATGGCTGTATGGATTCATACTAGATTCATAGAGTCATGTTTCATTTATTGTATTTTCACTGGAGAAAAACTAAAAGAAGCCTCCAGTGGGCTGTGAGTGCTTACCCTGTAAACAATTTCATGACTTCTGAGGGCCATATTCATCCCAATGATTAAGCAACTCTAGGCAAACTTATGTTCAGCCAAATGTCGAAGTTGTGTGTCCCTGATAATGGTGTTTTTATCTGACTCCTCCTACACCCTTATATAATTCTTACCAGAGGAAACAAATTTTTAGAAATATATTTCAGAATCCTGATGTATGATCTATGTTCTCTCAGGTTTTCACCCCGACCTTATTCTTTTTCTGTCTGGGCTTGATTTTCCTTTCCTCCAAGATTTTCATCAGATGTTAGTAAACAGTTCTCCAAGACGAAGAGTTTCTTGTGTTTGAGTGCAACAGTGAGGGAGTGGCCCTAGTTAGTGACTGGGACTGTGGTTATACAATCTCTGTCTGAACACGGGCATGTAAACACATATGTAACAGGTGGACCCACGCAGGCATGTAAGCACATATATAACAGGTGGACTCTGCATAAGTTCTATTCTCCAGTCACCAGAACCATTGCTAAGTTCCTGAGTTCTGTCTCTTTACACTTGGTGAGAGAAAGACAGAGACAGAGACAGAGAGATCAAGAGTCTCAGCACACAAGTGGAGGACAGAGGACAACTTGAGGGAGTTAGTTCTTTCCTTCTACCACGTGAGCTCCAGGCATCAATATCAGAGTCGGGCTCAGTAGCAGGCTCCTTTGCCTGGTGAGCCATCTCTCTAGCCCAAGCTCTGGTTTCAGTGTCATACTGTCGCCTATCATAGACTTGTGGATATCAACAATTGAAGAGAGTTAGGTAATGAAAACACAGAGTCGTCTATCCTATTCTTCCCTTCAGACTATAATCATTTCTTAAGTTAATAATATGTACTCACCGGGAGTGGGGAGACAGTAATGTGTTTGTCTTGCAAGCACAAGGACATGAGTTCAAGATTAACTAAAAAAAAATCTTTAAAAACACCAGATGTGGTACAGTGGGGAGGCAGAGACAAGTAGATCCCTGGAACTCACTAATTAGTCAGCTAAGCCTATTTGTCAATGTTGACTGTACCTGTGGAATGACACTGAGTTTGGCCTCCAGCCCCCATGTGGACAAACACACACACACACACACACACACACACACACACACACACACACACACGCATGCACGCAGTGAGCCCTGTTGCCAGGCACCAGGAAGCCAGTGGTGAACAAGACATTGCCATCGTTTCTCTCTCCACCTCCCAATTAACACTTCTACAATGTCTGACCTTAACAAAGGTTTTCTCTCCAGCGAATGTTTGGCTCTGCTAGCAACAGTGCCAACCTAAAGCACTCTCACAGTATCCTGTAGACCATCCCCAGGCCCGGGTCCTATGTTTACATTCATAATTTTAATCCTCCCTTATATTGTGCCTTTCATATTGCAGAAATGTCAGGCCCCACAAAACCCCGATTTACTGCTGACTTGGGCCCTGGCTTAGGTATCATGCCCAGACTATGACACAGAATGAACATTGTCATCTCCCTTCTATTATTCCATCTCCTCCATGCACAAAATCAGGAGCTGTGGTGGCCTTTGCCCTGGGTTCCTGACATCACATAAACCAAGTGAGATGGTTGGCGCTGTAATCCCAGCACTCTAAAGGTAGAGGCTGAAGGATCAGAAGCTCAGGGTCATCCTAAACTACATAGTAAGTCTGGGGACAGCCTGGACCACAGAGACCCTATCTTAAAAACAAACGAGTAATAAACAGTTCATATTTACTCAAATAACAAATTTTTCTGAAGCACTAAGTATTCAGAAGCTAGACAGGCACTGCCTCTGGCCCACCCTAGTGAAGGAGATGGCCATAGCAGACACACGGGGGAAGTGATGAGAGCCACGTGTTGTGAAGCACCAGAAGGATGCCCAGCCAGACATGGAGAGGGCGAGATGAGATAAGGGTTGAGCGCAACTTTTCAGCAAAAGCTGGACTGTTGGAGGCAGAGATGTTCCAATCGAAGGCATGGAGCCAGAGGAAAAGGACTATCATGTTTTGGAGAAATAAACAAAGTTTCTGTTGACATACATAAAGTGCTGAAGGAGAGGAGGGAGAAATGTGACAGGAAATGCAGACGAGATAAGCAATGAGAGCCTTAAAGAAAGGGACCAGGTCTGGCATGCTCCCTGTACATTTAGGCTAAAACAACTTCTAAGTACACTGCAGGGCTGCCTGTCTTGGGGGCAGTGAGAAATCTCTTTAATGGGAAGGACCAAAACACACTTACAACATATTGTTTCTACTCAGCCCAAGTAATGTTTCTATGTTTAGCATTTATAAAAATAAAGCATAGCTACTTAAGTTTGAGATTGTTCAGGATAAGCCCATCCTACTCCATTATCAGCTGTTTGTTTGCAGTTCAGATTTAACTGAGGGTCTGTATCTGTCTGGCCACACTGTCTAATGATGAGCCCCAAGATGAGCCAATAGAACACAGAAGGAATCGATCAGGGCTAGCTGTGAGGGAAGAAAGAGAGTCTTGAAACTAGCTGGTAGACATCCAGAGGGCAAAGAGGTCAGAGGAATCAGTTGTCCACATTTCACTCAGATGGCTCTAAAACATGCACACAGCTCTCCTGTTACATGCTGACCGACTGAAGACTTATCCACCTTTGAGACAGATAGCACTTGGGTTTCTTGGCTTGAAATTTTCTGGATCCCCAAAGCAGAAACTAAGGACTCCTTGCTTTTTTGTACCCTACTCCCTGGAGCACTTTAAGGGCTACCCCACACTACCTTCAGCCTCTGTCTCAGACCTGAGCAGCCGTAACTGGCTCAGAATTAAAGAGCAGAGTCGGGTGTGCAAAGCCTTCTTGGGAAGGCTGCAAAGAGCTCCTCAGTTAGGATTCCAAAACCCACAAGTATCCTGATTGCAGCTCCTCATCAAGGGCAGCAATTACAAGAAGAAAATTACTCAATCCTCACCCAAGCCAATTATCAGCTCCACCTGGAAAAATACTCTTACTCTGCACCCAGAAAAGGCCCCAAGCCAACTCTGGTAGATTCCTGGATTCACCTAAAGAAGAAGATTTGCATACATCCTTTGTTCTCTCTCTGAGAAAACATGCAAACGTCTGACATAGTGATCAGGATAGGGCTGGTTCAAGAGCCATGGTTATTACTGCTATTTGCTAAACTAGGGTTTATACCCAGGGCTGCTCACATGCTAGACAAAGGGTCTGTTGCTGCTCTGTATCCTCAGCCCTTAAATTGATATTTTCTAATTCCATAAGAAAGCAAAAGTAAATATCAATGTCCAGGAGAAAATTAAGCCTCCCAGGAGGATTTCTCTGATTTTACACAAACCACCTTCTATGACATCCAAAGAAATGACACTATATGGATTCATCTTCCATTGCCCACAATTCTGAGTTCTGTAAAAGTCATGCAATTTCCACATTGCCTTTGGGTGCAAACGCTAAACTACTGACAGCAGGCTCCTGCAGTCTGTGTATCTTACTCAGGAAGAACTCACACATGATTCATTGCAGAAATATCTGTGCTTTGACTGAAAGGTGCTGTCCTATACCACTGGAAATGCCATATCATTGCAAGGCACTGTCCTATACCACTGGGAATGCCGTATCACCTTCCTTGGTTTTGTTCTTGTGAAACAGAGTCTCTGTGTATTCCAGGCTACCCTACCCTGTGTTACCCAAGCTGCATCAAATTCACAGCAATCCTCCTGCCTCAGCTTCCAAAATCCTAGTAATAATAAGTACAAATCACAATTTCTAGCACGTGCTAGTTCTTTTTTATCGTTTAGTGTTCTTCTGGGCACTGAGAGAGGCAAGCACTCTACCACTGAGCTGGCTTCCCAACTAGTATTTCATCGCCTTCCCTACTAAATTGGAAATTCTTATATTCAAAACTGCCCTGGGACCCAGTGTTCAGAAAGCTGGTGTAGCCCCTGAATAGTCCCTCCACAGCTTTCATCAATGAGCTGAGATGGAAAAGTAGAAACGAAACAACTCCAGCAACTTGGGTGGCTTTTCCTTGACTGTCCTTCCAGTCCATCTCAGAGGCACTAAATATGGCTGTGGGGGAGGTGGCTGCGGTGCCTGTACAGTGATGGTGTCAAGATATGACCCCAAGAGCAAGAAGATCCAGTATCCTTTGCGCTGGCCTGGCCGTGCTCTGGGCACATCTGGGAAGGACAAGGAGCCTTTCCCACGAAGGCTTCCCTTTCCCTGACACTGTGCACCTCTCCCTCCTGTCTCCCAGTCTCTAACAAGCTCGTCCTGCCTCCATGTCTTTTCCACAAATTTGTCCTGTGTTCTGAGCTCTCAGGGCTCTGTTCTCTGTTGTTGTAAAACAGTTCCTTTGCCGTTGAACAGGGAGTTCAGAGAAGTGTCTGCAAGAATGGATAACGCAGAGTTAGAGTCTTAGTGACACTTAGGTCTTAGCACATTCTGAGAAAAGTCATTTTCCCAGGAGAATGAGTTGATTACCCAAATCAAGCTGCAACACCTCTACTTGAAAATGCAAATCCGCTCTCTGGTGGAACATGGAGGTGAAGGTGGAGTTGTCTACTGCCAAGGTTTTGCTTGGGTGAACTGGGTGGGTGGTGCCATTCACAAATGATAGGACAAATGGAAAGGCTGAGGAGGCAGAAGTGTCGGGTAAGCTGGGGACACATCTACGGTGCTTAGCAGCTATCTCCAGAGAATTGTACAACAGGTGTTTCTATACAGCGCTTAGCTGTTCAGGGAAGATCTCTTCTCAGGAGTTAATTTATTGGGTGTTATTAACAGAAATAACAAGATACTGGCAAAATAACCAGCATTTACTGGATGCTTGTGAATGTCGTACACTGTTCCAGATGCTTACATATTAAACATGTCATCAAATTTACTTCTCCAAACAACCTCAAGAGAGTATGACTGTCACCAGCATTTAAAACTGAGAAAGAACAGCAAAAAAGTTAAATTCTATGAATATCTTAGTGGTGGATGCAGGCTTTCAGCCAGTCTAGAAGGCGGTGAAGACTTCAAGAGAACAGAGAGTTGTGGAGCACAGTCAGAAAACAGAAAGGGAAATGGGCAAAGAAAGATGTGTGCGCCTGTGTTCACCCACACTAAAAACATGCCCACTCACACACACACATACACACATATACATCCACTCACACACACACACACACACACACAACAGACATACATGCATACACACATACACACACATTCACAAACATGCCCTCATACCCACTCAAACACACACACACACACACACACACACACATTCACATGCTAAAACAAAAAGGAAGAATTGCAAGAAGGAAAAATATACACATATGAATTCACAAATACCACCTTCTCAGTCTGTAATGTTACTTGTAAGTATGTTTTCAGGGCTGGCCATTTGGTACTGGGCAAGACTATTTCTCTCTCTATCATCATTCCTTAGTTGCCTGTAGTTCTCCATGTAGGCCTGATGCCTTCAGGGATCCATAGAGGAACACTTCCTTACTTGCCTCACAAGGAAAGAAAACTAAAATAAGGAAAGGTGAGGGAAGGTCACTTAGGAGTCCAACATGGAAGTGTCCCTCTTTTCCTTCCTCCACTTGTGATATGTAAGTTCTTTCTCAGGCATGGCCAGGTGATGGTTGTATAGGTCATCTTCTCTGTGGTTGGGGAAATACAGCCTTCCTCTGGACTGAAATGACTCCCCAAGTTTTGTAACCCATTCCCCATGATTTCAGTGTGTTCTCTTTACATAAGCCCATCACAGCCACTACCCAGCAACAGCATGCCTGGTGCCCATCTGCTCTCTCCATGGGGCAGCCATTACCACAGTGGAAGGTGTGGGGAGCATCAAGAAGAGGATTCACCCTGTGCAAGTAAGATCACAATGTTATGGGGACCAGATGCTAGAGCAGGCATGGCCCGTAGTCTGGTGTGTTCTCCTAGGGTCTCTAAGCTGGGACAGGCATGGTCCACAGTCTGGTGTGCTCTCCTGAGGTCTCCAAGCTGGAACAGACATGGCCCGTAGTCTTGTGTGTTCTCCCAAGATCTCCAAGCTTGAAATCCTTTATAATTTTACTTCCTTGTTTCATAGCTAGGAATCTTTTTCAGAGATCTCTTCAAGATAATGTCATTGACTGTAAAGACATCTTAACCCGAGAGACCTTCTCAGCTCTGTCCTTGCCAGTAACTAAAAGACAAGGACAGTCTTACTAAAAAAGGAAACAAGGCAGAAAATGGGAGTTTATAGAAAATAGACCTCTTCATTTCTCACAATGGGAGGCTGATGAGAGTTCATCTGTAAGTGAGAGAAGGCTCCAGAAACATCACCCAACTACTTGCTACAATTAAAATGCAGCAGGGTGGGTTATTCGAGTTTGGAGGGCTCTTCAAAGAAAGGGTGGCATGGTTTCCCTGTGACTGAGCAGGAACTCCTGCTGGGTGAGTTTTAAGGCAGAATGTAGAAAAACAAGGTTCTTTCCCTTAGGGCTCCTTCCTTGAAACATTGCAGCTGGAACAAGGAGGCTTCACTGCCTGCCCGTTGCCCTTGACAGGGACCTGCTCATATCTTCCAGCCGTGAACTCAAATAGCTGTGTTCTTCAGAAGATTTTACCCAGCATCTACCTCTCATCACTTTAGCTATACAAGTGTTTCCTTCTATGTTTAGTAGATCTGACTCTCTCAGGTCTTGATGGGACACGTTTGTTCAGTGGTACCCCGGAGCAGGCTTGCCTGGCTTGCAAATTTACAGGGTTTCTGCTGATTGTCTTTAGACATATCCATAGTCAAGTTAAACCAGACACCCTTAAAGGGCCTTGGTTTGCATTGTACTTGCCATGGTAGTGGGGGTTTTGTACAATAAAACTTGGAAAAGAGGATTCACCTAAAGGGTTCTGTCTCCCCAAGAGAGCCAGGTGTTAACCACAACAGCAGATTCTAGTCCAGACTATCTGTCACAGGAGACACAAGTGCCATGTAGTGATAAATCCAACACAGCCATGTTGTCCCCTAGCACTAAAATAACGTCTGTCCTTTCAGTTGAACCAGAGTATTCGGCTTTCATTATAGGAGCCACGATGTGGTGGTGGTGGGGGAGGGGATAATTTGAGAGCACTAGAATCATACGCAAGACAGCTAGGTGAGTGTGTAGTGACAGGCAGGCTGGGCTGGCACTCCTGGTTTCACTTGCTGCTTCCTGGCTTAGGGATTTTGTATAGAGCAAATAAATTGACATTTTCCCCCATTGTCTTCTCTGTATAAGATTGAATACACATGATTTAAATGTGTGAATAACCCAGCAATATGAAATAGATGTTCTTCTTGTTTTAAGTATCTAGAGTACAACATTTAGTACACTAAAAATCCTCTAATCTGAAAGAGCACGAAGATGCCTGTACAGAGCCTGCTGAATTGATTCACACAATTCATTTATTCTGCAAAGTACAGGCCATTATTACCCTAATTGTAAAATGAAGAAAAGTTAGAGCATCCCAAGTGATAGAGTAAGTGAGCTACTGGAAGGAAAAAAGAAAGCAGGCATGAGAATGATTCAGCTACTGGGCTTTAAAAAAAAAAAAAAAACAAAACTACCTGTATCTGACTTCAGAAAATTACCTTCTTCCTCCAGAGGTGAGCGTTTCTCCTGAAGTTGTTTTCAGGAAGTTTAGACTCTGTGCTGCTGGCTGGCGTGCAAGGCCGCAGGTGTAATGCTCTAATGGTGTGCCTTTGCCTCTCAGGAACGGCTGGCCAAGTGTCATGGCACACAGTGTGGATTCTGCAGCCCTGGCATGGTGATGTCCATCTACATTCTGCTCAGGAACCACCCAGAGCCCACACCCGATCAGATCACTGAGGCGCTTGGAGGTGAGGCTTTTGCAAGCACTGCTAGCGCAGCCTTTTCCAAACATGGAAATGTGGGTAGAGTGGAACCACAAGGTTTTGTTGTTTGTGTTTTAACTCATCTGTCTAAATCACTCACTAACATTACTTCATAAAATCACTATACATTTTTATAAGCTGGTTGGTGGGGGCTCAGAAACAATGGGTTATCACAGACAAACAGTAACCAATTCAATTGCTACAAAAATAGTGATATAGCTAAGTGTAAAAATTGTGACTTTGGCCGGGCGGTGGTGGCGCACGCCTTTAATCCCAGCACTCGGGAGGCAGAGGCAGGCGGATCTCTGTGAGTTCGAGGCCAGGCTGGACTGACACAAAAACAGTACAGAGAAACCCTGTCTCATAAAAACCAAAAAAAAATTGTGACTTTGTATCTACAAAGACAAGCTAACAAATGTAGTTTCTATCAGAACCCTTCCTAGTTTGAGAGAATGAGATCTAAGGTATTAATGGTATTGATGCAACAAATAGCCGTTAAAGGACAGCTCCTTGTCCCTTTCCCCAAACAGACACAGGCAGAAACTCAATTATGATGAAAAGATGCAAAAGAAAACCAGGTCAAAGTTCAACTTAAATGTGTTTGGAATTGGCATATTTTCTCTCCACAACTTCTTGGTTCAAAATTTTCTGGTTAACTGCTGTGGCCTGTAGTGGTTGGGTGTAATTTTAACCCAGTCTGTTAAGTACTCAGTAATCTTTTTATTGTTCAGTGAAGCACTAAGCCCCATGGAGTAACTACTAGGAGCTTTGAGACTTGGAGAAATCATGAGAGTCTCCCTGTGTTATTAAGACCTCTTCATAGTTACCATTCAAACAGCTTGTAAAGTTTGCACAATATTTTTCAAAACTTTGAGACAGGACATCATTATATAGCCCTGGCTATCCTGAAACTCACTGTATAGACCAGGCTGACCTCTACCCTCTGAGTGCTGGGATCAAAGGCATGTGCCACCACCCCTGAATCGTGCACATTTTTTAAGAATAGCGGTTTCCTTCCTACTTCCATCCATATTTTGGAAATGTTGACTAACTGAACAATATCAGCTATGCACTGAACACCTGCTGTGCATTCTCAGTGGGTTCAAGAACATCCAAGGCAATCTTGCTTTTCCAACTTCTGATCTGACAAGTAAACTAAGTAAATGACCCAACACACTTATTGCCGGATCCAGACAATCAGTGGAACAGCCCTGCCTGAAGTATTCCCCTGGAGAACAGAGCCAGAGACCTTCAGCCCCTGTGTCGGTCAGCTATCCATTACTATGGCAAAATGCCAGAGATAACTAACTTACGAAGAGAACAGCTTGGTTTTGGCTCACAGTTTGTAGACTCCAGCTCAGGATCTGTGGACTCCATTGCTTTGCACTTGTAGTGGCGCTGCTCATCTTGGTGGAACTAGCTGGCAGAGAAAAACTGCTGGTCCCATGGCTTTCTGTTTAGGGAATAGGCATGGGATAAGACACGAAGAGTTGGTCGGGAAATGTGATGGTTTCTCTAGTGTTTAAAAAAACTGTAATCACATACTTGTCGTTAACATCCCCAAGGGAAGTGTTTTTTCAAAGAATCTTACTGGGTTTCAGAGCAAAAATAGACTTAACTGTTTTCCTGAAAACACTAAGCATAGATGTGCAGTCTATTTCTGTATGAGACCATAAGACCTGATTAATTCCTTATCAACCAGGTAACTTGTGCCGATGTACTGGGTACCGTCCAATTGTAGAAAGTGGGAAAACGTTCTCGTCGGTAAGTTAAGATGTTGTAGCTTATGTGAACACGGGTGGGGGATTATTTACTTGATCAAGGGGAGCTCACTGGTGGCTACACTATGGAGGAACAGTACTCCCCTCTCTGCAGCTCCTCAGGAAGGGATGAGGCATCCTGAGTCCCTGTCTCATGCACAGTGCTGTGTTGGTGAACCGTGTTTTATGCAGATAGTCACACCGAGGTCATGAGTATTTTTATAAGTAAGCCCTCAGCATCTATGCAATTTCTTCAAGTTTGATGCTTTCCTGAGAAGTATGAAATTTATTCTACCACTCCAATAAATGTAAACTCTATTGAAGAGAATGAAATGTAGAAACAATAAAAGCAGCTAGTCTTGTGGCATGGAACTGAGGCCAGGAATGGAGATGTTGGTGTGCAAGATACTCTCGGGAGTACAGAGGGAGTTTGAGCAGCCTGCATCACCTAGCGAGGCCCAATAGAGCACTTATTAGCATACATGAGACCCAAGGTTCAATCCCCAGTGCAAGAAAGAAGGGGCCAGGGGAGGAAAGAAAGACAGGTGCTAAACAGGCACACATATTGAAGGAACACAGACTGAAGAGAATTGAAGGAAAGGAAAAGATAGAGAACGTATCAGAGAAAGGGAACTTTGAACTAAATTATAAAATAAATTACAGAAATGAATTGCTGAGGAAAGAGCAGTAGAAAAATTATAAGGAAGAAAATTGGTTGAAATAGAAAAAGATGTCCAATGTCCAAAGTTCATATTAAAAACAAAAAGGAAGAAAGAGAGAGAAGTTGGTATGGTGGGGGTTTTAAAAACTAAAGAAAGTACGCTGTTTGGGGCTAAAGAGTTTAGACTGGAAGCTGTTAGCCAACATAGAGACACTGTTCTGTTCCTGAGCCAAGAGTAACACAGCAGGGGGAACTTCACTTCCCTGTGGGAAGGACAAGCCTGGGCTGCTCAGTGTGGGGAAGGACTGCATGAGCTAGGCAGTATCCCGTGCAGAAGGGAATGTTGACAATGGTCAGTGGGGACAGAAAGATGGCTTCCAAGAAGAGCCTACCCATCATAACCAGGTCTAACCACCAGGCAGCAAAGACTTCGGGAAGCCAAGAACCCAAGTCTCCTTGAAAGCTGGAAAATATGACTAGTGCATACTGGGGTGGACAGTCTCAAAATCCACTTTTCACAATAAAAAGTATTTTATAACATTTTTGATGACCAAAAACAATTCAAAGTATACCAGTTCACTCCAAAAACTACAAGTTTTTGAGGAGCAAGGTTGATGCTGCATGCTTGTAATCCAAGCATTCAAGTAGTAGAGGCAGGAGATCAGAAGTCCTTGGCTACACAGTCAGTACTGGGCCTTTCAGAAACGCTAGAGACCTTCTCTAAGAATAAAAATTAAAACAACCTTGGAAACTTACATTTTTATACTATTACTAAGAATTTTCAGGAAGGTTTACAAACCACAGGCTAGTTCACTTTATCCCAAGATACTATCTATGGTATGTCATAATAGTAACACACGTTTTACCATTTTTTTACCTACAGAATGTGAAGAAATAGCACCTTCTTCATATTGCCCAGCCTAAAACTATATGGTCTTCTTTCAGATAAAAATCTATGTAAAGATGTAAACAGAAATACAAAGAATTAGTTCTTTTGATAGCACAGCTCACAGTGTTCGAACCCCTAATTAAGTCTATAGAAATGGACTTGGAGTTCAAAATACCAGCTATTACTTTTCACAGCAGGTCTGTGTGGGATTTTCCCATCAATAAGTGTAACCTTTATTATTCCAATTTAACAAGCCCAGCCTGTCCAGCACATGCTAAACCAGAAACTGGACTCTTGGTTATAATATGGCATTCATTGCCTCCAAATTGTCACACATCCTTGGCACTGTTTACCAAGATGAGAATAATAAATGAAACTGGGTATTGTGGTATACACTTGTAACTTGGGAGGTTAAGGCAGGAGGATTGCCCGAATTCAAGGCCAGCCTGAGCTATAAAGTGAATTACTTCCAGGTCAGCCCAGGCTGTAGTGTAAGACCTTCTCTCACTAAAGCATTAGAAAAATTAGAGTAGGAAGAAGAAGAAGAGGGGGACAAGGAGGAGGAAGAGGAATTGATGATGGTCACAACTGACAAATTCGGCCCAAAGGGTTACCTTTTGGTTTCACATTAAATATCCTGAAAATTATAATTAAATCATTAGTGATTTGAATCTTTCAAATAATTCATGATCTCCTTCACGTTTCTCTAATTGTTCAATAGTGGGTCACTTGCTGCCCTCACCTCCCAAACTCACATAGAGGTTTAAGCATTTTTATTGTTTGTGGAATAAAGCATCCAACCAAGGCGCTCACATATCAGCCTACCCACTGAGCTACCTATATCCCAGCCAGCCCCTTTTTTCTTGTTTTGTTTATTTGTTTTGATTTGTTTGGGCTTTTGTTTTTAAGACAGGGTTTCATATAGCCCAGAGCTTGCCTCAACCTTGCTGTGTAGCTAAGGATGGCCTTGAACTCCTAATCCTCCTGTCTCTACTTCCCAAGTACTGGGATTACAGGCATGTGCCTGCCTTGTTACCTATGTTTTACTGGGAGCTGGAGAAACAGTAACCAGGTGAGACACAAATGCTGCAGGGACCTCCTTCCATTCCGCTGGAAAGAGAAGTGAGGAGTCCACAGATTAGTTTGGTGGGTTACAGATGGGAGGCCTCAGGCATCATGTTCAGGAACTGACCGTGAAGTTGACCTACATTGAATTATTTCCCAAGGGACCTACTGTTTGCCAAATGAAAGGTTCTGGAAAATGCTGCATGGATCTAGAGGAAAAGTCTTTTGTTAGCAGAGAGGAAAAAGTAAGTGTCTGTTTTTCCTACCCCAATTGGGATTGACTCAAAAAATGCTAGCAAAAATCCAAATGTACCTATTCTTGTCAGTCATTACGAGGCAAAAATAAGTAAAATGCATGTCATGAAAAGTCTCAGTTTGAGAGTGCAGTGCACCATGGAAGGGAAGGCACGGAGGCAGGAACCTAAGACATCTGGTCTCACTGCATCCAGAGAGAGATGTGTGCTGGTGTTCAGCTCTCCTTCTCCTTTTCCGTCAGTCTGAGTCCATGGGAAGGTGTCCCTCACATTCAGAGTTAGTCTTTCCATCCATTTAGCCCAGTCAGTCTAGACTCTGCATCACAGACACGGCTGGAGGTTGTCTTCTGGAGGATTCTAGAGCCTGTTGAGTTGATAATCAATATTCACAACCTCAGGCACCTTTGTGCTCATAAATATACAATAATACAGGAGACCCAGTGCAGAAGTCTAACGCTCTTCTCCAACAGCAGAGAAGTCAAGAGTCATGTCCATGTAGGACACCACCCCTCAGTCCTGGGAGAAAGTGAAAGTCTATGTGAGGGGGGCCCCTGTGAATCCAGCATCTTGTTTTATATTGGGGTATGGTTGGGGGAGTGCTACACTTGAATATTGCTGAGTGTCTCTCAGTAACTCTGACTTTCCATTTGTGTTGTGTTTTGTTGAGATGTGTACTAAATTGTATAATGAAGATGAGTTCCAGCCCTTGGACCCATCACAGGAACCTATATTTCCTCCTGAACTGATCGTAAGTTGCTCTGCTTTTGTTGTCTCTTATGACATGGTGCATGTCCTTTTGTATTGTACTGTGGAACCACAAATCTCTAGCTATTAAGAGATGGGAATGAGTCTGCCATGATGGAGTCATTTTTTTTAGGGATGTGTTCAGTTCTTTCAATAGGCAATCATGTCAGAGGGCATGAAAGAGTGGTGTTTCTGGGAACCGCAGAGTCCCTTTGGCTGAATCCCTTCAGCTGAAGCTCCCAAGGTCACAGTACAGATGAGTCACTGAAGGTCATACAGATACCGATGGGTCTCTTAAGGCCAATTTGTAAAACAGTAAAGTGTCGGTAAAATGATGCTCAGGACAATGGAACTGTACTGTTCTTACAGTTAACCGCTGGTTCAACCTAGTAAAGAAAAGAGGAAAGGAAACTAATACGGCACATGGTTGTCTGCATGGTAGGAGAATTGGCGTCTCAGAATCCAGTGCCATGTATCCTCCCAGGGTGAGAATTTGGACACCTTGGCTAGGACTCAGGGGTTTTTTTGGGGGGGGGGTGAAGCTGGGATTTTTCTTTTCCTTTTTTTCTTTTTCTTTTTCTCTTTTCCTTTTTTCCCCCCATGGAATCATTAGCTTTAACGGTCAGCTTGCTATGACCTAGCATCACTTGGGAAGAAAGTCTCAATGAAGATATTGTCTATGTTGGGTTGGCCTGTGGGCGTGTCTGAGGGAAGATTTGTTGTTGTTTTCTTCTTTTTTTTTTAAACTTGTATTAATTCTGTGTGGACCTCACATCATGCATTCCGACCCCGCTTATCTCCCTGCCCCTCACATCTGCCCTCTGCCCTTGCCGACCCTCTGACAAAAAAAAAAACAAATTTATAAGAAAAAATGTGCCGCACCCCCCGACACACACCCTCGGCCAGACCAAGGAGTATGGGATGGGCAGCCATCTGTGTCCTCCATGAGTCAGTATTTTAAAGTTACATACCTAAATGTAGATCCATGTATACCTGATAGACATAAGTAAGGTTGTAAAAAGCAATTCCCTTACACACACACACACACACACACACACACATACAGCATGCAACACCTGTAAATAAAACAAGTGAGTGATTTTTAAATTTTTAAGGGAATAGTGTTCAGTAACATTTTTCCCATAGTCAGTGTTTCTCTGAGCCTGAAGATGAGTGTCTGACTGATAGTTAACATACTCTCCAGTCCATTGCCCACGGCTTTCTTGAAGAGCCGGGAGACAGGGGCAAGGAAATGGATTTACCCACATTTTCCCCAGAACCAAGGAAGAAAACATTCTCAGCTTCTCTCCACCTCACCTGTAGCATCGTTGCCGTTTACAGAAAAGATGACTCAAACACATGTACACATAGTTAATGGTAACTTAGAAGAGCCGTGCAGGAAGTCCTCTGACAACTCAGGTCTTCCTTGGGGGCTGTTTACTGTGGAAATTCTAATTCTCCAGTGGTGGGCAGAACCAGAACAGACCGAGACTCTGCCTCTCCAGACAGTCACTTCATGAGTATAAACACTGTTCCTATGAATACCTAGCAGGATGTGTCTCATTGATTTGGGAGTTTCAGTCTACCCTTTCCTGATCCCCGAGAAAGCTTGAAATGACCCGTGGACTCCCTGGACCCCCAGAAAGCGTAGTGGCATTGCTTCTCCACAGAGAATGGCCGAGGACCCACATAAGAGGAGGCTGACATTTCAAGGGGCCAGGACCACCTGGTTCATGCCTGTGACCTTGGAGGATCTTCTGGAACTCAAAGACAGCTACCCCAAAGCCCCACTGGTCATGGGGAACACCACAGTGGGTATGTGTTATTCGTGTGTGTTTCAGTTCAGATCAGGTAACTGAAACCCCTCCTCATACTCTGCGTAAGCAGGGTTGATTTCTACTCGTGGGACTTGGGGTCTTTTAGAATTTTTTCTTTTGCAAGTAAGTTCTATACATGATAGTTTTTACTCTGTCATACCAGTAACCCATTGTTCTCTTTCTAATTGCTTTCTGTTTTTCTCCTTAAGGACCCAATATTAAATTTAAAGGTGAATTCTATCCAGTTTTTATATGCCCACTTGGACTTCCAGAACTGCATTTTGTGAACAGCACAAACAATGGTAAGTGTCTTGGCTTTCAAATAAGACACCAACCCTGGCTCAGTGGGGCACCAATGGCAATCACTGACACCTCACCGGAGCCCTGGCTTCACTCATTCATTCAAAGCAAGTGGGCGTGTACTATGTGTTCACTACAAGTCTCAGGGTGTCTCAGCTCTGTCACTGAGCATCACATAGCCATCAGAGCCATAACAGCAAGAAGATGCCAAAGAGCTCAAAGAGCTCAGCCAAGCAGGAAAGACTGGTCTAATAAACCCTTCAGACATTTTCTCTCTTGAGGCTCATCACACACACATGTGTACCCATGCACATGCACATACACACATGCACATATGCACACACACATGCACACATACACACACACACGCACACACACAATCTTGGTGATGGGATTTAAAATGCAACTATGAGCAATTTTAATTTTTTTCTTTCATTCTTTTCACAAGTTGCCAGGTGCCTTCACATGTCCTGTCTCTTTGGTCTTTAGGACAACCCTAGCAGACAGACCCATCTCATACCTTCAAGCCTCCAATACCCTATGGGAGACTCAGGATCAAAGGACTTAAATAATTTCCTCAGCCTCCCATGTCAGGCCTAGATCCTGTCTTCTTTTTGCTGACAATGCACAAACAAGGCTGTCTGAGTAATCCCACCACCAACACCCAAACAATGCATTTGAATAGATAATGATTGAAGGCAGGAGCCAAACTTACGAAGCTTAAATAGTTAAAATTCCAAGCGTGAAAAAGAGACCAACGGGGTAGCTTCTTGCTCTCCCTCTAGCATGCCAGTCTTAAGTTAGTGGCTCATCATTTTTTCTTAACCACTGGGATATCTGTATCAATGGACGTGGATACAGGAAAGGATGGACTAAGGGAGATTCCCCAGCCATGTGGGTGAGGGAAGGTCATTGGAGGCAGAGGGTGTAGAGACGGAAGCAAAGCACAGAACTACACATGCTGCTGCAACTGCTGCTGCTGCTCCGTCTTTTCTTCATTGCCATCCCTCCTAGGAGCAGTAAGCACCGTTTCCTAATCATCCCTCCATGGAACATTAACACTGGAGATAAATGCGTGGCTTTTTATGTACAGTGGGTTCATTGGTGCCGGATGCATACTGAGTTTTTTCTTAGTCACTCCCTTATGGATTCTATTAGCCCTAGTGAAACAACACTACTGAAATCATGCACTCCTGTAAATCAAACTGGCCTGCTGCCAACACCTATCCACTCCTGTTCTCTTTTTAGAAGAGGGCAGGGCAAAGGGAAGAGATGACTGTGGAAGAAGAAGAAGTGGACAATGGAAATTTTGCCAATAAATTTTCTAGTTTACTGACTTTCAAAGAGAGTTTTTAAATCCTACTGTACTGGCACACACTATAATCTGGTATCCGTGGGGCTAAAACAGAAAGACCATGGGTTTAAGACCAGCGCTCTAGTGGAACAAAACTATCTCAAAAGAAGGGGAGGATTTACAATTTCCACAGATGATCATTTACTCAGGGAAAGCAAATGAAGCATTGAATTTTGGTTATCTGTGGTTAATATGTACCAAAATCCAAGGCAAACACCACTCACTGTCTGTGACTGAGAAAAGGGATTTGGTGCTTAATATTTGAGAGTTGTATTAGTTTTTCATCACTATGACAAAATGCCTGCAGGAAATAAATTAAAAGGAGCAAAGATTTGTGTTGGATCATGGTTTCAAAAGTTTCATTCCATCATGACAAGAAGGGTACAGTTGAGCAGGGCAGCGACATCACGGCACCAAGGGGGCACCAAGCGAAAAGACCATCTGCACTAGATGGTTCTCCTTTTGAATTAGTTACTTGTGTCAATCCCATTGCAAAATACCAGACAAGAAGCAAACTTGAGGGAAGCCGGGCTTATTTTGGATCTCCACTCAAGGGCACAGTCATGTGATAGGGAACTCATGAGAACAAGAGCAGGGGCAGGGCGTCACATTTCGTCCCCAGTGAGGAAGCACAGAGCACTCAATTCTGTTTTATGGTCTAGTGTTCTTTCTCCATCTGAATTCTATATTATAGGACAGTGCCGCCCACACTGAGGGAAGGCTCCCGTTAGTTAATCTTCTTTCGAGATGCCCTCAGACACGTACAGGTTCTCTTCCATTCAATCAAGTAGACTTTAATGCTAACCATCACAATAAAGTATCCATAATTATCATTGGTTGTTGTCATCCCAACCAACTATACAAAGAGCAGATTTATTTAGAAGCATGCATGCAGGCTCACTGTACACTTATGTTCTATTCTCTTGCTTTCAGGAGCAACAATAGGAGCAGGAAGCAGCATGGAACAGTTGAAAGATACCTTGAATTTTCTGGTTTCAGAGCACCCGAAGGAGAAGACCAAGATTTATCATGCCCTGCTGAAGCATCTGAGGACATTTGCAGGGCCCCAGATTAGGAACATGGCTGTATGTTCTCTACTGTTCTATAAAATAAGCCACAGTGTGTGTGTGTGTGTGTGTGTGTGTGTGTGTGTGTTCGTCCCAAATGACAGGTATCACAAGTGTGTATGTTGGATGAGGTTCACGTATGTGTCTAATATGATATAACAAATCATGATATAGAGTCAGAAGATGCACAAATTCTTTTCCCAGTTATCCTATAGAAGAGTTTGGAAATTAAGGACCAACCAAATGGAACCGTGTCTAGGGTCCCATCCAGCTCTGACCATCTATGAAGCATGTCTTATCTAGGGTGTAGCTAACAAGATCCCACCTTCCCAGATGCTCTTCTGATTGGTTCTTCTCTTAGACCTATGCTCTGATATCCATTTCTCACGTGTGTTCATGCATACATCCTTGGGCCCCCAGTTGTCTAGATGTCTCACTGAGGTCCTTCCATTACTTAAGGTTTCAGGGTAATTGGCTCAAACCACTCTCCATTACATGCACGATGAGCAAGCCATCAGAACGCAGGGCCCAGCAGATACTCATTTCTGGTTTTTGTCTCTGGGCTACAACTGATTCCCAAATCTGCCTCATATTCTTATATGTGTATTGTATGTCAATTTTCTGAAGGACATTGCTCCTCTCAATGAACTTGTTCCCATAAGTCCCCTAAAGTCCCCTGTTCAAGCCTGTCCTAAGCAGACTTTGCTGAAAGTTTAAGGCCACAGACAAGCGTTGGGTCTCTTGGCAGCCATCCTATATGTAAATGCACCTTACTCCAGGTCTGTTTGTGGGGCTGCAGGCTCTCCACCTTCCCTACAAAGGACTTTCTTTCTCTATGTGTGTGTCATACCCTCACTTTCCCCTAACCTGCTGACATCACTCCCTAGCTTTCCATTCACTTATCTTACTTGGCTTCTGAACAAACACAAATGTGTGTTAGGACCATTTCTCCAGGAGACTAGCTCTCCTCCCTGCTCACAGGTGCTTCCTCAGCATTTAGGTGGGTCAAAAGTGAGGGTTGAGCATAACCTGGTGTCTGGATTATTTAGCTGCTTCCAAATGCTCCCAGATCTTTCTGCAGAGCAAAGGAGGGGAATTAAAAGCTTATACAATATCTCTGTGTACATGATTCCTTACTTGTCACATAACACTTTTTCTGATGTCCTCTTTCTATTAGACTTTAGGAGGACATGTGGCGAGCCAGCTTAATTTTTCTGACCTCACCCCCATTTTATCAGCAGGAAATGCTACCATCAATGTGATATCTAAAGGTAAGAGGCCAAGCTCTGAGCATTTGATTTTATACTTGCCGCTATTACATAGATCCTCTGTATATTAGGAAATAGGGACTCTGCAATATCTTTATATATATACATATATATATATATAATTTTTAAATTTAAATTAGAAACAAGGTTGCTTCACATGTCAATTCCAGGTTCCTCTCCGTTTCCCTCCCCTCCTCCCATGCCCTCCCACCAATGCCCCCAATATCCCCTCATTTCCCCAGGGAGGGTGAGGCCCTCCATGAGAGTATCCATAGTCTGTCATTTCATCCAGGGCAGGACCTAGACCCTCCCCCAAGAGTTCAGGGTGAGAGTGCATCTCTCATTGTTGGATGGGAGTCCAAAGTTCATTTGTATACCCGGGATAAATACTGATCTACTATCCAAGGCTCAATAGATTACCTAGGCCTCCTCACTGACACCCACATTCAGGGAGTCTTGATCAGTCTCATGCTGGATTCCCAGACTCTCTGGCCATGGGATAGTAGGCTGGCACTCCCCAGATCTATGTCTAAAATCCATATATAAGAGGGTGCATGCCATGTTTCTCTTTTTGTGACTGGGTTACCTCTCTCAGGATGCTCTGCAATATCTTAATGGTCCCCTGAGCCTCAAATGTGAGGCAGAAGCTGTGACTGCCTCTCTGTCTTCTGGCTGTTCTGTACTTACAGACCAGATTAATACCTCTGATACTTTTCTTAAATATTTGACCCATTTGTAAGCAGTCAAAATTATATATAGTATCAAAGAAATTCAAGAAAAGGATCAGGACTGGTGTAACAGCTCAGCGGGTTAAGCACTTGCCGCCAAACCTGGCAACCTGAGTTTGATCCCCCAGGACCCACAAGGTCAAAGAAGAAAACTAGAGCCATACAGATTGTCCTCTGACCTCCACTTGACCAGGACACATGCACATACAATTAATAAATCAATAAACACAAAAGATAGACAAAAGAACAAGAAGTTTCTCAGCAGCTTTAAAGTTTATGACAGGGATATTTCTTTCCCTGGTTTTGAAAAGGAGGCAGCTTTTATAGAGTACTCTTACTCCTCTTTTTGTTCAAATATGAGCTTTGTGGATGAAAAATAATTGAAACACAGGGGGATTAAAAGCAAGTTTGTGCTGTTCACAGTGCTACTAATGTAAAATCTCTTCCTTTAAATTAAAATCGTAGATTAAAAACTGTGATTCAAGTGGTTATAACTATCTAGGAAAAAGTGCACATGCTTATAATTTTAATTGAAGAAGAGAAGACAGGCTGAAAAGGAAATTCAATAGTAAAGTGCTTGCTTCAGAAACAACATTAGTCTAATCCCCAGAACCCATGGCGCGGGAAGGGGAGTCCAAACATGGTGGCTTTCTTGTAATCCCACAGGCTAGAGAGGAAGAGCAAGCAGATCCCTGGGCAGTCAGCCTCCCTAACTGTCACGTTCAAGGCCAAGTAAGAAGCCAAGGTAGACAGAACCAGAGGGACAGCATCAAAGGTTGCTGTCTAGCTGTCACACTCAAGTTCAAGCACAATCACACAGACATGTGCATCCACAACTGGGTAGTGGGGCGCACACCTTTAACCCCAGCACTCGAGAGGCAGAGGCAGGCGGATCTCTGTGAGGACAGCCTGGTCTACAAGAGCTAGTTCCAGGACAGCCTTCAAAGCCACAGAGAAACCCTGTCTAGGAAAAAACAATAATAATAATAATAATAATAATAATAACAACAACAAAACAAAACATGTGCAGCCACACCCACATGAACACTGTGCCACTTTTGAAAAGCAACTCAGCTTCCGTGGATCTTTCTTTTCTCTTTTGTGAAATGTTATACATTGTAGCAGGTTGTTTCCCAATAACTTTAAAGATCTTTTAAGTCCAGTGTGGACGGGAGGCATGCAATGGGTTGAGACTTTCAGCTCATCTGGTTCAACACTGCCGTTCTGAAACCTGGGCCCCAAAGTTTCCATGACTTGCCTCAGGCAGCACAGGTTTGGGGCTAGAACTCTGAACTCTGGCTCCCAGCCCACACCTGTTCATTCCACCAGACATTCTAAGTGCTTGTTGTGTAGTCCCCCGTTTGACAAGTGTGTCTTAATCTGGATCATTCTCTCTATCAGAAGGAGAACGGCAGCTCCCTTTAAATGGCCCTTTTTTCGAGGGGTCTCTTGAGGAGGCCAGCTTGAAGCCAGGAGAGGTGGTGCTGTCTGTTTTCATTCCTTACTCCACCCAGGTAAGGGGCCTGCCTGCCTACACATGTCCTTGCCTTGCGCTTCCAAACGGCACGAACCTCTCTGTAGATGACTGCTTCTGAGAGAGTCTGGGGCCCCTCAAAGTGAGGGGTTGAGTCCCAGATGACCATTTCAGTTGCTTCCACAGAAGGGCCACGTCATGACTTTTCAGGGTGTGCCTAAAGGGACACTGGCCTTGCACAAAAATAGGGAGCTTCCATACGAGTGAATGGTTATAGATGAAATGCATCTCAGCTGGGAGTACGTAAATTCATACTCGGTATCAGCTGTAGAATTTTCTAGTGAACTGAAATTTTATTATGAAGTTATTTGTCAATCACCAATAGTTATGAACTAGGTAGTTTATGTGTAATCATTTGTGTACTAAGTTCCTACTACTCTATAGCACAGTGCTCAGCCTGGAAGACAGTGCAAGACTTTAGAAGGTCTAGAGGTTCCTCCCCCAAGCTCCCTAAGTCTAGTGGGAAAGGCTTGAAATAGGAAACAGAACTGAATCACCAAGGCCAGGGAGTGAGAGGTCGTAAGAGCTGGAGAAGCTCTTGCCTGGAAGTCAGTGTATTGGAGCTGGGAGGATGGGGTGGGCATGACACGTGAAGTGACACAACAGCAGGGATCCAGCACGGCCTGTAATAGGCTGCATATCGTGGGGAGGAGGGCACACTTCCAGGCAAGAGGACTGGGAAGGGGGTGGGCAGGCCAGACCAGCCATAGCGTCAGAGGACATGAGACTGAGAGCTAGCATGGAGCAGATGGGAACAGCAGGGAGTGCGCAGCAGGTTCAGCAGATGGCCGCCTTTGAAAGCTTACAGCCGGGCAATGCTTATATGAAAGAGGTGACCCAGCATGAAGACTGCACAGATTGCTTGTGAGAGAGCCAAGGGTCGAAGGATCAATAAGGAGACAGTTAAATGTGGTGAAGTAGGAAGGAACAGGAGAGTTCCCAACATGGCACAGATGATTTATGTGTCTCCAGTGCCTCTTCCAGAACTTTCTATATGCGCATGCTTCATGCTGGCTGGGCTGCAGTATATGACTGACTTTCTCTGCAGCCTCAAGACACCTCCCACATGAAGAGGTGTCTCCAATTCAGGGTTAGTGTGTCCAGTCAGTAATAGGAGTCTGCCTAGAAAGACAGGCATAGACCTGGATGCAACTTTGGAGACAATGTGTACCAAGGATGCTCAGATTTTTCTTTTAACAAAGGGATTTTATTCAAATGAAACTTCTATAGAAAGCGAATTGAAACAGAAACGAAGAGAGGCTTTGGTAGCTGATCTGAGGTGCATCTCCCTGTCTTTGCCCTCACCTCACTCAGCAGTCTGATTCACCCCCAGTTTCTTCTTACAGCAAATAAAACCCAGACACCTGAGTCACTTCCTCATGGCCTCAGGTGATGCCATGAACAGCGGAGAGCCTGTAGCTTAACTAGAACGTGAGTCCCACCACTCACTGTGACCTCGCACAGGCCGCTGACTCGTGCCTGCATAATTGGAAATGAGCATAGGTGTTGAGGGTTAAACACTGATACACATGAAACACACAGGACAGTACTCATGGGAGCTACCATCACTATGTGATCAAACACTTGCAGGGTCTTTATTGCAAATAATCATCAAAAGGGCAGAGGACATGACTCAGTGAATAAAGTGTTTGGGATGGCAAGCGTGAAAATCTAAGTTCAAGACCCAACACCCCCACTAAAAAAGAAGTTGCAGATGTGATGTCATATGTCTGTGTCTGTGGCCCCAGTCTGGCATTGAGCAGCAGCACACGAGATAAAGCAGATCCCAGAAGCTCACCAGGCAGACACCCCGGACAGCTGGTGAGCCCCAGGGTCAGTGAGAGATGCTGTCTCCAAAAAGTAAGATGGAGAAAACTGAAGAAGACATTGATGTTGACCTCTGCCCCCCACCTTCACACAAACGTGTGTACACTCACACAAATACCAACACAGAGAGACACACACAAACACCTACACAGACACACACACATACACCCCAAGTTATCAGCATAGTTGCTGTGTGACATGCTCCAACCCTTCTGAGTGTTTTTCTATCTCTAGTGGCAGTTTGTGTCAGGACTCCGCCTCGCCCAACGTCGGGAAAATTCCGTTGCCATTGTCAATGCTGGCATGAGTGTGGAGTTTGAAGAGGGAACAAACACGATCAAGGATCTTCGGATGTTCTTCGGAAGTGTTGCCCCCACTGTGGTCTCTGCGAGACAAACCTGCACGCAGCTCATCGGGAGGTAAAGTCACAGCCTGCCTGGGACACCATGCACAAGCCTTTCTGTCTGAATGTTTTTCGTTAAAAGTATACTTGTGGAAATCTTTCTGAGATTTTATAAATATAAATATTTTCATTTGTTATATAAGTATGTCATGTATAAATGTTTTTGAGGTTTTATAAACACATATTTATATAGTTTCTAATTTATATCAAATAATAGTTATATAAATATTTTGTGTTTGTATAAAATAATATATATGATAATATAAATATTATATAAACTATATCTCCATCTTGAATATTTAAACTCTGAAGAAAATTTTAAGAACTACTCAAAAACTCACCCTTCAAAGTACATATTCTTCTATTATTGCAGGTTTCTGTACAATTATTGCAGAAATCACATTGCTTAAGTAGGTATTATTTTTAAGTAATTAACCTGTAAAATAAGCAGACATCTCCAATACTGAATCCTGAAGATGAAAAAGTGTGTTTAAGCTACATCAAGAAGATGGAATCTTCAAAAGTTCACAGAGCCCTGTTCCTGGCACTCTTCTCGTAGGAAGTTTTTTTGGCTTTGTTTTTGTGGGCTTTTTTTTTCAACTAGAGTTTTCACACAAGTTTTATTTATCCATTTGTGTTCATTCCCAGTGAGGGATTTAATGCAGTTTTCCTTAGATACTGAATTAAACCATCACTTCCAAGACAACCATGGAGAGTGTCCACTTGTGGAATAGTTCAGCCCTTACCTGTTGTTCACTGTGTGTGAACAGTTGCCATTGTCAATGCTGGCATGAGTGTGGAGTTTGAAAACGATACAAACACAATCAAGTGCAGGATTTAAAGCAGAACTGCAGAGTTCAGAAACCTTTGATTTTTAGCAAATCCATACTATAGGCTTATGAGGGTTTAAGAAAGAACTAAGGATACTCGGAAAGAAACATTTGGCAAGTGTTAGATCAGAGGCTGATAAAAGCTAAGGGACCTGGTGTGGTGGAGCATTCAGGAAACAAGGACAGGAGAATGGCATTCCAGAGGTCAGTCTTGGCTGTGTAAGATCCTGCTCAAAGACTAAGGAGGGAGGGAGGGAGGGAGGGAAAGAGGGAAGGAAGGAAGGAAGGAAGGAAGGAAGGAAGGAAGGAAGGAAGGAAGGAAGGAAGGAAGGAGAGAAGGAAGGAAGGAAGGAAGGAAGGAAGGAAGGAAGGAAGGAAGGAAGGAAGGAAGGAAGGAAGGAAGGGTAACTAGAGGGGCACCCCAATTTTCCTTGCCCCAGTAGTTCGGTGCTGTGTCTGCCTGGTTGTTGTAACACACTTTGGGTTACTCTAACGAACACTGGCAACTGCGTAACTCATAAAGGGGAGCGTTTTATTTTGACCTGTGGGTCTAGCCGCAGCTCTCAACCTTCCTAAGGCTGCAACCCTTTACGACAGTTCTTCATGTTGTGGTTACTCCCAACTGTAAAATTATTTCCTTTGCTACTTTGTTTTTTTCTTTATTTGTTTTTGTTTTGTTTGGGGTTTTGGGGGTTTTTTAAATTTTGTTTTGTTTTTCAAGACAAAGTTTCTCTGTATTGTTTTGGAGGCTGTCCTAGAACTCAAACCAGGCTGGCCTCAAACTCACAGAGATCCGCCTGCCTCTGCCTCCCTAGTGCTGGGATTAAAGGCTTGAGCCACCAATGCCCGGCTTCTTTGCTACTTCGTAACTATAATTTTGTTACTGTTACTAATTGTACTGTAAATATCAGTGTTTTCCGATGGTCTTAGGTGATCCTTGTGAAAGGGTCGTTGGACTGTATAGGGGTCGCAACCCATAGGTTGAGAACCAGTGGTCTGGAGGCTGAAGTCCAAAAGCATAGCACTGGCAAGGTGCTCTTGCTCCTTCAGTTCCCAGCGGAAAGTGGCAGGGCATTCGCAGAAGACAGAGGACAGACAGCTTTGCTCTGTGAGAGGCTGTGCCCGCGGTTACTGATCCAGCCCCGGTGACGTCATCCATGGAGAGACCAAACCTCAGGAAAGTCTTTTCCTCTTCTGTCCTTGCAGGCAATGGGACGACCAAATGCTGAGTGACTCCTGCCGGTGGGTGCTGGAGGAGATCCGCATCCCACCAGCCGCTGAGGGTGGCATGGTAGAGTACCGACGGACCCTCATCATCAGCTTGCTCTTCAAATTCTACCTCAAAGTGCGGCGATGGCTGAACGAAATGGTAAATGGCTTCTCTGGACCCCGGAACATGTTCTGCTGCTGAGAATAGTGCCATGAGCGGGCCTGGGGTGGGGTCTGTGGCTTCTCTGTCCTATTCCCTTCAGTCAGTTTCTCAGAAGGGAGCAGCCATGCTACTCTATCTATAGGATAAAAGCTAAGGTACCATCTGAGGTTGACCAACAATGAGGAAAAGTTATCGGTAAGCAAATTGCCTCCTTTCCTCTTTAAAAGGGATTTTCTTGTTGAAATAATAAAAATTGCATTTTAATACTTAGAAACTGAACCAGAGGTGGGAAATTACATGCAATACTATCACCCAATTCAACCTCTACAAATATTTTAGTGTGTGTCCTTCTAACCCTTTCCTTATAGGTGTGTGTGTGTGTGTGATTTGTGTGTGTGACTGTGTGTGTGTGATTGATTTGTGTGTGTGACTGTGAGTGTGTGTGTCTGTGTGTGATTGATTGATTGATTGATGTGTGTGTGTCTGTGATCAATCGACTGATTGATTGATTGGTATGTGTGACTGTGAGTGTGATTGATTGATTGATTGGTTGGTTGGTTGGTTGGTTGATTGGTGTGTGTGTGTATGTTTGTGTGATTTGTGTGTGTGACTGTGAGTGTGACTGATTGATTGATTGGTTGGTTGGTTGGTTGATTGGTGTGTGTGTGTGAGTGTGTGTCTGTGATTGATTGACTGATTGATTGAGTGAGTGAGTGATGATTGGTTGGTTGGTTGGTGTGTGTGAGTGTGTGGAGTCAGAGGACAGCTTTCACTAGTCAGTTGTCTCCTTCTACCTTGTTGGTCCTAAGGATCAGAATCAGACTATCAGGTTTAATTGCAAACACCTTTATCTGCTGAACCATTTCCTGAACCTGGATCATTCTGTCTCTACACTTGTTTCTCAAGTCAGTAGCTCAAGTTGTAAAATTGAATGCAAAGTAATTTTTTTCCAGGATCCCCAGAAGTTTCCTGACATCCCAGAAAAGTTCGTGAGTGCTCTGGATGATTTTCCCATAGGAACACCCCAAGGAATTCAGATGTTTCAGGTGAGTAGGACTTTTTTTCTAATCTACGCATTCAGACAAGATATGCATTATATAAATGTGCATCTCTTTTCAACAACTTTATTATGAGTAAATATATAGTCTTATAAAAAGCCGGCCAGTGTCACATGTGGTCAAACATATACTATTTGCATGGTTTATTCAAGGCTGCTGGAGGGATTAGAGTCTGAATCTTACTTCTCTACTTTTTCAGGCTTGTTGCCTAAAATTTCTCCTTTACTTTGTACATCTCTGAGCTTCCTCTGAATTCATACTCAGCATTAAACGCCTTTCTAACTCCTTCCTTGCTTTGCTGCAGTCACCCTGGATGTCCAGGAGCATGTCTATTTTATTACCTTTTATTAGTTGTGGAAATTATACTTTATTGTAAGCTGAAGTAGAACGTATTGTTTCGGGGGGCATTTATGTTCTAATCACTTAGTTAGACTGAAGAATCCTTGAAGACATGAATGCTGTCTTCTTTGCAGAAGGATGTTGCGATCAGAGTAGATCCCTTACCACATTCTCAAGAGATATTTACTAGTCTCTGTTTGCAGACTTGGGAATCCAGTCACCTATAGTTATTCTTGATTGTAAGTAAGCCCAACACAGCAGACCCAATTGTCATGTCTGTTGTCAAATATCTTGTCTTGTTTCCTAACAGTGTGTGGATCCCAGCCAACCCCAGCAAGACCCAGTCGGGCACCCAGTCATGCACCAGTCGGCCATTAAACATGCCACGGGGGAAGCTATATATGTTGCCGACATGCCTCCCATTGACCAAGAACTTCTCCTTGTTGTAGTTACCAGTTCCAGGGCCCATGCGAAGATCACGTAAGGAAATGCACATGGTGCCATCTGGTACTGAAAGTCATCCACCTTTTCACATTCAAATTGAGAGTCTATTATACATTTAAGTATACTTAGGATAATCATCTCTTCTGGGTGAGAACCAGCCACTTTTTTTTATTGCTAGTTTTACTACATTGATCCTACCTATCCAAGAGCATGGGCGATCTTTCCATTTTCTGAGGGCTTCTTTAATTTCTTTCTTTAAAGATTCAAAGTTCTTGTGATACATGTCTTTCACTTGTTTGGTTAGCATTACCCCAAGGTATTTTATGTTGTTTGTGGCAATTGTAAAGGGTGATGTTTCTCTGATTTCTTTTTCAGCCCTTTTATCATCTGTATATAGTAGGGCTACTGATTTTCTTGAGTTGATCTTGTAGCCTGCCACTTTGCTGAAGGTGTTAATCAGCTGTAAGAGTTCCCTGGTAGAGTTCTTTGGGTCATTGATGTATACTATCATATCATCTGCAAACAGTGAAAGTTTGACCTCTTCCTTCCCAATTTGTATCCCCTTGATCCCCCTTTGTTGTCGTATGGCAATGGCTAGAACTTCAAGTACCATGTTGAAAAGGTATGGAGAGAGTGGACAGCCTTGTTTTGTTCCTGATTTTAGAGGAATTGTGTTGAGTTTCTGTCCATTTAGTTTTATGTTGGCTGTTGGTTTACTGTATATAGCTTTTATTATGTTTAAGTATGTCCCTATTATCCCAGATCTCTCCAAGACCTTTATCATGAAGGGGAGAACCAACCACTTTTAAAGCATAGATATAAGTGAATCTGTGACCCAAAGTTAAAACACCTGCCAGTATTTTTCAGCATAGACTATACAACATGATTTAGTTGTAATACTCTTCATAGATTTCCCTGTCTGCGGAATCATTTGTACTCCTTTGCAACCTTGTGATCTTCATGTTTCTCCTCCCAGATCTCTAGATGTGTCAGAAGCCCTGAAGTGTCCAGGTGTGGTTGACGTTATTACAGCCGAGGATGTTCCAGGAGATAATAACCACAGTGGGGAAATTTTCTTTGCACAGAGTGAGGTGTGCGATCTATTTGTGGTTTGTCTTCTAACTCACTGCCCCAGTGTCAAAATCATTCACTGTTAGTTGTAGCTACAGCAACTACAGTTTCACTCGCCAGAACCCGGAGTTGTCTCAGTCACTCTCCCACTCCCTCTGAGGTCTTGAATTACCTTGAGATTATAACAAAATGCTTTAAGTCCTCTCAAGGAAGGCTTCCAGTTGCTGGGAAAGTCACCTATGCAATGGAAAGCATGAGACATTAAAATAAGAATCATGGGGTGACTCTGTGCTGTGGGAACAATGAGGGGTGTGGGCAGACACAACAGGGCATATGGTTGAACTCAAGTAACTAAGTTCTATGCATGCACAACTTTGATCAGGCCCGCTCAAGACACTGTTCAAAGTTGCTTTTCATGGCTATAAAATGGTCTTCCTAAGCCAGGTGTGGTGGCATATGCCTTTTATGCCAGCACTTGGGAGGCAAAGGCAAATGGACCCCTGAGTTTAAGGCCAGTTTGACCTACAGAGAAAGCTCCAGGATAGCCGGAGCTACACACAGAGAGAAATCTTGTCTTGAAAAACAAAAGAAAAGAAAAAAGGGAAGAAGAGAAAGAAGAAAAGAAAAGGGTTTCTCTTTTGGTCACTAAAACATCAGTAGGCAATGTAAGAATGTGAGGGCAGTAATTCCTTTTGGAAAACTGTTTTATTTTTTACTTTGTTTTGAGACTAGATGCCACACATCCTGGGCTGGCCTTGAACTCATTGTGTAGCCATGTGCTCCACGTACCTAGTTATGTGGTGCTGAAGATCTAGCCCAGGGTTTCATGCATACTAGGCAAGCGCTGCACCAACTGAGCCACATCCCCAGCCACTGAGTCTGTTTTAACTGACTGTGTGGCTTTTCTGCAGGTCATTTGTGTGGGTCAGATCATCTGTGCTGTAGCTGCTGACACCTATGCCCATGCAAAGGAAGCAGCTAGACAAGTGAAGATTGCTTATGACGACATCGACCCAACGATTATCACAATAGAGGTATAACCCTGCCTATCTTCTGGAGTAGCCAGGGAGGCATAGTTAGAACAGGATTCAACCAGAGGGGCCATAGAATAAAGTAATTTACACTTCAACTATACTTTAGCCAGTGTCACCTGCAGGTTTAGAGTACAGTCTCCAGTAATCTCTCTGCACCTCCAGTCAGGACACTGAGGCTCTCCTATCTAAACCTCCTCCTCCCACCAGCAATTCTGCTGGAATCTGCGGGAATCTGCAAAAATAAAGCACCCTGTACCCATTTCTCCCGTGGCCTCTAACCATGGCCTAGCTTGAGAATACAGAGTAAGCACCACAAAAATGAGCTCCTATCCATAGGCACTGAGTGGGACAGTCTAGAGCACTGTGGAATTCGTGAAAGTTGCAACAGTCAGCAGCTACCTGGCCCTCTGCCTCTCAGCCCATTCTCTGATTGCACACAAACACTGAAGACAGACCTCTTGAGTTCATCATGTGAGTCTGCCTTTGCAGCCTCTGAACTGCAATAGAGACTTTGGCAAGTCAATCAAACTTCTCAAACTTCAGTTGGAAACTTTTAAGTACCTGCACCAAAAAGTTATTGAGAAATTTAAACATGGGTTTAAAGTCCAAGGAAATGTTAAGAATAGCACCAATGATGGAGAATGCATGCAGTAGATGTTAGCTGTCAATACGGTTTTGCTATCATTAATGAAGGCAAGGATATGTTATATTTTGTTTTATAATGTTGGTATCTACTAAAATGCTAACCTAATAACACATGCTCAGTAATGTGTGTTGATGCTGAAGTCATGGGAAGGTAGATAAACAGACAGAAGCATAAGTAGGGTGCAACCCTGAACACCCTTGGATTTGTTCTTTCTAACCGCTGTCAGGTTCATCTTTAGCTATTAATTGTACTTTGACTGTCCCTTAACCCTGTTCCTTTCTTCTCATTCTCACTTTCTAGCCCTCATCCTCAATAACTTATTTTCATAATGGCCACTTCAAGAGATTCCCATCTTCCGTTTCAGCCCACCTACTCAGGACATTAAATTTCTAACCCTCATTGTCACCTTTGCTATTCTGCAGTGTCCTCTGGGGCAGTGTCAAAACTCCTTAGCGTAGAAGCACGGCCATTCACAAGCCTGCCTCACCCCTCCTTCCATTATCCCTGTCATTGTCCATTGTTTCTCCATAAAGAGCCCACATCCCGGCCAACCTGGCCTCATTCTCACTTTGGCCCCTCACTTATGAAGTACCATTGACTTAAAACAACTCAGGATCCAATTCAAGTCGTCAATTCCAGTCCATTCCAGATCATTCCCGCTTCTTGACCTCTTCACTCCACCATATACCCTCCTTGGCCAGAGCTGACAGCTCAGTAGCAAGCCACCTCGGATAGTCAATGAGCCATCTGGAAGTGGGGTCAAGTTTGTACACCCTTGTACTCCCCTTAGCTCTTCTCAAGAACCATCAGCAACAAATCGCCAATGCCTGCAAATACATCTAAATCAGTTTCTGCTTACTCAACTCCACGCCAGGCTCCAATTGTCTTCGTGTGTAAAATCTGACAGAGCAGAAGTATAGAATTCAGATAGGGACAAATGGCTTATTAGAATAAAAACTATTTTATTTTTTGTTTGATTTTCCACTGCAGCAAGCCCTAGAACACAATTCTTTTCTTTCTCCTGAGAAAAAAATTGAACAAGGAAATGTAGAAAGTGCCTTCAAACATGCGGATCAAGTCATTGAAGGTACGTATGGCCATCCACAGCCAGAAAGAGGAGGCAGCTTCTGAAGCCGGTGCTCATCTATCTAGCCTAAGAACATGAAACTCTATCACAGGTGCTTGTTAAAGAGAATTTAAAATGACAGTAAGTTCCTAACCTGATGAGTTTTACATGTGCAAAGCTGTGTAATGCTATATACATCAAAATATAAAGTATTTCCAGTGCCCATAAACCATACGTGTGTGTGTGTGTGCGCGCGCACACACACGTAATAAAAACTAAATGAAATGTTTAAAATATGCTATGCTATCATAGGGGTTATTTTGAACCGAAGGCCACTGAGAAAAGTAGACACAAGAAAAGGCTACCTTTTCTCTGTCTGTCTAAAAGAAGGACATAAGGATCCCCCTGCCCAAGGGTCCTCTCTCCTCTCTCATACCAGAAGAGCAGGACACAAGACAGCTCCAGACTCTTAGCATCGCAGACGTGAAAGCCCTGGGTGGAGTCTGCACAGCAAAGTCACGTAGATAAACTTCTGCCGTTAGTTCCCCGTATACTTTTCTCCCCATATTTTACTATATCCTGATGCTCAAAACTCTTTTCATGTAGTTACATAATCTATATATTCCTCCAAACATCTGCTTCCATTTGTTAAAATGGCAAACAAGCCTTCATGCCTGACCACCATTTCTGTGAGAGCCCCTCTCCCATCATTTTGTGTGCATAGGAATAAGACTCCTGTGGGAAAAAAAGTCAACAAAATACGTTTAAGTTTAGGTTAGAGTCAGTGTATTCACTCTGGAAGTGAACTAGGGGGAAGAGCTTTTTAACAGGAAAGAGGATTTCTAATGGATTTTTTTAATAATGGGTTTTGTTATGATGCTTTGCTCTATGTCCCACTGTACTCTGTGTGCTCCACTCCACCCTTCCTCTCACATCCACCCTTCCTTCCTCTCTGGCTCCTGCCTCCTCACAAGTAGTTCCCTTCCTGGTGTGTGTGTGGGTGTGTGTGTGTGTGTGTGTGTGTGTGTGTGTGTGTGTGTGTGTGTGTGTGCTGTTTCAGATGCTGGACTGCCTGGGACACTGCTTCAGAATATCTTGCTTCATCAAACCACAGAAATCTGGAAGGAATCCACAGTTCCTCATTTTAGAGAATGCCAGACTTTCATTCTCTCCTCCCAGGATCACATGGCAACTCTCCAGATACCTCTCTTAATGTCATGCACAGCATGATAAAATATGCTGAACCTGACTCAAGCATGTACCATTATCTCACCTGTTAATGTCACCTGACTGAGGTGGACAGTCTTATTATTGTTGTTTTCGCTTGCCTATTTTTACAACTGAAAACATTGGGTTTAACAACTTGGACAAATTCACCCACCAGGTTGATGGCTGAGCCTGGATGCACAGCCAGACTAGTCTCAAGTTGAGCACATGGTATGTATAGCCACCTCACTAAACAGATGGGAACCAAGGCCTAGAAAGGCAAAGTGACTAACCCAGGGTCACTCAACCTGCTGGGCACAGCATTCCCAAAGGTCTCTCAGCCAAATGATACGACACCCAGCTCCTCAAGCTAGTACAAATCACTCTCTTTTTTTTCCTTCTTCGTTTCAATTTATGTGCATGGATGTTCTACCTACATGTGTGTCTAAGCACCATCTGTGTGACTGTTGTTCAAGGAGAACAGAAGAAGAAATAGGTTCCCTTGGGACTGGAGTTAGAGAAGGCTGTGAGCCACCATATGAGTCCTGGGAATCGAACCAGGATCCTTTGGGAAAACAGCCAGCACTCTTAACCACTGAACCAGCTCTCAGTCTCATAACACAAATCACTGCTTGCAAACAAAACACTCAAGGAGCTCCCATGCTGAAATCTGTGTCTAAACATTGTCCTATGTGTTTGCTTTTCAGGTGAGGTCCACGTGGAAGGCCAGGAACATTTTTACCTGGAAACGCAAAGTATCCTGGCTATCCCACAAACCGAAGACAAAGAAATGGTGTTACACCTAGGGACACAGTTCCCAACGCATGTGCAGGTAATGGGCGTTGCAGAGACGCTATGAGAAGAGTCCCTCCACTCTTGTCCTTAAACGCCATGCATACTTGACACTGGCTAAAGTTTAGCATAATAAAAACAGGGAAAATGCCTTTTAAAGTAATCAGGAAATCTTGTGACATGCCAAGGTCCATCTTTCCCTGCAGAACAATTGACAGTGTGAAAATCCCAGGGAAGTCCAGCCTAGGTGTCATCCTGTAACTTCCCTGTGTGGTCCTCCTACACAAATGTCCCCATGGATCATGGTTCAGTTCATGTGTAAAGCAATTGCATTCTCAAGACCTTTTGAGCTACCTCAATAAGCAGTGGCTACACTCTAGTGGCTAACCCAGGAAATGAAAAATATCTTCTGGTGTCCTATTCTCGAAATGGAGTCATTAACCCTAGCATAGTGCCAAGCCCAGGGGATACTCTGGAGTTTCTATCAGAGAAAAGGATCATGAGGAGCATTGCTGAGACAGAGAGCTGAGGACTTTCTGGTAGAGAACAGAGGAACTGATTTCCTGGTGTCCGGAAGAGGTGGCTGGGCCTGGGAGGGAAGCTGCCAGCTTCCATTTAAGGCAAAATGGAAAGCTGATGTCATTGCCTCGGAGCACAGATGGGCCTGTGGCCTCCACAGCTCCCAGGTTCGAAGCAGGCAGGGGCAACTTTACCCTCAAGTGCTGTGGAATAACCCTTTTGTACACTGTGAAGATTTGCTGGTCAGACTGGTTTAATAAAAAGCTGATTGGCTGATAGCTTGGATTTTCAGGGCAGAGAGAATGATGGGAAGAAGAGCAGAGTCGGGAGATGCACATAACAAGCCTGGGCTGTCGGCAGAACATTTATAATTAATATTAAGTCTCCGTGTCAGTTATTTGAGAAGTGGCTTGAAGAACAGAAACTTCCACCTACACTCAGGCAACTCTGTGTAAATTGAAGGGAGTGATCATGGTCACCTCTGATGTCCCTGCTCAGTTCCACAGCAGTGGGTATGCCCCTAGGCACCAGGCACTTACAGACTGCCATAGTCCAGAGTTCAGGCAGCAGCAAAAGCATCTCAGGAGAGGACCTGAGTGGACATTTGTCCAAAGAAAATATGTAAATGACTAGTAAGCATAAGATGTCCAGCAGCAGCAGCTGCCAGGGAAACCCAATTCAAAACAACCCACTAGAGTGGCTATGATTTTAAAAAACGAAGATTACAAGTGTTTGTAAGAATGCAGAGAAACTGGAACCTCCATAAATTGCCAATGCACAAGAAAAAAAAATAGCACGTTTGTGTAGGTGGAGTTTTTCCGTGTTCTGGCAGTCACTCTCAAATAACCACACAGACAGAGACTTACTATTAATTATGAATGCTTGGCCCATAGCTTATGCTTGTTTCTATCTAGCACTTGTAACTTGAATTAACCCATTTCTATTAATCTATGTGCTTCCCTGAGGCTTGTTTATCTCATGTATGTACTTCCCATCTACGTCTCATGGCATCGCCTCAGACTCTGCCCTTTTTCTTCCCAGAATTCTCTCTGTTCTGAAAATTCTACCTAGCTATTGACCAGTCAGCTCTTTATTAGCCAATGAGAGTAATATGTACTTACAGCACATTTGCCTTGGAACGTAGTTTGGCAGTCTCTCAGGATGCTGGAAATAGAGTGACCATGAAATCCAGCAGTTCCATGACTAAGTATGCAGCCAAGAGAAGTAGAAGCATGATGGTGAAGACTTATACATCTAATACCTTATGTGCTAATTTAAACATTTTTAATTTTTTAAAAAATTAGACACATGTTCGTAACTTAAAAGAAGTGGAAACAACCCAATGTCCATTAACTGATGACAAAGAAAAAATAATAATATTCCATACAGTAGAACATTATTCAGTCAAAAAAGCAAGATATACTCATGTATGCTGCAGGTAGAGGGCACTTGAAAGCACTGGGCTAAGTAAAAGAAACCAGTCACAAAGACTACCTATAGTATAGCTCTGCTGTGTGAAAAGTCTGTAGAGGCAGGACACAGACTCCAAGCTGCTTGCTGAGTTCTAAGAAGTTCATGAGAAATAAGGAATGGCTACCCATGGATCCAGGTTTCTTCGGGGATGCTGAAATTCCTAAACTAGACTATGGTGGTTGTTCAACCCTATCAGTGGAGGTTTCAGTTGAAGCAGTCAGAACAGCACACAGGCAAGATGGTGAATCATGGAATTACACTTATGTGGCTTGGGGCCTTTCTCTTGCAGGAATATGTGTCTGCAGCATTAAAGGTCCCAAGGAGTAGAATTGCCTGCCACATGAAAAGAACTGGAGGAGCATTTGGGGGCAAAGTGACCAAGCCCGCTCTACTGGGAGCTGTGGCTGCTGTGGCCGCCAACAAGTAAGAGGTCCAGTGACCACTGTGACATCAGCAGTCTGAGTTGCTTAAGTTCTTCCCACCCTGCATCCCACCTCTCGCCTCAGCCTACAGCTCAGCTGAAGTTGGCGGGATGGAAGGCCAGAACCCCAGCCTGACAACACTTTGTCCTGAAGTCGGCTGCATGCCGCTGCCAGGCAACGTTCCTCTGGTTAGAAAGCACATGCTGGTGCAGGCCTGACTGGGAAGCCTGTAACTACCAACACTGACTAGGATAACACCCGCCCAGGCTGACTCACAGGCTACTGGTACAGAAGGAGAATCTGAGAGAATCTTAGCTCATTTGTACTCTCCAGCTGTAGAGAAGGCCTCCTCAAGTGAACACAACAGCTTGGCAGGGGCTGGAAACCAGAGTCCTGAATGACCCCTTTACAAGAGGGGTCTGTACATAGAGAAACTGGCATCTACAGAGCCTTAGACCTCCACTTTTAGCCTCAACAATCCCCTCACAGAAATATGTTAATGCCCCAATTACTGTGTGAAAGTGAAATTCCGAACAAAAACGTTTTATGCATACAACAGCAAAATGATTGTGGGACTCATTTATATAGCATGAAAAAGAGCCAGACCATTTAATCCCAGGACTCAAGAGGCAGAGGCAGAGGCAGGTGAATCTCTGAGAGTTCCAGACCAGCCTGGTCTACATAATAAAATCCTGTCTCAAGAAAGAAAAAGGAAGCCAGGTGTGGCTGGTGCACACCTCTAACCCCAGCCAGCACCCAGGAGGCAGAGGCAGGTGGATCTCTGTGAGTTCAGGACCAGCCCTGATGCCAAGACAGCTAGGGCTACACAGAGAAACCCTGTCTCAAAAATAATTTTTAAAAAAGAGAAGGAAAGAAGAAGGAAGGAAATGGGAATAATTTATAACCAAATATTAAATCGTCATGATATGCAAATATTCAGTTGACTAAACCAGAATACTTATTTTGGTTTCAATGCCCTGACTGCTTCTAAAATGTTTTCTAAGGTATGTTACTATCCATGTAAAACTGAGCTAATTACTTCAAGACTCCTCTCCCCTATCTTATGCTTCCACAACTTTATGGAGAATGCAGCCTTTTAATTGAGTCATTTCCCACAGGACTGGCCGCCCAATCCGCTTTGTCCTAGAGCGTGGTGATGACATGCTGATAACTGCTGGCCGCCACCCACTCCTGGGAAAATACAAAGTGGGTGAGACCCAGAAGTTCAGCACACTGCCTAAGAACCTGTCCTCTGTCAACCAACCCACATTAAAGACTGTGTCCAGACACCACACCACTTAAAGGGGATTATTTGAGTGCTGTGCAAAACTAGGCAGACCCTCCCAGATGGTGTTAGGCTAGTGTTTCTCTGGTGATTGTCACAGCCAGTCATGAGGATGGCCTAAGCATGGGTTGACAACAACAATCAGGTGTTGCGTTTGTGCACAGCACAGTTTGGCTGCGGGGAAAGGCTACTGAGAAGGCTCTTTCCTCATTATTGCTTTGCAGATCGGGTTCATGAATAACGGGGAGATCACGGCTGCTGATGTGGAGTATTATATCAATGGAGGATGCACTCCTGATGAGTCGGAGTTGGTAAACGCCTTCGGGGGAGAGCCCAGGGTCCTAACTTCATCTGTACAAATACTTGTCTTACCAGTTCTGCAAAGGGTTTAAGTTAAAGATAAAATTCAAATAAGTGGCTTGAAATCTTGGTGGTAGATGAAATGTTAATTTTTGTTTTAATTCAGGTGATAGAGTTTATTGTGCTGAAATCTGAAAATGCGTATTATATCCCAAATTTCCGGTGCCGGGGAAGGGCTTGCAAAACAAATTTGCCATCTAACACAGCCTTCCGGGGATTCGGCTTCCCTCAAGCTACGTTGGTAGTCGAAGCATACATAACCGCAGTGGCATCTAAATGCAACCTACTCCCTGAAGAGGTGAGCAGTTTGGACCTGCATTAAAACAGTGACAGCACTGCTTGGGATGCGTCTTGAGCTCCTACAATCTTTATGTATAACTTTTTCAAGAAAATAAAATGCCTTGCCCATTATCAGTTAACACTTTCTATTGTAGTAAGCAAATCACAAAACCTGATAGCTCCAAGCAATGATGCTATTTCTTTTGATTCTGTGAGTTGCTTGTGGGCTTTTCCAGTCTGGGGCAGCTTGTTGGAAGCTTTATGGCTCAAGAAGGCTTTATTGACATTTCTGATGAATATCTGACTGGCTTATCTGACTGCAAAGCATCTGAGAAGTGTGATCCACAGTCTCTCACCCTTCAGTCAGCTAGCTTAGATTCATTCTCAAGCTGGGGAGGGCAGGGAGGTCGCAGAGTTTCCAAGAGCAGCAGGTAAATGTTATGCCCTAAGCCACACTTTTCAAGTCTCTGTCTACATCACCATGTATGGTCCCATCATACAAAACAAGTCACAAGGTTAGTCCAGAGTCTGTATGAAACTATACCGGGCAGAAACCAGGTAGGATGATTGCAGCCTTTGTGCAACATCCTGTCACATTTAAGACTTTGAAGAGAGATGGAGGCATAACTCAGTGGACGAGCACTTGCCGGGCGTGTGCAAGGCTCTAAAGACTTCAAGTGGGGATAATTGAGAGTAATTAAGAATCTGAGTCAGGAGAATTTCACCTTGCCAACAAATTGAATACAGGACTAGTAATAATAGTCCCAGTGTCTCTCAGGGTTATTGTGAAGTTCACTGAAACACTTAATCTAGATCCTGGAGCACATGAAGTATTCATTAGTAGTTTCTATTGGGTTTTGTTGTTGTTGTCATCATTTTTAACCCATAAATTTACATATTTATATACTTGAGGTTTTTTTAGACAAACTTTCTCCGTATCAGACATGTGGCAAAAACGCATGACATTCTCACCTTCCAGGTTAAAGAAATAAACATGTATAAGACAACTAGCAAGACAGCCTATAAACAGACATTCGATCCAGAGCCCTTGCGAAGATGCTGGAAAGAATGTCTAGAGAAGTCATCGTTCTATGCTAGGAAGCAAGCTGCAGAAAAATTTAACAAAAAGAATTACTGGAAGAAAAGGGGGCTTGCTGTCACCCCCATGAAGTTTAGCATCGGGATGCCCACAACCTTCTACAACCAGGTGAGGCAGAATAACTGTGTCCTCCTCCAAGCCCTTCTCTAAATGGCTGGCCTTCTGAAAATGGCTCGTGCGTAAGGGAGGGAATAGTAAGCAATTGTGTTGTTCCCTCTGGAGAAAGAGAAATGAAGAGCAGTTAGTTCCCTTTAGCAGAAGAGAGCATGGACATAGACAAGGGCTGGGCCCATGGATATCGGCACAGACTTTCAGGATGCAGACCTCCAGGATACAGTCAGTATTCCAGGCCTTGGAAAGCCTCAGCGGTAAGGTCTGGCTCTGAGAGACCCATCTGAGGAGCCATACCCTAGTGTGAGTGCTGGAATGTCAGGCCAGCTTTCAAGAGCAAACTGAGACCAAAAAAAATCCCTTTCTTGCCTTCTCTCTAATTTCAACATAACTGGTTTCTCATGGAGTTCAATTTCTAGCTTGATCTTTTTCTTTCCATCCCCATTAAGCTTTACCATAAGCTAGGCACCCAGGGTTTGGCCAGCTATCCCCATCTCTGGGCTTGTAGTCCCCCCTGTACAAAGTGAAGACTAAATCAATGGATCCCACCCGAGCCTGACCATCATCAAGGTCATGTTAAACCTGGGTATCCAGGCTATGCTGCCAGCCTGCAGCTGAGCAGGGTTATTTACACTGGGACACATGCTCCTCCCCCAGCCATCACTCCAAAAAGAAGTTTTCAAAAAGCCTTTGGAAACCATGAAATACCTCCAACTCCTCCCAGGTCCTCCAGTATCCAGGAGAAGGTGTGCCTGGAAATGTACTTGTGTGGGTTCCAGTAGAGCGTGTTAAGTCACTTTCCACACTGGGTGAGGAAAAAATAACGAAGCATTGTCCAGGTTGAGGCTTTTAAGAGACAGATGCTGGGGACTGAGGAAGGGGAATAGACACATGCACACATCTAGATTGGTGGTTTCAGGTCCAGGGTGTCTTACAAAGGGTTGTCTTTGGCTCTCTTATCCACACTGAGAAATGAGAGTCTGGTTAAATCGAAAGAAGTGGTTCATCCAACAACCATGGGCGAACTCACAACAGCATTTGCCTCTAATGTGTTTCTAAACTGGTATGATGATTTGTTTCTCCCAGGCAGCTGCTCTGGTCCACATCTACATAGATGGCTCTGTTCTGCTGACTCATGGTGGCTGTGAGCTGGGACAAGGCCTGCACACCAAAATGATTCAGGTGAGATAAGCATTTGTCTCCATGGTGAAGTGCATCTGTGTCTCCATGGTGAAGTGCATCTTGTGTTCCCCATGCTGAAGTGTATCTTGTGTCTCCATGGTGAAGTGCATCATGTGTTCCCCCATGATCAAGGGTATTGGGTAGAACAGGTGCCAAGCCAGTTTTTCCCATATTGAGTCAGAAGCATCACACAAGCCAGTTGTAAGACTCAACCTGACTTTCAGGGATACAAAACTACAAGGGGAAGAGGAAAGGGGGGCTAGAACAGAGGAAATTCAGTATCATTCCTCCTGCATCAAAAGAATTGAGTTCATGGTTTTGGGGGGAGATCCAGTTACCAAAGATATTCATGGTGACGACTCAAAGTAATAATGTCTTCATTCAGATCCTCAATTAGCAATGAACGCTTCACATTATGAAAACCTGAGCTCTTGAGAGTTCACCCTCTGTGAGGCTGAAACCTGAGCTCACTACAGGCAGGGCTGCCAATCCACTTAGCGGTTTGTCAAGCCCAAGCAGCTTCTATTGTGAAGGGAATGGTGGTGGTTAGAGACTACACTCTACTTTAGGAATCCATTCGCCTGGCCTGCTGCTGTTCCATAGGATAATGCAAAGCATTTCTCTACTATTCTAGAAGATTATTGCAATGGGAAATTTTCCTGTCTTTGTTTTAATGTGAAACAGCAGTTGTTGGATATGATTTGAATTAAAAGTGTATATGGGAGGTAGAGCGGGGACAAATGAGAGCACAGTATAAAGACATGTGTGAGCACACTCAGCAAGACCAGCTACTTTATATGTTAACCTAAATCACTGGTTTTCTTACATTTTGTGTGCGTAAGTGTATTGAGAGTGTATGTGTGTGAGTGTGTGTGAGTGTATGTGTGTTAGTGTGATGTGAATGTGTGAGTGTGTGAGTGTGTAAATGTATGTGTATGTGTGAGTGCATGTGTGAGTGTATATGTGAGTGTGTGAATGTATGTGTGAGTGTATTGTGAGAGTGTGAGTGTATGTGTGAGTGCATGTGTGACTGTATATGTGAGTGTGTAAATGTATGTGTATGTGTATGTGTATGTGTGAGTACATGTGTGAGTGTATGTGTGAGTGTGTGAGTTTATGTGTGAGTGTGTTAATGTATGTGTATGTGTGAGTGCATGTGTGAGTGTATATGTGAGTGTGTGAATGTATATGTGAGTTTATTGTGACAGTGTGAGAGTATGTGTGAGTGTGTAAGAGTGTATATATGAGTGTGTGTGAGTGTGTGTTAGTGCATGTGTGTGAGTGTGTAAATGTATGTGTGAGTGTATGTGTGAGAGTGTGAGTGTATGTGTGAGTGCATGTGTGAATGTATGTGTGAGTGTGTGTGAGTATGTTTGTGCAACATTACAGTGTGCATGTGTGTGTGTATGTATGAGTGTGTGTGTATGAGTGTGTGTGTATGAGTGTGTGTGTGCACCATTATAGTATGCATGTGGAATCAGAAGGCAGTGGGTAGGGAATGAGTTCTCTCCTTCCACCCTGTGGGTTTCAGGGAATGTGGGTTGTCTAGCTTGGCAACAGACATCCCTACCCACTGAACCATCCTGCCAGCCCTAAAACATGGTTGGTTGGTTTGTTTGTTTGTTTGTTTTTAATGAGTATGAAAAATGCTCATCAATAAGAAACAACTTCCCAATGAGCAAAGACAAATTCTTTAAAAAGAAATATCATTTGGTAAGGCTCTTAGGACCAGAAAACCACACAAATTTGCAGGACCCTCTGTGACTGCTGTACTTCCTTGCAAACCTAAGCCTGTGAAGTGTCTCTGAGGAAAACCTCCTGCTAAATCATCTGTAGACCTGGAGGGGAAGGTGCAAGCGAAACAGTAGACCCAGTGCTTCCCGCCAGCCTCCGAGAGCCCTTGAAACCCTGCATGCAGAGTGGCTACGCCATTGCATGGCTTCCACAGGGCAGGTGTCCACGAAGCACAGAAAGGCTGCTTATTTAGCCATCTGTGGCAAAGGGTGTGTGTCCTTGACAGTGCCATTTGAAACCGAGACTCGGCCTCTGTCCCTGCAGCAGGATAGCCAGGCTTCATGCTCAGCTATAGAAAGAATGCGAGCTTTTTCACTCGGAAGAGGGCTTCAAGTCAATGAAGTAAACACTATTTTCGTTCTGCCTCTGGCAGGTGGCTAGTCGAGAACTCAACATCCCACAGTCCTATGTGCACCTGTCTGAAACTAGCACTGTCACCGTGCCCAATGCTGTCTTCACTGCCGCCTCCATGGGGACAGACATCAACGGGAAGGCCGTACAGGTGATTTTTCTTTCCTTTCTCAGCAGCCACAAGTAGTTACATTTGTTACACTTGTAACACTTATTCTTTTGTGGAGGATGAGACCAGAGGCCAAGTTCTAGTCCCCTGGGCAAATTCTGGCAGAGCTGAGGCTCTCTGTCGAAGTTTCTGAAGTCGCTTGCTGTTTCCATTGCGTGGGCCGCCAATCATAACCTGTGCTCTCTGACAACAACCTCCCTTTGTCTTGTGTCAGAGTACCTCTCCCTCTCACCCAGGACAGCACAGCAATGCAGGGAAGTCCCATGTTGTCTTCATGGAGAGTTTGGGCCGAAAAGCTAATCTCTTCAGGAACCCATTTCCTTTTCTGGAAAACTGAGACTACAAATGCCACCTCCCTCAGAGAACTGTTTATGAATTACAGCTATCACCTCATCCCTTTCTACTCCCAAACTCTAGAAAAGCACCCGTGGGCTTTTAATCTCCCCCAAAGACCATCTCTACAAAATGGCCACACCTAGGTGAAAGGAAAGCTGCCAGACTGCCAAGTGTCTCCGTGTATCATCGTTTTATTGGTGTGTACACTGGTGTGTACCTCATCATTTTATTAGTGTGTGCACACTCGTTGTATTAGTATGTAGACTGGTGTACACTCCTATCATTTTATTAGTGTGTAGACTGGTGTGCATACTCATCGCTTGGTTGTGTAAATGGGCACAAAATAGTTTTAACTCCAAGGAGCCACTACTTAGTGCACAGTTAAACACCACTGTTAACTTCAAATCAATGCTGCAGAACTTTATTCTCCTGAAGATAGTCCACATGCTACTCACATTTAAGAAATCCTATAAGAGACATAAACAAGTCTATAAAACAGCCGCCATTAAAATCTCCCGAATCACTAACATTTTTCTGTTCTTTGTGTTTATTTCTAAAGTCACTCTAAACATTCATTTTTCAGAATGCCTGCCAAATTCTTATGGAACGTCTTAGTCCCATCATCGAGAAAAACCCTAAGGGAAAATGGGAGGAATGGGTGAGTGTTCTCTTCTACCCCAGGCAAGGAAGAGCAATGCCACACAGCATGGGTAAAAGTGCTCAATGCATGCAATGCAGGCAGCAGCCACCTACAGCTTAGTGTTCTCTTCTTAGCATTTCCTTCTGCTTTTTCAGAATGGTAGAGGTGTATGTGTTCGCAGAGATCTGACCTCATTTCAGAGCCAGTACTTCACAGAGAGTAAGGGCAGCTCCAGTTCTAAAGTACAATCCCCTGGGGCTGCTTCCCTGTGCTGCAGGACTGGCTACAGGGCGAGACTATAGCACTCCTAGCCCGAAGGACTGGGGACTTTAAGATGGCCAGCGGTTAAGAGCATTGGCTGCTCTTACAGAGAACCTGGGCCCAGTTCTCAGCACTCACACGGCAGCTCACAACCATCTGTAACTTCACCCTCCTCTGACCTCCAGGGGTACTGCATGCATGCAATGCACATACATGCATACATGTATGCAACACACACATATGTATATATGTTCTCATATAGATATATAAAATGCAAATACTTTTAAAAATCAAAGATTATTCTACTTTTAGTAACTCTACTACAATCACCACCATCAATCATCCCCTACAGAGCTCTCCAGCAGAGAAGCTGACATGGCCATTTAGTGGACAGTTATCAAGACACAGAATGAGAAGCAGAACAATACACAGCACACATACATGCCTGTATTCACACCCTGTGTGCATGCCCATGGACACAAACACAGTCTAGTCCCTCGCTAATCTGAAAGACCAAGAACGTGGAAAGTCATGTGAGAGGCCCAGGACGTAGCCGGCGGCTGCAGCAAGCCCCTTCTCCATGAAACGTGCCCTGTATCTTGCACACAGGCGTAAGTCTCCCAGGGAGTAGATATGAACTACAGACCTTGGTCCAAACAAGAAGCAAGCCCAGTATGGAAGCTGCTTTTGTTACTTCCCATGAACTTATACTTCTTTGAGACGGCTCATCTTTTCCAGGTTGCAAAGGCCTTTGAAGAATCCATCAGCCTCTCAGCCACTGGATATTTCAAGTAAGTGTTGCTTTTATTTGGCTTGTACGGTATGTGGGCAGCAGTCATGTGTGACTGATGTTAGTCCTATGGTCATGGGAAAGGAAGGGAGAGGGGAGGATGGGGAGGGAGCAACACAGAAGCTCCTGGCACGGTAGCCATTACCAGCCGAGAGGCTCCATCCTACACACATGTGGCCCAGCTCAGCGCCTGCACACTGCAGGGCATGGTCAGACACCAGACCATCCGCCTCTCCCAAAGTCTGTTGAGTTCTATCTCAAGCCCCGACCATATAGTCCTCAAGGAAGGAAGGGAGCAGGCCTCCAACTCCAAGACAGGGCCCTGCAACCCATCTGCCCTGTCATCTCTAGGACCCCTACAGTCACGTCATGACCAGACCACTGAAGGGGAAGGACCTTGTTAGCTCTCTGCCTTCTCTTCACAGAGGCTACCAGACAAACATGGACTGGGAGAAGGAGGAAGGTGACGCTTACCCATACTATGTCTATGGCGCAGCCTGTTCTGAGGTTGAAGTCGACTGCCTGACAGGGGCTCACAAGGTAGAATGATGCCTGTGTACCCCAACTTCATAGGGTACAAACACCCCCTGATGTGTTTTCTGTACTGTAAATAACAACCAACTTGACCTGCCAGAGACAGATATGTAATCTTTGGGTTTTGTTTTGTTTTGTTTTTAAATCCCTTTTCAGTAAATAACATTGTCCATTTCCTCCCTTGGTGAAGCTCCTGAGGACTGACATCTTCATGGATGCTGCCTTCAGCATAAACCCTGCTCTGGATGTCGGCCAGGTATGTGACTCCAGGCCACACCCAAAGGGACTTTGTCAACTTCGTTTGTAGGAAGATTCTGAGTTTGAAGTCAGCCTGGAATGCATTGAAAACTGTGTCTGAAAAGACAGAGAGAAAGAGAGAGAAAGAAGGAGAAAGAAGAAAGGGAAGGAAGAATAGAGAGAGGGAGAGAGGGAGGAAGGGAGGGAGGGAGGGAGGGAGCGAGGGAGGGAGGGAGTGAGCGAGGGAGGGAGGGAGGGAGCGAGGGAGGGAGGGAGGGAGGGTTTTCAGAGAGGTGGCCACTGTTCCTGTGGAACTTGAAAGGTGAATAGGAATTTTCCGGGTGGACAAGTTGAGGTTGACTGAGATGAGAACAGTCAGGAGAAGATACATGTACAGACTTGGAGATGAGAAGAATCATCCTGACAGGATTTGGAACACTGGTGAGGCAATGTGAGGGCCAAAAAAAACAAAAAAACAAAAACGAAGCCAGGCAGGATGGCAGCGCCAGCCTCACGGGGACCCTTGTTAAAAGCTGCCGCAGAGCTTCCGAGCATGGCTTCCCGCCACTCAGAGCTCCACTTCCGTTCCCACACCATAGACTTCTCACCCACAAAACTCCCCACAGGTTGAGGGAGCTTTTATCCAAGGCATGGGGTTCTACACCATAGAGGAGCTGAAGTACTCCCCAAAAGGCGTGCTCTATTCTCGGGGTCCAGATAGCTACAAAATCCCCACTGTCACTGAGATACCCGAAGAGTTCTACGTCACACTGGTGCACTCTCGAAACCCCATAGCCATCTACTCATCTAAGGTAAGAATGGACATCCTCGCTGTTCGCTGGAGCTAGCAAACCAGTGGCTCCTAAACAGAAATACCATGACCCAGAAGCTGAGGTCTGTGTCCCTGGAGTCCCCAGGGAGATATTTGCAGGCTTGGTTTCTTCAGTCCTACTTTCTTCGACTTACTGATGGTCACCTGTACCCATCTGTGTCCTGCTCTCCTCTGTGCCCTTGTCACCTCTTACAAGGCCTTTTCTCTAAATGCAGCCACATTCCTAGGGACTGGCAGGCTGGCCCTTCAACATGTGTTTAATGAGAGACAGAATTCAGCACACAAGGGCCCCCTGTGTCAAGAGATCATGAAAGGGGCTGCTGAATCTGCTTTCTCCTTTGACTTGTAAGTCTCCAAAGGCAGAGTGGTGATGCCCACAGACTCCAGAAACCTGAGTAGAGGCTTCACTCTGAAACATGAGACAAATCAGAACCCCATGAGGAGTGTGGAGAAGTCTCTGGGCATCCTGTTCCACTGGCCAGGAGACTGGCATTGTCTGCAAAGTCCAGCAGCTCACAGCTCCCTCTCCCCCAGGCTCCACCCCTGTCCCATAGAATCCCTCCCCCACTGCAGCCTCTCCCACACCCTTCCCAACCCAGGGTAGGGCTTCAGCGAGCTCCACTCTGGTTCTTTGCTGTACATGTCCATGATCGTTGAGTCTCTAAGTCCTGACTCCATGCTTTCTGAAGCACGTAGCCTTTAACAAGCCGCCATCTCCAACTCCAGGGCATCTGACACTCTCTTCTTGCCTCAAGAAATCATACACACGGCATACCCACACACAGGCACACATACATAAATAAAAATAATCTTTTAAAAAACTCACTGGTGAGTCATTGAACGCATAATGCCCTCACACTGTTCATTCAGACACATCCAACGAGTGCCAAAGAGGCCACGTGAGGACAGGCAACCGATTCACTGTCTACTACGGACATTCCATTAGGGTTCTGAGTTACGGCAAATATTGTGGGGGCCTCGGGTGTGGCTCAGTGCTAGTCACTTGCCCAGCACACATGAGGCCCCCAGTTCTGTCTCCAACACGACAAAAGAAAAAATTAACTAAAAGACAGGTACCCTAGAAGGCAGTGAGGTCATGGTCTTCAGGGCTCTAATTGTTGGGAAAACAAGTGGTTTTAGCCTGCTTTCCTGTTGTCCTGGGGCCTTTTCACTGGGTGTTCATATAAGAACCCCACTCCCAAATTACTTTGGGAAAGGTCTAGTTTCAGCAACTCAGATACACTCCTTCTTTATCAGAGTGATAAAGACAGAAAAGGGATATGTGTGTGTGTGTGTGTGTGTGTGTGTGTGTGTGTGTGTAAACCTAACCTTGCATTTCTGACTACATTTTACTCTTTTCTCAGGGGCTGGGTGAGGCTGGAATGTTCTTGGGGTCCTCAGTTTTGTTTGCCATATATGACGCCGTGGCCGCTGCCCGCAAGGAGCGAGGGCTGAGTGACACCTTCCCCTTGAATAGCCCAGCAACACCGGAAGTGATTCGCATGAGCTGTACAGATCAGTTTACTGACATGGTAAGGGAGTCCATGCTGCCATCACCCCACATGTGGATTTTAATGTTCTGGACGGATATGACAACCGTGATGGCGTTGCAGGTCATGTCCGTCTTTTTCGATGAAAATTCTCCCTTTGCCTCCACTCACCACTTCCTACATGCCTCCCAACTCCTTCTCGTGCTGGCTTTCTCAGACTCTAAAGGAAAAGCACACTAACAGCAAAGGGACATGGCAGATTGCTTCTTTAAATATTTTATCAAAATGAAATTTGATTACCCCATTTACAAGATCTCTGGCCTGCTCAATTATGCAGAAAGTATCTGTTAAGCAAACTAATAAAAGTAATGGAAATGAAACTGTCAGGTTTCTAGGCACACCTTTCCATGCCTTGCTGCCATACACTTTATAGGACACTGTTCCATTTACCAGCTGCAAAAGTTACACCCAGAACTGTCACAGAAAACATCTCTCCAGGACACTGCCTCCTGCAGCCCAGTGAGACATGGGTATAAAATTCAATGGCATGGGGTGCTCTGGAGACTACAATGCCTCACTTGGCTCTAGATGATCGCAAACAAGAAGTTTATTGGGGTAAGAGCTGGGGTGTAGCTCAGTGGCAGCGCATATGCATAGCATTCAAGAGGCCCTGGATTCCATCCCAGACACCAAAACAAACCAGAAAAGACAGGATCCAGGTGTGGTGGCTGTAATCCCAGCACTTTGGAAACTGAGGCAGGAGGATCACAAATTCAAGGTCAACCTAAACTATGTAGAAACACCCTGTCTCAAAAATATAAGCATATGTATGAGATGTGTATTATGGAGATAAATCTGTGACTAAATGATGGAAATAAATATGAAAATTATGCAACTTTGATAAAAAGAAAACTTGATATCAACTTAGTTCTGTTTTCAAATGCCTTCAGATTATACCATTTTTCATGGAATAACACTTTGTTAACAAGAATCTTCCGTGTTTCAATCTTTTTTAGATCCCCAGAGATGACCCTTCAACATTCACGCCTTGGTCCATCCATGTGTCTTAATCTCATGGGCAAGAGGAAATGAACGAATACACAGCCAATTCACTAGCCTCAAATCAGGGCAGCATACAAGCTGATTGAATTTGCCAAGCATGATTTTTACTAGGTTTAGTTATTCTCTGTGATTAGGTTATTGCATGGTTACATCTTAGGGTTCAGATTTTCACCAAATAGTGAAACAAAACTTAGAATCAAATTCTGATTAACTTTCATTATCCTGGAAATCTGCATCATGGTGGTTTTTAAATCTGGTAACGTTCCATTAACCTGGGGTAGCTTAGGAGAGTATCCTCGTGTTTTGTCCCAAACAGCTTTGCTTGAAACCCAACAAAACTGTCCAACCCAAAACTCTCTGGATTGGAGTCTCCCAAAACCAGCACACATGAAAAACCTACTTTACAGTGCCTACCACTTCCTGTGGTATAAACACTGTCACAAGGACAAACAGGAAGTCCTTGGAGAACCTGGATGTGTAGCCAGAGAGAGATGCCCACTCTGGGCTCCTGAGACCGGCTGAGAGCTATGTCTGCACTCAGGTCCCCACGGACAGAGGCTCCTGCCTCCTGCAGCTGCTGTGGTTTGAATACAGCTTGTTTCCAAAGGTGTGTGCCGAAGCTTGGTCCCTAGGGTGTGGGTATCAACTGTAAGATGTGGAACCTAGCAAGGAGTGATTGGTGAGGGGATGAGCACTGATAAGGAGGAATAGACTAGTTCCCACAGAACTGGCCCCTCCTCTTCTCTTGCTGTCCACCTGTCTATATGAGCCCTTGCACTTCTGCTCTATGATGCCATCCACTACGACAGAGAGGAGGTCCTCACCAGATGAGCAGTCATGTGATCTAGCCTCTAAGCTATGAACCAAATAAAACGCTTTTCTTTATGAAGTAACAAGCCTCAAGTGATTTGTTATAACAACATGAAACAGATTGAAAGCACAATCAGAAGCTTCCAAATCACAACCTTCATCATCACTCCCACCATGAACTATATACATGACAGAACATCTTCCTCTCCTGGAAGATCACACTGAGTCGGGCAGTGGTGGCACTGTGGGAGGCAGAAGCAGGTGGAGCTCTGTGACTTTGAGGCCATTCTGGTCTACAAAACGAGTTACAAGACAGCCAGGGTCACACAGAGAAACTCTGTCTCAAAAGGAAGGAAGGAAAGAAGGAAGGAAGGAAGGAAGGAAGGAAGGAAGGAAGGAAGGAAGGAAGGAAACTGTGGTCACGAAACCCACAATTAACACAGTGAATCTGTTAATGATTATTTGTAAGTGGCAGAATTGATGTCATCTCTATTTCTTATAATGATTACAATTTTTTGATTGTTTCTTCATCTATGTTATACGATTTTATGTATAATACACATAATTTAAACAAGATGTGATATAGGCTGCACATCTTATGCTGTTTCCCTCTTTCCTTACTCTTGTCTGTTGATCTGAGCTCTGACTAATTCCATTTCTTCCCTTGTTAATTTGTAACATCAATTATATCATTAATTCTTCATTTCTACTTACCTATGAGCAAATACATGTCTCTACTGATGTTTGAAAACAGGCTACCGAATATTACCGCCACAAGCATCAAGTCTGTCCTGGCCTCCTGGCTGTCTCTGAATTTCCACCTCTGGTCCCAGTAAGAAATATCTGAAGGCTTCCTTTCCCCCTCCCAAACCACAGCAATCCCCAGCTGTTTTCCTTCTCGACTGCCCATCAGTCTCTCTTACTATGTGGCTCTTGGTGGAACTGTAGCACACATTCTTTTTTTTCCCGAGACAGGGTTTATCTGTGTATCTCCCGCTGTTCTGGAACTCCCTCTATAGACAAGGTTGCCCTCAAACTCAAAGAGATGCACCTGCCTCTGCCTCCCAAATGCTGAGATTATAGTGTGCACCACCACCACCAGCATATCAAACATTCTTTAAAAGCCCTGCCCTTATCTACTTAGACTTCTCTTCATTTTTCTTATTGAGGTTGATTTTGCTTGATTTCACGAGCACACACACACACACACACACACACACACACACACACACACACACACACCATAGAGTGGTCACTAGATGATGCTTTTATACCAGTAACAGTCTTCTGGCCTCTCCGCCCTAGAAAATGCAGGTTTACTGCCCCCTAGTGTTAGTGATCTTGGCACCAAGATGACTATTTCCTTGTGGAAAACTTAACCTTGCTGGGAATGTGGCACAACTAGGAGAGTGCTTTCCCGGTAGTCATGAAGCCCCGGGTTCAATCCCTGCTACATGAACTGAGCGCGATGACAAGCATCTGTGTCCCAGCACTCAGGAGGGGAGGCGGAAGGATCAGGCTTTCAAAGTCCTCCTCTGAACAGCGAGTCTGAGGACAGCCTAGGATACTTGAGACCCTGTCAGAGAAAGGAAGAGAGACAGAGCTGGGGATGGGGGGGGGTTTAATTCTTGGAACCTTGTAAAACAGTTCATTTGCCTTTGGGGTTAGAAGTAGCCTCAGGTCTTTTATCTCCAACCCAGCCTGGAAACTTGAAACATTCAGATCTCCGGAATTAAATCACTCCTTCTCAGAGGAAATAACAGAACAACTACTGTTAGTATTCAGGCATCTGTACTGGCCTCCCTTGAGATTCTGACAGGATACGCCCTCAACCTCAGCCACTAAGAGCACCACCTGTGCACATTCACTATGTTCCCTTTAAAAGGGCCCTGCCTGCCTCCCATCTGTCTCTTTCTCTCTGCTTCTGCCTGTCTTGCTGTCTCTCCTCTCTCCCTCCCTCTTCTCTTCTCTTCTCTCTTCTCTTTTCTTCTCTTCTCTTCTGCTGCTCCTGTTCCCAGAGGCTGTTCTCCTCTCTCCCCTCCCCCTCTTTTCCATTCACTATCCCCCAATAAAAAAAAAGATCCTGCACCCAAGCTCTGTTTGTTGCATGGTGTCTTGAATGTGGCTTTTTAAAATTACATTGGTTCCCTGACCAAGAAAGGCTCTCCTGGAGCTTCCTCCTAGCCTGTCCTTTGCATGATGACCCACTGAGCAGTCTGTGCCTGTCTCGGACCCTGGGGTCCTTCAGCCCCTGCCCCTTGATTGACAAATCACTGGGCAGTTTACGCCTTTCTCATGATCCTCACTTGATAAAAAAAACATTGGATCTTGTTCTGCCTTACATGGGGAATAAGCCTACCAAAAATCTGCTTCCTCAGATGTAGAAATCAATGAGTAACCATTGGGCCAACCTCCTGGAGTACAATCAAAGTGAGGGAGGAGCAAAAATATGAACAAAGGAGTCAAGACCATGATGGGGAAACCCACAGAATCAGCTGACCCAAGCTTGTGAGAGATCACTGACTCAGGTCTGACAGATCAGGAACCTGCATAAGACCAAACTAGACTCCCATATATAGGTGACAACTGTACATCTGGGACAATATATGAGGCCACTGGCAGTGGGTCCAAGATGTAAATCTAATGCACAAACTGAGTTAGTGGAGCCCATTCTGTATGGAGAATTACCTTACTTAGCATAATCGTGGGGGTAGCGGGATGGAGAGAAGCCTTGGTCCTGTCTCAATGAGATGATGAGACAGACTTAGTAGACTTCCTAGGGGAGGTCTTACCCTCTCTGAGGTGCAGATGGGAGGTGAGTGGGGGGGGCAAGTGGGAGGAGCATGAGGAGAGGAGGGAGAGGCAACTGGGATTGGAATGTAAAAAATAAATTAATAAAAAAAAGAAAAGAATCTGATTCCTGGCACTTTGTAATCACTTCATTCTGGGACCCTACCCACCTGCTCCACCCTCAATAAATCTGCTCTCTTCCACCTGCACCAAATCTGCTTTCTCGTTCACTGATGGTTTTGCCTTCCAGTTAATACCAACAATTGGGTCTCTGGTGGGGTTATCCACCTCTGACCATTCCCCTGGATGTGAGGCTTCCTTTCATGAGCACAGTCCTCTCCTTGCCTTCTGACTTTTCTCAAAGTTCTGGTACCAGGTGATTGTATCTCTCTCGGGCGCAGAGTCCTTGGCCCCTGCTCTGTGTTTGATGAATCACTGAGCAGCCTGTGCCTGTCTCAAAAATGACCCCCTCTGAATTCCTGGGATGCTAGGAATTTCAGACCCGTGGGTCTTCTCTGCCTCACTCATGGGAGCCATCATCGTCTACACCTCCTTACTCCCATTGGGACTATTTTTTGGGGGGGAGACTCACTGACCATTGCTAACCGACTATTGTTGCAGGACTGCCAGCTGTTGGCCATAGAGCCGGAGGAGCAAGACTACCAAACATGTCCCGGTGATGCTGTGGTGATGGGAAAGGACCAGGTGCTTTAAGCCTTAGGGAGTCCACTTGGATCCACTTCAAACAGCATTTGGACAGACCCGGTGGCACCTGATGGCTCCACAGAGCCTGGGCAGTACAGTAAAACAGCCACTTACTACAGGACATGGTCAACGCCCCAGCTTTCCCTTGTCCCCCAAAGATGAACAATGCTCCTTAGGTTAGCAGGAAGTAGTCTTGAGAACACAGCATCCATCCCTGCCTCAACTGGTATCCCTTTCTAACTCCTCACCTTTTTTATAATAAACAAAAAGGGAGGGATGTTAGTATTCAGGCATCTGTACTGACCTGTCGTTGGGATTCAGACAGGATATGCTCTGAGATGCAGCAACTAAGAACACCACCTGTGCATATTCACTATGTTCCCTTTTAAAAGAGCCCTGTTCACCTCCAGCCTCTCTCTCTCTCTCCCTCCCCTTCCCCCTCCCCCTCTTCCATCCCCTCCCCCTCCACCTCTCCCTCTCCCTCTCCCTCTCTCCTTCTCTGCCTATCTCTCTGTCTCTCCTCTCGCCCCTTCTCTTTTCTTCTGCCACTACTGTCCCAGAGGCTGGTCTCCTCTCTCCTCTCCCCACTTTCCCCATCCACTTTCCCCCAATATAAACCCCCTCCACCCAAGCTCTGTCTGTCCTTCTCTCGCACACCACTTTTTTCCCAGAAGAACCATGGCTGAAGAGTGGCCTCTTAGGGTCTGAGGGACCAGAGGATCTGTGCTGAGTAGCAGATGTCAACTGTTCTGCCCTTTGCAGTTACTCCCTGAACACATTACAGACAATCAAGGTTCCCTGTTAGGAGTTCTTAGTTTTATTGACAAAGAATTCTACAAGTTTCATGGGCCAGTGAGAAGGCTCAGCTGGTAAAAGCACCTGTCACTTAAACTGGTGACCTGAGTTTGATCACCAGAACCCATATGACAGGAGAGAACTGGCTCCTGCGAGTTGCCCTTTGACCTACACACACACACACACACACACACACACACACACACACACACACAATTTTAAAAGCAGATTTGGAAGGAAGTTTGAAGACCATTTTATTAGAAGATGAGGCAAAAACAAGAGGGAAGAAAATTGTAAATCCTGTCAGTGATTGGGGAGAAAGGGGAGAGGAACAGAGAAAATCAGGACTTTTGTGTTGGGTCAGCATCTGCAAGCAGCTCCTCTCACCCAGAAAGACGGAACCAGAGAGGGCCTCCAGGAGGAATAGAAAGAAAGCCAAGAGTGCCAGGGCAAGCGTGTTTAGGATTCTGGGCTAATTTTCAAAGTAGACGTAGACAGGGGAACAGCAAAGCTACACTTTTTATTAGAACTTTATAGCAAACCTGTCAGGCTTGGCAATGAAGATCTGCAAGCGACCAATCCTCTTTTATTTGCCCCTCTTTGTCCTATTCCAGCTTAAGGTGTCTTCCCTTCAGGTCCCAAGGCTCTTCCCCTGCCTGTCATGGTCCCCACCTCTGTGTGTTTTTGTTCTATGCAGAGATGTATGTAAGGCACTTCACTTTCCAATCTGATCTACTAGTCCTGATCTACTAATCTGATCTACTAATCTAGTCTACCACCTGGTCTGGGTCTTCTCCGGAAGTATTGAAGGGGAGAGGGGAGCATCAGGTTAATGCCATTTTTATACCAAGTTGACAGGCATTTTCTCCAACAACTCTGGCAAGGACTGTGTTCCATCTACTTTGAATGTTCTCTCTCTGGCTGTTGGGTCTGTAGTAGTACCCCAGGGCAGCACTGACCGACTAGAACAGCAAATGTGTCCTTTCACAACTGTGGAAGCTAGAAGTCCAAAAATCAGGTTATCATCGGGGCCATGCTTCCTTCAAAGGCTCTGGGGATCTGTTCCTCCTCTCATCCTCCCAGCCCTGGTTGCCAACAACCCTAGCATTCTGTGGCTGGTAAACCCATCATTCCCATCTCTGCCTCCACCTTCACGTGGCCATCTTCATTCCATGTATATTTGACTCCAAATCTCACTTCCCTTAAATGGCACCAATCGTTGGGCTTGGGGGATACTCGGCTCCAGCATAACTTCATCTTCACTTGATACATCTAATGATGACCCAATTCACAAATAAAATCACCTTGAAAACATAGTTCAACTCATAACAACCCCCACTTAATTTTTCTAATATGTCAATTCCCTGGGCTCCAGCTAATTTATTGAAAGACCTTATGAGACACTAACCACAAGACACAAGAACAATGTAATCTTGATCCAAATCTGTCCCGCCCAACCCCAGCACAACAGAAGCCCTGCTGAGGCAAATGGAGGAGACCTGCCAGCTTCAAAGATCTTCCAATTCCTCATACCCAGACTCAGGGGCAAGAAAAGGTCAATCCAACCTGTGGTACTCCTGACTTCCTGTTCATACTAATCTTGAACTTTCTCTCCATGCCCCAAGGACCAAGGTTTTCTCCAGATCCCAGGTTTATGGAGTGCTAATATGTAGGCATTCCCCCAGCTTCCCACAGACTCAGCCACCACCTGCTTCAGCAGAGGTAGAAGTTCAAATAGGGAGGAGAGAGGAAGGGAACGTCATAGTCATAAAGGTTAAGAACAAAAGAGATCTTGGCCAAGGGCTTTTAATGATCTACCCAAGATCTCACGGCTCTAAATACATATATCTTAAGTCTGTCTTTCTGTGTCCCATCTCTGGGTTTATGTTACACTTCTGTTTTGGTTTTGTTAAGGGCCATCTTGGGAATTGAACCCAGAGCCTCGAGTATGTTGGGCAGGAACTCTACCACTGACCTACATCCCTAGCCCTATATTTGAATTTTAAAGAGTTCAAAACACAAGAAAGCCAATACTTTTCCACTTAAATCAGAAAGCAAGCTATATTACTCACCACACCCAAATGGAAGATTAATTTCTTTATTGGCTGACAGGGTATGTTAGTCAGCTTCCTGTTACTATGACAAAGTACCTGAGAAAAACAACCATGAAAATGTCAAACCTACCTTAACTCAGTTTCTGACGTTTCAATCATTCGACCTAGTTGCTTCCCGGCAGGTGAGGCAGGGCATCGTAGGAGGGAAACACAGTACAGAAAGCTGCTCACCTCATGACAGCCAGGAAACTGAGAATACATACCTGCACAAGATCTACATAAGATCAAGCCAACAGGACCATTCACTATTCCAGTACCTCTAATTGGGCTCAATGGGTTATGAAATTTTTAAAATTTAAGGACATAAAAGTGGGAAGGGTGGTATTAGGGACAGAGGTGGAGGTAGACAGGGAAGTTGGGATAGAGATGATCAAGATGCATTGTGTACATGTATGAAATTGTCAAAGAATAAATAAGAAATTTAAAGATTTTTTAAGTATAAAAAACAAGGGGTTGCTTTGTCCCATTGTCTTGAATAAGACCTAAGAGTGAAGAAAAGCTTGGGAAATGTGTGCATCTTACCCTCTCACCACAGAGCCCTTTGCTCATTCTAAAGTGGACAGTTTCCAAACTGAGCAGTCGAGCACCCTGGGGACTTCTGGCAGAATGAAAGCCAGAGGCTTGCAGGTCTCACCTGGTGGGTCCTCTGGCTGCAGCAGTACCATTTCCCCCAATCTGTTTACATCCCAAGAGTTCACGCAGACAAAAGTTTTCTATGCTTGAAAAACACCTCTCTGGAGAATTTAGGTCGGTTTTCAGTTTCCCAGAAATTAATACATTTGTTTACCTGACCCAGAGTGCTTTCATATCACCTGAATCTAACACTTTAATCCAACTTTAGTGCACAAAGCTGTTTTCTCCTCCGAATGCCTGTCCGTGGGTGGCTTATCGCAATAAGTATTTTTGGAGCTCGATATGTGTGCTTCTGTCACGGGCAGCTTGGGAGCTCGCAGGCATGGCCATCCTGTGTTCTTTGCAGATACAAATTGTCCTCACCTGAAAGGGAGAGGAAGGTGTGGAACAGCACATGAACCCTTAAAGAACCCCTGCACTGTTTCCCCTTAAATGAGAATGGCCACAGGAAGGGCCTGCGCCTCCTCAGGGATCCACCCCCATTCACCTTTCAGGCTTCCTGTCTCTTCCTCAGGAAGTGCCCTCTGTTACAACAGGAGTGGGAACAACTAAGTAGAATCAGGAGAAGAAGTCTGAAATCATAGCAGATGTAGGGGAACCTCCTCTAGTCATCTAAGACTTACTTCATAGGCCCTGGGGACCCCGTGGAGAACTGAACATGACATCCCTGCCTTCCTGGAGCTTACATTCTAGTGGGAAAGGCAAAAATAAACAGTATACAACAACCATGTCAAGAACCAATGAGAGTCAGCCTGGTAGACCACATCTTTAATCCCAGCACTCTGGAGGGAGAGGCAGGCGTGTCTCTGTGAGTTTGAGGCCAGCCTGGTCTACACAGGGAATCCCAGGACAGCAGGGACTACACAGTGAGACTTTGTTAAGAGGAGGAGGGTGAGGAGGAGAAAGAAAAAGAGAAACAACGGCAGCAAGAGCAAAGAATGCTGTCCATGCCCATGAAGGTTGACAGACCCATAGTGACAAGGGTGCTACTAGGTGATCAGGAAATGTTCAGTCCCAAGCAACAGGAAGATACCAGCCATGCCAAGCCCTGAGAGAGAAGTTGAGCCACAGTGAACCAGATACACCAAAGCCCTGGGTCAGAAAAGAGTTCAGCGTACTCCACAAGCAGGAAAAGAGTCAACATGGCAAAGAACATGAATGAGGGACGGTGGGTAGACAGATGAGTGGACCGGTCCATAGGCTTCCCATGGCGGGCACGTGGAGATTTGATAAATGTAACGGGAAGCCATTGGAAGAGCCCACGCAGGGAAATGCCAGCTTTAAGTAGAAAAGGGTTGTTGAGTGCTTGGGCTGGCTTGGGAGGACTTTCCCCCCAGAACAAGAGCATCTGAGTCCAGAAACAGAAGCAGCCTGGGGAAGGGAGCGTGACTTAGCACATTTACTGAGTTTGTATCTTATATCCAGAGCCTCAGAGAGCTATCAGGGATTTCTGAGCAACAGGGCACAGCCAAACAGCCAGCCTGGAGGCCCTATCTAATCCACAGAGATCTCCGACTTCCCCTCCCAAAATCTTACCCCAATTTGTTCAGCAATTTCTTAATACATGTGACTCACCCTCACATACACACCCTTGTGCCTATGTAAACTGGGAAGCTTGAAGAGCTCGCCTTTAAAATTGTCAAGAACTGTGAGAGCTGACAGCCACACTCAATTGGGTGTGTTCTCTGGAATGACTCGGTGACAGGAGGAAGCCACATATCTTGAGGAGGAGGAAGTTCTCAGCCAGGCCGAGGGGATCTGGGTGCTTCTGGCCTGAAGCCAAGTCACACAGTGAGCATTCATCTTAGCATCAAGGTTTTACTCTAATGAAGGCACCAGGGCTCATGACCTTATGAAGGATGTTCTAGAAAAGAGAAGACTCATTAACTCTCCCAAAACCAGGCCATGGAAGCAGCTACTTGCCTTACTCACATGCAGCAAGCCTAGAGCATCACTTTAGTTAACCAATGAGAACAGTCTGATTTCATTGGTGGGTGCATAGCTGGAGGGTTTTTGTGTAAGCATGGTGTCTTCTCATCGTGGGCTGTCTGTACCCTTAGCGTTGTTTCAAACCAGGACACTTGGCTTAGTTACGTCTGAAACCTGAAGTGCCAGTCTTGTCTCCATTGGCCTCAGTATGTCTTCAAGAGGTCACACTTTTCCCACAGAGTCATCTTGAGTGGAGAGAAGAAGCAGGAAGGGAATGACTCGGTGACAGGAGGAAGCCACATATCTTGAGGAGGAGGAAGTTGCAGAGTAGGTTTCAGTTTAGGAGGTTGTGTGTGGATTTCGCACAATGCTCTCAGATTTCAGAGAAAGCCAGAGGAGGTATAGGCTGTATTCTGAGCCAACTTCAAAGCCAGGATTGGTGGGAGGTGAGGCATGGATTAGAAGAGGCCACCCAGGGCTCTGGACTTTAAAAAGCCAGGAAGCAAACCCCTCTACCCTGTCCCTGCTGGGGCTCCAGGCTGCCTGCTTCCTCCACTCAGGAGAAATTCTAGCTGCTTTCCCCTCGATCCTTTCTGCTCGCTTCTATAGCTGGTATCGGAAAGTGTTCCCGCCTAGAGCCAGGAGGCCAAACTTACTAGAGCCATGCCTTGCCCATCCCAGAGCTCGGATGAGCTGGTGTTCTTTGTGAATGGGAGGAAGGTAAGTAGTGGGTAGAGTTAGCTCTGTGGCTTGCAGCAGGAAACCCCTGGCTCCAGGGGTGCTCTGAGGAATCTGGATGGAGGCTCCCAGTCCGGAACAAGAAGCCCAGGTTCAGGAACCCATCCTGGCTTGCCTTTTCTCCGCTCAGTCAACACTTGGGTCCTGGCAATGGGGGGACCCAGGAGAGCAGTGGACTCTTTGCACAGCCCTGGTGCTGTCGGTCAACTCACACCCACGCTGCCCTTCATTGTATAACCTGATGCAAGCAACTTCACCTCCCTGAGCTCCCGGTCCTCCTGCAGCGTCTACTTCTTCCCACAGCTGCTGTAAAAACACGAAGGAAGCTGCACCTGCCATTGGTCAGGAAGCAGTCCACTCTGTAGCACAGTTCCAGGTTCAAACTCCACAAGGTTTTAAATGGAAATGGAATCCGTCTTTGTTTTTCTATTTATCGAATCAATTCCTCTACGGCAGTGGTTCCCAACCTTCCTAATGCTGTGACCCTTTTGTACAGTTTCTCGTGTTGCGGTGACCCCAACCATAAAATTGTTTTGTTGCCACTTCATAACTGTAATTTTGCTACATGCACCGTAATGTAAGTATCTGTGCTTTCCAATTGTCTTAGGCGACCCCTGGGGAAGGGTCATTAGACAACACCCCCCAGGGGTCGTGGCCCACAGGTTGAGAACTGTTGCTCTGTGGAATCCCCGCTATATAGGAATGTTGTAAGTGTGTGTAAGTGCAGTCAGACTGGAGGCCCCTTTCTCCCTGGGTTTCAGCCTGTCCTCAGGGAATACATGGACAAGGACAGAGCCTCTCAGTTGCTACTCCCTGAGAGCCTCCTCCCTGGCCTCCCCACCCCCTCACACAGGACAATGGCTACTTTTAGAGTACCCAGGCCCTTCTTGCCATTAGCTCCCTTCCGCCTTCCAAGAGCACACAGCTTTTATGGAGTCTCCTCACCTCCCTCCAAGAGCCTTTCAAACCTCTGACCTACAGACCTAACCGGAACGCAGTCATGTCTACCCCACCTCAGGAAGCAGCCCAAGGAAGCAGCCCGAGCCCTGGAGGGCTCCTCATTGTCCTGCACACATTCCGTCCTCAATGTAGCCTCCATGGGCAGCCACTGCCACGTTAGTCTACAGCCGTCCCTCACGAGCGGAGCTACAAATGGCTTTTCAATTTGGAAACCCAAAAGCCAGAGGGGTTCCTTCCTATGTCAGCCCCAGATCAAATTATGAGCCCATAGTGACATGGCTGTAGTCAGAACAGAGAAAAGTCCACAGACGGAGGGAAAGGGAGAGGAAGGGGAAGAGGAGGGGACGGGAGGGAAGGGGGCAGAAAAGTGTGTGGTGGGAGTCTGTGGATAGTTTGTATGGGGGCAGAGCTGTTTTTAAAGGGCCTGAGGTGAGAGTAAGGGCCATGGAGGAGAGATTTTGTTGTTGTTCCATTGACGAGGCACCTCCCCAGCCCCAGGGAATGCGTGAATGGTTCTCACCTCAGAAGTATCTTCCTATAGATTTCTAGTCTTTGAGTTGTGCAGAAGTGAGTGTCTCCCTTCTGAGGAGAAAGTGAGCTGCCAGTGTTGACCTTCTTTTCCTGCCCTATGACACCCGACTCTCCTGTCACACAGCAGAGTGGCAAGAGGTGTTCACATGACATCCCAAGGCAAAGCAGCGTGACACAAATAGGAAAAAGGAAACAACAAAGTCCCCGGTGACTTTTGGTATCAGCACCCCCCTTTCCAAAGGAAGGGATGGGAGAAATCTCATGCCCACTAAAGCCACTCTAGGTCATGAGCAGGGTATCAAGGCTCACAAACATCCTACCGAGACATCCATTCAATCCCATAACCTCTCCTGTTTCCAATGCAGGTGATAGAGAAGAATGTGGACCCGGAAGTCACTCTGCTGGCCTTCCTGAGAAAGAACTGGATCCTTTCAGTTGAAGCCTCAGCCGTGCCTGTGCACGCCTGATAGAACTTAATAACTTGAGCCTCCGTGGCTATGAGAGGTGGTAGCCAGCCAGCCAGCCTTTGCTTTTGGCAGTGGCTTGAAGACTATCAAGTTAATTGAGCTAGTTTACAGAGGAAAATGTTTCCCACTATTGCTTTTGTGTGATTGAATAGCATGAAATAGAAGCTAAGGGGTTTGTTTCAGCTCTGCCACAGGGGTGTTATGTAATAGAGGCTCCGGTTGCCTGTAACCTGCCCTTTACGAAACCAAATTCTCAGATCTGGGGATTGACTATGGCAAGGAGAAAGATTTCTTTACGTCTGTTTTCTTACACCAGATTTGCCCCCACCAACTTATATCCTGGATCACAGATCTCCATAACGATAAACGTATTTTAATTAGTAAACCTGATGGATTGCTCTGGGAAGCAAAAATATAAATAATGAAACTAAATGAAAGGAATCATATATTGATGAGATTGACTTCTGAACAAGTTTTGCTTGGTTTCTAATTAGCTGTCAATATTTGAAAATGAGGACGTTTTGTGTTTTAGCCAGTCAAGACTTTACTGGGCAAACACAGAGGTGGCCAGCCCTTCCCACAGTGGTTGTGCTTGGAGTTGGCTGAGGACTGTCCATGGTCCTGTCTCTCAGGATCAGTTTCTCACCCAGGCTCCTCTTCACTTACGTAACCCTCTGATCTGCATTTGAAGTTAGGAACCAGTGACCCCATTAGGAAACAACAACAACAAAAAACAGAGAGTAGCAAGGAACTAATGAGTTTAATGTCTCATTGATATTTTAATCACAGCTGATCAAATAACTATGGAAACACAGTTAGGGAGCCGAGTAAGAATAGAGACAGAGCCAAGGCAGAGCCCAGCTTTGTGATTTCTTGGAGAGAGTTAGAGCCTGAGGGCAAGGATAGGAAGGAGACCTTGAGAGCCACCATCCACATTCAGATGCAATGCAGCTAGGAAAAGGCTGGATAGCAATGCCTTGACCAAACTAGGAATGAGTTGTTATTAAAAACAGTTCTCTGGGATGCAGAGATGGCTCAGTGGTGAAGAGTTGCTCTTCCAGAGGTCCTGAGTTCAGTTCCCAGCAACCACAGGGTGGCTCACAAACTTCTGTAGTGAGATTGGGTGCCCTCTTCTGGTCTGCAGGGATACAGGCAGAACACTGTATACATAATAAATAAACAAAACTTTTTAAAAAAAAAGTTCTTCTCCCCCAGTTACATGATTAGAACCAGAAGGAGGCATAAGAATATGTTATAATGAAATAGGGTTTGTTGAAGGAGTTTCACCTTAAACCCCACAAGATGCTTATAGTGAGCCTACCATGGAATGTAGGTATCGCTCCTCCCTCTCCACAAAGGGAAACAAGGCAGAATGTGCTAACATGTCCAGGCCCACACTCCAATCGAATGGCTTCTTAGACTGTGTCTCACCCCACACCTTTCACACTGGTGACACCTTAGGGAGGCAGGTATCTCAGAGGCAAAATGTCCACTTTGCAACTTTTCCTTGACTTCTCCCTTTCCAGTACGCCTTACAGGAACCAAGTACGCCTGTGGAACTGGAGGCTGTGGGGCTTGCACTGTGATGGTGTCTAAGCATGACCCGGTGTCCAAGAAGACAAGGTAGCTACCCAAGGTGCAGTAACCAGAAGAGAAGTCTGTCTCTGCCTGGCTTCTCTTCTGCCATATCGCTAAAAAAAGACCAGATCCTCGGAGTCTCCCCTTCTTAGATCCCACAGAAAATCCCCACTTTAAATACTGTGAGCCCTCTGCTCTGATAATGCTAATTGCCCTCTGCACATCACTTTTGGGGTACGAAGACCCATTGTATACTCCAGGTTAAGAACCAAGACAAGCCAACTGTTCGTTTCCTACTTGTGGTCAAGGCTATAGAACCAACAGCCTATTTATTGATCAACAACATTAGCCTGGAAGCTAATGCTCACTTTGTTCTTGAACTGGGCCAACCTTGCAGAGCAAGACCCTGAGCCTTGCTCCCCCTTTAAGAGTCAGATCCCAGCACTTGGGCTCCATCTACATCATTGGCCCATACCAAGACTGCTTCAGAATACAGATCACCACACATTGTTAAATGACTTCACTCAGAGAGCCTAAACTAACAATGAATCCAGAATGTGTCAATATGGCCACATCACATCATGTTTGTGATGAGATCATTGCTGTAATGAAGACTAAATAAAAGTCCAGCCACCCTTCTGGTGACATGGGGCCATTGTCACTGCTCCTAGGTGGATCTATCTTAAGACTGTAGAGATTTTCTGAAGTTCAGGATGTCCAGGTTCACATTAAGGATCCCCAGTTCTCACAGGTGGCATCGAGTGAGCAGAGAGGGCTCTGACTTCCTCGGATCTCTCACCCCTGCCGTCCCCCAAATCAGTCATCACCCCAACAGTCCCCCAATCGTCAGTCATAAACTCGGGAGGGTCTCCACTGCCCTTCATAGTTCTGGTTTCTCCGCGGGACAGAACTATGTCACCTCACTTAGTTTTCTGTGTTTCTCATACAAAGGCACCTCTCTGTCATGGCATGCCTGGTGCCCCTGTGCTCCCTGCATGGGACTGCCGTCACCACTGTGGAAGGTATAGGAAGCATCAGCACCAGCCTTCACCCCGTGCAGGTAAGCACACGTCCTAATCGTCTCATGTCTGACCTTCATTTAGTCAGGAGCAGCCCAAGGGTCTCTTAGTTTAACCACATGGAAGTCGATTCCGAAGAGGGCAGCAGAGATGAATGACCAAGAGTCTCTTCAAGTCTGCTAGGAAGTTATATAAGATGCTCACAGCAAAGTCGACACCCTGGAATTCCAGGCATTATATTCTAAATCTACATCCAAACCACCCAAGCTTTGGGGTTCCCAAGAGTCACCAGGAACTTGCTAAAAATTCAGATTCTGAGTCATGAAGTTTGGAGAAGGGTCCTGAGTCCTGCTCTCCCTTCTATTTCCCAAAAGAAATCAGTATTTCCAGACTGTGAACCACAGTTTAAATAACAGAGACCAGTCAGGCAGTGGTGGTGCATGCCTTTAATTCCAGCACTCAGGAGGCAGAGGTAGGCAGATCTCTGGGAGTTCAAGACCAGCCTGGTCTACAAGAGCTGGTTCTGGGACAGCCTCCAAAGCAACAGAGAAACCCTGCCTCAAAAAACCAAAAACAAAAAAAAACAAATACATCATTTTTAAACATCAGAGACCAAAGTCCTCAGGCTCTGGAAGCTGTGCTCCCTTTGAGCCATTACAAAACATATTAAAGAAAGTGACATGGGATCAGCAATGCTCTCTAAGTCATCAAAACCACACAGCCTTCCGTGAGAACTGAGTGGTGAAAGATACCGGCGTTCAAGAAAACCAGGTTTAAAACATTCCCACAACCTCCTAATAATTACCGATTCCTAGAGAACTATTCTCTCGGGGAGAGCAGGCTGCACACTGCTGATTCCCAAGTAGAAGGGTCAGAGTATTTGACCCTGAGAAGTAATTAAAATGACGAGATGCAGCTACTTTTGGGATGCCTAAGAAAGGAAAATACAGAACAGAACAAAGGGGTAGAGCACATTTGGTCAGAGAGTGAGCCCTACCACAAGAAGGGCCCAGGCTGTGGACCCTGGAGAGAGCTGGTGGCGGCAGGAAGACAGGGCTGTGACCACAAACGTATCCTTCCAGGAGAGAATCGCCAAGAGCCATGGTACCCAGTGTGGATTCTGCACCCCAGGGATGGTGATGTCCATGTACACACTGCTCAGAAACTACCCACAACCTTCAGAGGAACAGCTCATGGAAGCCCTGGGGGGTAAGTCTGACACAGGATGCAGGCAGAAAGAAAAGGTACTTCGAGCTTCCCCATGCCATCCCCAGCATCATCCCAGCTCTGCTCAAGTCCCAAGCCAGAGCTATCTCTAAAATAGTCTGTGCAGACACTGCAAAAGATGTCATCGTCTCTGCACACAGCACAGGCAGCCATTACACCTCTCTCTCTCTCTCTCTCTCTCTGTCTGTCTCTCTGTCTCTCTCTCTATAGTGCTCTACTTTTATCTCGTCTTTCAAGTGGAGGAAATCAGAGCTGAGCATATAGCTCAGTGACAGAGTGGCTAACGAGCATGTGCAAAGGCCCTGAATTCAACCCCCATCAAAATAACAATTATTAATAATAATCAGAGAATCATATCAATCCATCTAACCCCTCTCCCTTCCTTGGGCCCCTCTCCATCAGCTCCTCAGTCCTAATGCATGACCAAACCCAACTTGCCATACTTCCTGTTCTACAGGACTCCTTCCAGGCCAGTCTCGGCCCCACTGCTCTGAGAATTCTATCCATTCCTTACAAACCCATAGCTTTCACATCCTTTGAGCTCAAACTTCTTAGTCAGGCCACTCTCGATGAACTCTAGTCTACACCAACCCTCCTCCCCCATGTTCCTAACAAACCTATCCAGGTGAGTCTGATGCAGTGACCTAAGAGCCACTGAGGAGCACATTACAGACCATCCATGGCACATTGCTTGTCTGGTGGCACCTTCGGAATTGCCTGAATTTTCTGTTTTAGGATCACATCAGGGCTAGAGTCATAGCTCAGAAGCAGAATGTTATTCTAGCATGTCAAAGCCCTGAGTTCTATTCCCCAGCACTAAAAAGGAAATCTACTGGATCTATTTCAGCTTTCAAAAGAAGCCAGTAGAGTAGCTGGAGATACGACTCAGTCTTATCTGAAATTGGAGCCATTAAGAGTGCTTGATGCTCTTCCAGAGGACCCGAGTTCAGTTCTTAGTACCTACATCAGGTGTTTTACAACCACCTATAACTCCAGCCCTAGGAAATCCAACACCCTCTTCCTGCCTCCAAGGATGTCTACACACACACACACACACACACACACACACACACAATAAGCCAGTAGAACAAGTAATAAGAAGCTCACAGGCATGCTTCTCCTCCAATCAGGTAACCTCTGCCGCTGCACTGGGTATCGGCCAATCCTGGAGAGTGGCAGGACCTTCTGCATGGTGAGTCTACAAGAATGGGTGGCTGGAGACGTGTTCTACAGAGTAAGAATGAGCGGGTAGTCAAAGCTGGGAAGACAAGAATGAGGTTTGTAAGACCATCACAACTGACTGTAAGACAGACAAAGTCATGGGAGGGGGGCACTCCCTAGAGTTGCCAATACTTCCTGAAAACCAGGTGAGCACTACACCACCTTTGATGTGGTCTAGATCCATACAGGGAAGTCAGTTGGGCAAGGCATCTCACTAAGGCAGGCAAGATTATGTCTGCAAACACTTGGAGTCAATCAGTGGTGTGCTTTGGTGAAAAAAAGGTTCCTTCCAAACACCCAAGCAACTGGGAATTCATGAACAGATAAAGAAGCTGATATTGCAGAGTAGAAGCTAACATCCACTCCAAGAACAAAGAGCGTGGCCTCCAAAAGTTGGGGTGCTTCTCTGGTGGAAATCAAGTGAGTCTTGCAATTAGTAAGACTTCAACCGATAATCACTAATGTTAAGAATGTTGTTGACACTATGAATAGCATTTGACAGACACTCAAAATGGCGTGTTTGATGACCCTCTGCTGAGGACAGGATGATGATGTGGGCAGGAGACTTTAAAGATTTACTTATTATGTATACAGTGTTCTACCTGCAAGTATGCCTGCACACCAGAAGAGGGCACCAGATCACAATATTAATGGTTGGGAGCCACCATGTGGTTGCTGGGAATTGAACTCAGGACCTCTAGAAGAACAGCCTGTGCTCTTAACCGCTGAGCCATCTCTCCAGGCTGGGCAGAGAGACTTTAGACAGAAGGAAAGGCACCTCATATCTTGGAGGAGCCTGCAGTGGTCTTTATCCCACTCTTCTCAGGAGTCCATTGGAACAAGGAGATGTGCCCATCCTTGTCTGAATCATTGCCCATATAGGACTTCAACTCCACCTTTAGGTCAGGTGCAGCCTTTCCTGAGATGATCAAGGGATGGCCTTATATGGTCAATGAGCAGCTCCTTGTGGAGAGAGTGGACACTGGGCTTGGGTAATCACATGGACTTATAGTCAATGAGCAGCTCCTTGTGGAGAGAATGGACACTGGGCTTGGGTATCCACATAGGCTTTTGAAGCCCCTGTAGAGCCATGTGTGAAGAGAAATCAGAAGTCACGAGTAAAGATTTCTGTTTACATTCTTGCCTCAGTTCCACACATAATAGAGGAAGACCTGGAAATGTGCAACAGGTCTGTCCCATGTCCCAAAAATCAGGCAGGTATCCCAGATTTTGATTGTCACATGAGGGAGCCAGAGTAGACACAGTAAAAAGTGAACAGACAGCAAACACAGCATATTGCTGCTGTGAGTGAGAGAGCGTGCATGTAATACCAGTAAACGGGCTAGATGGACTCCTTTCCCTAAAGATGCAGGTGGTATCTGCCTCTCCTGGCACACGGACTCTGGAGATAAAGCCAAAAATGAGTTCCAATAGCTCCCCCTGTATCCAGCCAGCCGGCTCATGATACTTTCCTGGGTGAAGGAAATCCAGCCCCAGATGGGATGCCTAAGGTTTTCATTGCCCAAAGAGGCCCAGCTTTCTTCAGCCACCATTTACCCATCCATCCTAGGGACTCTAGGAGTTAGGGGGGGAGAGTGCTGCTTGCTCAGCCGGCTGCTTTTGTTCCTTGGGCAGAGCTAGCAAGTGGCAGCTCAAAACAGCAGGAAAGGCAGAGCATTCAAAGGCAGGAGGAAGAGCTCTGCAAGGTGGGAGAAACCACCCTGGGAAGGAGATAAAAGGAGGGCTTTGCAAGAAACGGAAGCAGAAGAGCTGCAAGTAGGAAACACTTAAAAAAAAACCCGCTGTCAACTCATCCAAGTGCTTTCCCCCTTTGCATTTTATTTTCCTCTTTCTAAGGGTTCCAAGTGAGTTATAATGAACAATGTTCCAGACATTATATGTGCTATAGTAGCTGTGCTGTGGTTGCCCTGAAAAACACCTTACAGATGTATCTTACCACTGCAAATTACCCTAAAATAACTCAGATGTGACCATGACGTTCTAATTGCAGTGAACAATGCTCATCTAGTGAGTGCACTATAGAAATGTAAGACGTAAATACAATTCAATCCCAAATATAAAATGCTGGAGGAACTGGGCACCAGTTGCTTCTTTTAGACTTCCCTACATTTCTATATGGCATATGTTTCGTGTTATTTTATAAAAATAAACGAAGCAAAGGAAGAGCAGAGTGTGTTATCCCTCTAAGTAGAGAGTTGCTTCAGAGCCTGAAGTCTCATAAATACTGTTCAAACCTGCGAGACACATCCTTATTTGCCTGTCAAAGGACTGTTCATATAAAGTGCTTCATGTTCTCAGGAGCCAAGTGGTTGTCAGCAGAAAGGAACAGGAAAATGCTGCTTGGATCAGAAGGAAGATGGTTCACTTGGAGTCAAAAGTGATGTGAGTCCCTCTGTTTTATTCTCTCTATGTGTGCTTCTTAACGCTGACCCAGCTTTGTAACTGGGTGTGTGCATTTGCAGCCTTCCCAAGAACTTCCAGGAAGCAGACTCTTTGCACAGTGCTCACACTTCCCAAGAACTTCCAGGAAGCAGACTCTTTGCACAGTGCTCACACTTCCCAAGAACTTCCAGGAACCAGACTCTGCACAGTGCTTACACTTCCCAAGAACTCCCAGGAACCAGACTCTGCACAGTGCTCACACTTCCCAGGTACTTCCAGGAACCAGACTCTTTGCACAGTGCTCACACTTCCCAGGTACTTCCAGGAACCAGACTCTTTGCACAGTGCTCACACTTCCCAAGAACTCCCAGGAACCAGACCCTTTGCACAGTATTCAAACAACCACAGTCTGATTTTCCCCCTCATTGTCTGAAAGGCTGAGACAAAAGAAAAACAAAAACCTCTTAGATAGCAGAAAAAAAATCTACCCCATGAGGGATGAGTCACTTCCTCGGTTAGAAACAGAGCTCCAAAGTTGCCCCTGCTCACACAACCGTCCTCTGTCTCTGAGCTGCGACAGCACCGCCACCTTGGGAAGCTAAGGATGAGATAATGGCAGTCACCTAGAAGTCCAGCTCAGCATTCTAGCTCTGGCTTTACTGTCTGAAAGATTCTCGTTTTCAAAAGATCCACCACCACGTGGGTTCTCACAGGGTCAAGTAGAGCGGTCAATGAGATCCTAACTATTCACTCCATACGAAGGAGCTCAGAGCAAGCCTGGTGGACCTACCCCTCATCCTCTTTCACTGTGCCTATGACCTTCAGACCTGCTTGTCCACACTCCCCTCTCCCTGACACTTGCTTTTTTAGTCTAAAGAAAGTGTGCAGTGGGATAGAGGGGTGTTACCCCAAGGTGAGATACACACCCCCATAATGACTCACAAAAAATCAACACTTGGAAGAGTCAATACACCCCAAAGTCCATTCCCAACCCAGAAGACTTGGGCATTCGACTTGAGCATCAACTGAGCTTTGGGTACCACTTGACTTACATTAAGCCAAATGACTAGAGATGTATTTAAATGGGAATACACCTCAGTATTCGCTCATAAGGAGAAACACAATTATAAGGTAAAGTGTCATGTTTTCCTTGCAGTAACACATAGCAGAGTGTGGGATTCTGTGCAGAAGGCTGTGTGCTGAGGGAGACACAGCAGTGCTCCAGGGCATCTCTGCGGCCTGGCTACGTGTCTGCCTGTGACGTACCCTTCCCCTTATTCCCTGGCCATCCTCCATTGGACAGCTGTTAAGGCTTGGCCTAGAACCTGTTAAGAACTTTTCATTTCTCAGTGCTGACTCATTGTTTGGCACTTTAATTCTCAGGAGAAATCTTTTTTTTCTAGGTTTTAGAACTAAATCATTGCCCCCAAGGACTGCCCACACTAATTCTCACACAAAAACCAGCTGGTTAGATGTTCATTCTGCATCCCTACAAAGTGCCTTTAAAAGAAACAACTATGTGTTCTTTCTGGAACCTCACAAGGCTTTAGAGAGAGAGAGAGAGAGAGAGAGAGAGAGAGAGAGAGAGAGAGAGAGAGAGAGAGAGAGAGGAGGTGGAGGGAATGGCAAATGTCAGAACATTTCATCTAATTATCACAATTATCCTTCAAAATAAAAACTCTCTCCATTTACTTTCTAGAAAGGTTAAGAGCCTTTCCAGTGGAAAGGTCATTGGTGGGAGTGTAAGAGCAAACCAGACCTGTCAACCCCCAATGTCTCTACTCACCGACACCCACCTGCCCACACCCCACAGTCCAGTGCCCTTAGCTCAAGTATGTTTCCTGGCAACAAGTTCCATCAAAGCTAAAGCAGATGTAAGTGAGGCAGGATGGCAGATGGATCGATTTCTGCTCTGCTTTCATTTCCTGGTGGGCAAAACGGAGATTTTTAACTTCTTTTATACAATTATTATGAAGATTAAGTAACATTAACACGTATACGTGCATCATATAAATAAACAGCAGTGCTGTGTGTGTTTACCCAGAAAGATGTTTTAGGGCCATTTCCCCCTAAAACTATGAGCTTCCCTGGAGCTTTAGATTGTGAACCGTGATTGACTAAGGAGGGGACAGTGAGCACAGGGAAGGTCCCCAAACCTCTTTAACAGCTTACTGTTTTCACAGATGTCCTGGCATTTCCCAGGATGCTCTCTGTAAGAGTTAGTGACACTCTTTCCTCTGGTATCCTATTAGTGGCTAATTAGGCTCTCACAGGCACTCATATCTCTTTTAAATTGTTGAGCTCCAGTGAGTTCCCTGCACCAGGAAAATTAGGCATCCTGCCTAATTTCTTTGAGAATCCAATGCTCTCTCCAGCTGAGCTGAACTGACACAACTATCTGCTTCTTCCTTCTTGAAAGATTTGCTCGGGGCTATTTTCAAAAGAAGAGTTCCAGCCCTTGGACCCAACCCAGGAGCTCATATTTCCCCCAGAACTCCTGGTAAGACACCTCCGGTATTTTATGTGCTTGTTTAAATATCCGGTTATAGAGCCGAGTGGTGGTGGCGCGTGCCTTTAATTCCAGCACTTACGAGGCAGAGGCAGGCGGATCTCTGTGAGTTCAAGACCAGCCTGGTCTACAAGAGCTAGTTCCAGGACAGGCTCCAAAGCTACACAGAGAAACCCTGTCTCGAAAAAACAAACAAAAAACATATTTGATTATAGTCAGTTTTGTACATCTACCATATCCTTCGGGTGACATGTCAAATTGGAGAAGTGTTGGCTAGGATCTAGAAACCTACTTCCACCCAGCCCTGGCTGACCTTCCCCGGGCCTTAGGTGGGGCTTTTTAAATATTATCCCACCATTACTTTCATCACTGTGATCTGGAATGCGTCCCTGTTGGCTGCCCAGGCAATTCAGCTTTGCTAAGCCTCTGCCATGTTCTTCTAGGAACCATCGCCCGGCTGTTTATTTCTAATTTATTTATTTATTTATTTGGTTTTTCAAGACAGGGTTTCTCTGTATCTTTGGAGGCTGTCCTGGAACTAGCTCTTATAGAACAGGCTGGTCTCAAACTTACAGAGATCCACCTGCCTCTGCCTCCCAAGTGCTGGGATTAAAAGCGTGCACCACCACCCCCCAGCCTATTTCTAATTCTAATGATGTCTTTGCTGGTGTGTCTGTGTGTGAGTGTGTACACCTAAGTGTCTGTGTAAACAGAGGTGTAGGATCCCTAGAACTGATATTATAGGCAGTTACAAGCCAAACAACATGGGTGCTGGGAACCAAACTCAGGTCCTCTGCAAGAGCCGAGCATGCTCCTAGCCCTCTCCAGACCCCTTTCCTAGGAAGAGCTCTGGCATGTTTACTCGATCAAAAATATATTTCCATTCAGCGACATACCAGCGCTGTCCTAAGTACTAACTATGCAACAAGAAACACAGCTAAAAAAATCTGCCCTAAGGAAGTTTATAATCTAGTAAGAAAAAGGAATGATAGGCAAAATAATAGATGGAGATATAATATGTAAACTGTATATAGTGGCACAAGCCTTACCCCAGCACTCCATGAAGCAGAGGAGGGTGGATCTCTGTGAGTTCAAAGTCAGCCTGGTATACATAGTGAGTTCCAGGACAATCAGAGCTACTATGCATGAATATAATCTTAACAAATAAGAGGTGCTAAGGAGAAAAATCACCAAACAGAGAATGCAGCTCGACTGCAAATGGTCGAAAGTTTCAGTGCCACGGCCATAAAAGACACCCCTGAGGAGGTAATGTTTGAAGAAATTCCAGAAGGAAGTATGAAGCCAGTCGAGAGGAGAGAGGGGAGAACGTATCCGGGCTGTGGGAACATTGAGTGTGACCGTGCTAGGGTCAGGAGAACAGCAGGCCTAATCAGGGACAGCGCCGGGCCAGCTAGAACACCGTGAGGACGGCAGGCCATGCTGGACGTCACGCTGCTTGGCCTCCTCTCTGTGTAAAAGCCACTGTGAGGGAGGTAGCCTAGCTCCAGGAGGGACAAGCTCCTACGGAGGTCGCATCAGGCTCATTCAGGTGCTGAGCCAAGAAGCACCCAAAACAGGGGGAAAGGAAGGAGAGACGGGGCGTGCTCCATCAGGGGACAAATGCCTCCCAGAGGGCCGGTGGCTGCACTAGACCTCTGAGAAAGAACGCTGGATATGTTTCGGAAGAAAACCACACAGGTGCGATGTGATGTGGGGGAGACAAAGCCCAGCCTGACCCCAGAGCTGTGCATGGCTAAAGGGCACCAGTTACAAAGACAGAAAGACCTCCAGGGGGACGGGCCATCTTCCCCTTGGGGGTTCCCTTCCAAGGGCTGAGGGAGGGACTGGGCATGAGGAGCTCAGTTTGGAGCAAATTAAATGTGAGGTGCTCCTGATGCATCTAAGAGGGGTCAGACATCACGAACTCAAGGAGAAATGACTTGAATACTAGAGGGAAGAAAACAGACTGAGGATACTAATTTAGGATCATTAGCGAAACTGATCTTAAAGCAGTGAGACTGAATTAATACTAAATTAGTCCATGCTAAGCAGCCAATGGCAAGTGCCAGCTTATAGTGTCACTTGTTCCCAAAAAGCCATCTACTTACAGGAATTCAGGCTTTAGCCAGGGGAGACAGTGTCTTTCTGGGTAAGTGGATCCAAAACCCTGAAATCTTCCTAAAGGGACACAACCCACCCGCCACCTGGTTGGCCCAGAGTGACTGTCATGCACACAGATACATATCCTGTCCTTTGTCCTCAGAGGATGGCTGAGAACCCAGAAAAACAAACCCTGACCTTTTACGGAGAGAGAATTACCTGGATCTCCCCAGGAACCCTCCAAGATCTCTTGTCACTGAAGGCAAAATACCCTGAAGCCCCTCTTGTTTCAGGCAACACGTCTCTGGGTGAGTGGCAACAGCCTTGCTTACTCCATTGTTGATGCCTAGCTGAACTTCCTGGTCCCTGCTCATCCCTGATCTACTTTTTAGAGATGAAATTTTGTCCCATTTCATAAAACCAGTCATCTCCAAAGCTGATTGGCACATACCCTAGTAGTGTTTAGGATGACAGGGGCTGAGTAAATGTATGAGAGGGCTTTTCTGCATAGCCCTAGCTGTCCTAGAACTCACTCTGTAGACCAGGCTGGCCTTGAACTCAGAGATCTGCCTGCCTCTGCCTCTGTAGTGCTGGGATTAGAGGCGTGCACCACTACCCACCTGTCCCTTGTTATTTTATTAAGGTTAAATATTGAGTAGACATAAGAGACTGTTATAAAATATTTGTGGATGTGTTAACAAACATACCTAGTGAGTACCTACATTCATTTTAATGACTTTGCTTCCCATACACACTTATAGCCCAATGGGAGAATGTTGTTAGTGTTTTTTTACTCTTTTTACTCCTGGGAGGGGGGGCATCCAGCTCCCAAATGAATACAAAGACTTACTATTACTTACAAATGCCCTGCCTTAGCTTGGCTTGTTTCTAACCAGCTTTTCATAACTAACTATCCCATCTATCTTTTGCCTATGGGCTTTTACCTTTCTCTCTTTCTGCATGACTTTCTTTTTTAATAAATACTTTATTATATACATATTCTTTTTTGTTTATTTGTTTCTCGAGACAGGGTTTGTCTGCAAAAAGGCTCTAGCTGTCCTGGAACTTGCTTTGCAGCAAAGCGATCTATCCTCCTGCCTCTGTCTCCCAAGAGCTGAGATTAAAGAAATGAGCCACTGCTGCCAGATCTGCATGTCTCTCTTCACTTCTTACTCTGTGGCTTGCTATGTAGCTGGGTGGATGGATGGTTGGCCCGTGAAGTCCTCCTCCTTTCTCTCTCATTCCTTGATCCTTTTCTTCTTTTTCTCCTTCTATTTATTCTCCCTGCCTGCCATCCATACCTATCCTTTCTCCGGCCTTGCTATTGGCCATTTAGCTCTTTATTTGACCAATGAGATGTTTTAGACAGGTGAAGTAACACAGCTTCACAGAGATAAACAAATGCAACACAAAAGAATGCAAGATATCTTTGCATCATTAAACAAATATTCCACAGCATAAACAAATGCAATCATCTTAAAATAGTATTCTACAACAATAGAAAGCTAACCTAGCCTGTTCAAGCTCTGGGTTTGATCCCCACCATCCCCCCAAAACTTGTAATCACTGTTTCAGCAGCTGGCCTCTGTGATAAAAGGAGGGTTACCACACTGCTCCTCCTTTCCCTTCCTTCCTGATGGAGCCCGGCAGCTGAACTGTGTTGGTCCATTGGTCAGTCTCTTCCCCATTTCTATAATTATCACATATGTTTGAATCCCTAAACAATGTGTCCACTAGTTTTGCACATACTGCAGAGACTGTCACTATTCTTCTCAAATTTGTTTTTCAGTCAATGTTCTTGACTGGAGACTTGGTCCCTCTTTTTGCATGTTCCTGAGTCCTCCGTTATATAGCACAGAATGGCTTGCCTTCCAGTCTATCACGGGAAGGCAGCTGTTGAAATAACGTCAGCTTTTTCCAGGTTCCCAAGCTTTTATAAATGCCCCCCCCCCGTGCTCACACGTGCTGAGCAGGTGTTTACCACTGAGCCACACACTTTATCTGTTTTGCTTTGATTTGTTTTTTTGTTTGATGGTCTTGAGACAGAGTCTCATATGTCATATGTCACTCTAGCTAACTTGGAATTCACTATGTAGACCAGGCTGGCTGGTCTGGAACTCACAGATTTCAAACTCACCTGGCTCTGCCTCTTGTGTACTGGGATTAAAGGCATGCACCACCACATGGTTTAGACACATTCCTTCTTTTCTTTTCTTTCTTTCTTTCTTTTTTTTTTTTTTTGGTTTTTTTTTTTTTTTTTTTTTTTTTTGGTTTTTCCAGACAGAGTTTCTCTGTAAGCCAGGCTGGCCTTGAATTCACAGAGATCCACCTGCCTGGGTCTCCCGAGTGCTGGGATTAAAGGCATGTGCCACCACCCAGTTTAGACACACTCTTACAAGCATCTCCAGATGCCTCTGTGAAAGCTAGTTTTAAAAGCTTCCCACACTCTCTTTTCCTATGGGTACAATGTAGCAAGAATTTAAGCAAGTGAATACATACATTAGGCAAAGGGGTACATGGTCATTGCTCTCACATCTACACACATTTATTATCAAGATTTAAGCTTTACATCTGAATGCTTTATGAGAAGTTTTCAATGTAAAAGAAAAGCCGTTTTCCCTTTCTCTAAAATTCGTTTGTTTTTCTTCAGGACCAGCGATGAAATCTCAAGGACACTTGTACCCAATTCTCCTCTCTCCTGCTGCAATTCCTGATCTGAGACTGGTGACTAAAAGCAGTGACGGTGAGTTCCTGGTTCTCTAGAAAGACATTAATGTGATGGTGAGTTCCTGGTTCTCTAGAAAGACGTTAATGAAGCAATCGCTTCACTAGCCTGACACTTGTTGAATATGTCAGAATGCCCTCATGCATCTATTTTATGACTTGTCATCCTTTCGCCAGCAAAAGCATGTCTCCACTGTAAGCCTCACAATCAAAGCCTGGGGGAGGAGAAGATGAGCTTTCTAAACATTACCATTAGAGACAGTGTGCTCACTTATAGGGATCTTACAAGTGCCATGGTATCCCAGAGAGAATGAGTGTACAGAGTCACTTGGATGGAAGAGAGGAGAGATGGAGAGTATTATTTGATGCCCACATGCTACATGTGTTGTGGGAGCAATGGCATGGGGCCAAATGGGACAGAAGCCTACTAGCAAGCACTCATACTCACCCACGACATCCTCAAACGCCCACCAGTGCAGAGTAAAGGCAAACCACAGAGTAGAAAAAAAATGTGCACGATTTGAGTTCAAGATACACGACAGCCCTTTTAGCAAACCGATCTTAGTGTTTTCCCTTCCTCGTTGTCCAGAGCTCTTAGTTTTGGGCATGCACACTTATCCAGTAGCTGACAAATTAATTCGAGGAGGACTGGGGGTTGGGGTGGATGAGTTGCTCGGGAATTTGAATGTAAGGGATTGCAATGGTACTGATGACACCCTTAACTTGAGCAACAGGGACAAGGTCAGAACTAACAACTTAGTCAAGAAGGACTTGTAGGTCACCGTGTGTTTATGGAGGTCTTTGGTGGGCAGGGAGGGGGCTGAAGACAGCCAAGTCACTGCCACCCAGGAGTTGTACCTTCTGGCTTCTGCCATCAGCCAAAGGCAGGTTCAATGAAAACCAGTGCACTCACTGCTAATACCCACTCCAACCCAGACATTTTCAAGCGATGGGATTCCTTCATGAGTTTTGCCAGCTTCAGTTTGGAACAACCCAGGTAGTGTGCCTGTTGTGGGCAGAGAGAAAATGGAAGGACTCGTATACGGACCGGGGTCCAGATAATCTGTCTAAGCCGATAATTACAGCAGGAGGGCCTTGATACTTCAGCCAAGCGCTGGTTAGCCTTCTTGCTCCTGCCTCTCCTCTAACACCAAGTCTCGAGTCTCCAAGTGTTAAACAAAATATAAAAATAAGTTGCTATATTGAAGGAGAGGGTCACTTTCCCCACCGTCCTGTCTCTGAGCCCCTTTTTATGAGTCCCCAAAGAGGCCTTCCAGAGCTCAACTCAAACTCTTCATTTGTAACCCAATCCTTCCTCTGTAGATGAGGACCGTGGGGCGCAAAAAGAAAACGCACTCGCCCATGGTCATCAGGTTACAAGGTCACCCACTCACAATTCAGAAGCCCCACTGCCATTGCCAACCCCTTCCCCGGGCCACCAATTTTTTACATTAGCTGTCCCATGTGGTCCCTCAGCAAAAGCTTGGCAGGCTCGGAAGTCTGCCATGTACGGCCTCTGACTTGCTTAAAACTGAAGCGTGAGCGCCCTCCAGTGGCCATCAGGAAACTTCCCGTGGCCCAGAGTGGGAAGGACACCACTTGGGAGAACTGAAACCAGATGTGCTCACACCAGCACCCCCAGGAATCAAATCTCTGTGACAGACAGCTTCACTTGGGGCTTAAAGGTTTCTTTAAAACTGCACATTCATCCACATCCCACCCACGGTTGGCTCAGTCTAGTTTTCTTTCAACAATCTTTACTATGAACAGTCCCAGCGGCACGGCACGGATACTTGATGGACCCGTGAGGCAGAGAGTTAATTTTTAAAACCCTGACAATCAGAAGTTGAAGAGCTTCCCAACGCCATCAGAATGTAAGCTGAGTTTTGTGACCAGAGACAGAATCAGATAGAAATACTGGGAAGTGGCAACGCGTCCAATGGAAACGGCACAACAAAGGCCCGCCCCGATGGTCTTTCCGGCCTCCAGTGGAGTTTGAACTCTTGTGAGGACAGAGAAGTAGAGCAGACAGCTGGCATTCCATGCCCCACTGGAGGGTGGAACTGCCTTTTTTTTCCATCTGGGTGAAAACCAGAAGCAGGGAGCAGGGTGTGGTGGCTCATGGACTCATGCCTATAATCCCAACACTTAGAAGGAGGAGGAAGAAGGATCAGAAATTCAAGGCTACAAGAGACTGTCGCAAAAACAAAAACGAACAAAAAGCCAAAAGAGGCAGTGGTGAGCCACTCTGTTCTCTGTGTAAAGCCGCTGGCCTAAATAACAGTAAGATGTTTGCGTCTGGTTTCTTCCCTAATGAGGCCAGGGTCTTGTCGGGGGCAACAAGTCATTTGACAGGGAACAACTTAGCTCTACTAGGCTCCTGCAAGGGTATGACAGGAATTTGGGGTTTGAGTTTTAGTTTATGGTTGGGAAGACTTTGTTTTGCTTTGGTTTTATTTTGTTTTAGAGGCACAGTCTCCTTGGTAGCCAAGGCTGCTCTCAAAGTCATGATCACCATGCATCGGCCTCCCAAGTGTTGGGGTTACAGGCAGGCACCACACTATCTGGTTATAGAAGGTAAAGAGTTGATGCCAATACAACTCATAGGGCTAAGGAATCAACAGGCCCCTGGTGGCGGGTCTGAGGTGGGGCCAGATCTCATTAGAGCATCTTTTATGAGATGCTGTAACAGGACAAGAACTTCAGGCTGACATTCTGAAAAGGAGGGACAGTTTAGTTACAAATTTCAGGTGACATTTGTCTGGCCTGTGTATAATAAAAAGCTGCTAGTCTTCTCCCATCCAGGAAGTGAGCTGAGGTTAGTGAATCAGTGGAAGAGTGATGGGCGTGTTGGCAAAGACAGAGGAAGTTCTGTGCCAAGAACATTTAATATTGACAAAATACAGCTACGTGGGAGGGTGGGATACCCTCAAAGATGAATCAACAAGAGAAAAACCAAAGCCCAACCCGAGACTTGCTAAAAAGCAGACTCAGAGTAATTACTATCCAACAAGCGAGGTCAACTCAAACCCTGTGAGCTAAGGTTTCATTATGAAAACCTGAGAGAGGTAAAGATGTGTTTTAAAGGTAGCTCCGGATGGTTCGGGTGACCACACACTTCCTGTATTGATTTGACCCCTCTCCTCCTACCGAGGAGAGACCCTCCAGTTCTTGCTCACAAGTTTAAATCCAGCTGTTGTCGGAGTGTTGGATTACTTTCTGGCCAGCTGGCAAATAGCATTGTCCTAGTCCTCCCTGGTGCTCACCCACAGCTCCCTTCTCACCTTCCTGTGAGCCCCGAACATCCCCACACCCGACATCACCAACCAATGGGAAGACTGGGCAGATACTCCCTTGGGATGTGTTCATTTTGATTGGCCAGTGTCCCTCTTGAAGGTTGTGATTATCAGAGTTGGAAAATCTAAAGCCAAAACATTACTGATTTCGATTCCCATTTGGGTCATCTTGGATTAAGTTCTTGAGCTGTTATATTCTGAGATGTTTTCATACCAGAATATACTAAAAAGTCAAAGGTCACACAAAGTGGGGGTAATTTACACGAAGAGGCCAACACAGCCTATTTCGTTTCTTGACTTTATGGAGGCAAGTACATAGAAGCTAGGTTTGTTCCTTCCTTAGGTTGACGATTCATATACTTTTAGCTGAAAATCTTCAGGAGCAATTCCTCTAAGGGAGTCTTAGGGTGATGGTATCATGTCACATTCAAACTGGAATCACCCTAGACCCTGTGAGAACCACGAAGCCAGGGAGAAGTCACCATGTTTACTCGCCGTTGTCCTTAACCTCTCTCAAGTTTGCATTAAAAACAGTAGTTACTGATTTTCGACCATGACCTAGAGATTCAAGTGACATTTGCCATTGTGTGAATGCTATCAGATTTATTCCCCTCAATCACATCATAATCCAGGTCACTCAGGAAGGTCATGGGAGGTTCTAGAAGGACCTACCACTGGCATGTTGTCACTCCTTGGCTCCCATCTCCGTTTCTTCACACCTTTCCCAAGATAAGTGTAGCCCCAGGGTCCCACCTCTGGCTACACAGGAGACCACCTTGGGGCCTTTTTAAAGCCCTATGCCCAAGGCAGGGGAAATTGGCTCTGCTATCTGGGTCTTGCAAGCACAAGTTTGATCTCCAGAACCCACATTAAAAAAAAAAATCTGGGCAAGACAGGACACAATATTAGGGAAGTGAAGACAGGCAGGCCCCAGGGGCTCATGGGCCGAATGTACTTAATAGGCTCCAAGTCAGTGAGAGATTTGGTTCGAAAACAAACAAAAAATAATAGGATTGACACCCAAGATTGTAGACACACACACTCACACACACACACACTCAGTCACACATGCCCATGCACACACAGAAAGCCTGATTCCCAGAGACTGACTTGGTTGATCTGGGAGCCCCTGGTGACCCCCCCTGAGCAGCCACAACAGAAAGCACCACTAACCAAATGTCAAGTGAGACCCTAAAGCAGTGATGCCAGCTCTGCTCCTCCTATGTGGCCAATGCAAACAACCTGCTTTCCAGGACTGACCATGGGTGCCTGCTGCAGCCTGGCTCAGGTGAAAGACATCTTGGCTGAGAGCATCTCTGAGCTCCCCGAGGAGAAGACTCAGACCTATAGAGCCCTCCTGAAACACCTTCGGAGCCTGGCGGGACAGCAGATCCGGAACATGGCGGTGGGTTTTCCGCGGTCGATCACTGGGCACACACTTACTTCTCCTTCTCATTGACATGTCAGGATGAGCACTGGCAGAAGTAGCATGCCGAAAGGTCTCATGAGTTAAAATGACAGGCCAATTAACAAATAGTCTTAAATTAACAAATAATATTTAGTAAAATGTTCCATGAAATTCTAGATGAAATTCAGCACAGTAACTAAGCAACAACACGTACCACACAGAGCATGGTGTAGTACCTAAAGCAAGTTGGGTGACCTTTTACTTTGTCCCACTCACACCACAGTGGGGGAGTCACCATCCTAAGGAGGAAAACGAATATGTATGTCTGACATCTGCTGAGAGCTGGGGCAGAGATCCCTGGAGCCTGGGGATTCAGTAGAGGACCCAGCCTCTGTGAAAACTCTCAAGTGATTCCAAATGACAATACTCACTAGAGCCTGTCAAGATGAGGGTGACAGATGTGTGTAGGGTTAGAAGCACATCTTAAGGAGGGATGGAATCAGACAAAGCAAGCTGCCTTCCAACATTCATGGACCCCTGAGGATAGATGACGGCCAAGACTCCTCATGACCCTTCCAAGACCCTGGAAGGATCATAGGCAGATGTCTACAAGGATGGTAGAAGACCCGAGACACTAACCAAGCTGCCACTCTGTCTCCTCAGTCCTTAGGTGGACATGTCCTCAGCCGGCATGGCTACTCCGACCTGAATCCTATTCTCTCTGTGGGCAACGCCACCCTCAACCTGTTGTCAGAAGGTAAGCTACACTCTGAGCAGCTTGTAGAGAGCTTCTGTCTCCTGTCATTACACTCTTAAATTCTCTTAAGGAATTGCATTGAGTAGCAGCCTGGATCCCAGACTCTCAGTTCACCATGGGGGAGTTCCTGTCATGAGGAAGGTATGTTATAACAACAGGCAGAAGTGCGTCCTGCTGGCCACACACTCACTCTCTCTCTCACACACACACACACACACTCACACACACTCACACACTCACTCACACACTCACACGCGCACACACTCACTCCCACTCACTCACACACTCACACATTCACACACACTCACACACTCACTCACACACTCACACACTCACATGCTCACTCACACACTCACACACTCACACGCACTCACACACACTCACACACTCACACTGACTCACACACTCACACACTCACTCACACACACACTCACACGCTCACTCACACACTCACTCACACTCACTCACACTCACTCTCACTCACACACTCACTCACACACACTCACTCACACACACACTCACTCACACACACTCACACACACACACTCACACACAGGACCGTATGCTCAAAGCTCATGTGTTAGTTCACGTGTTCTTGCTTGACCAGGGATGCTATGCAAAAGCTGACATGAGAGTAAGGTTCCAGGGTCCTGCAGAGATGGATCAGAGGTTAAGAGGACCCTTTGCTCTTGTAGAGAACAGAAGCTCAGTTCCTAGCACCCACATCGGGTGACTCACAGCCGCCTACAACCCTGGTTCCTGAGGGACTCTATCCTCTGCGGGCACCTGCACTCATGGCACATATCCACAGAGATGGACAATTATATAGCATATGTATTTTTTTTAATAAAAAGCACTCTTTTAAAGAAAAGAGAATGTGGCTGGAGAAAAGGCTCAGCAGTTATGAGCAGGTGCTGCTGTTGCTAAGGGCCTGAGTTTGCTTCCCAGCACCCCTGTCGGCAGCTCACAACTGCCTGCAACCCCAATTCCAGGGAGCCTGACCGCCATGGTTACCTACATTCATGTGTGCATAACCACATATAAACACCTGTACATAACTAAACATAATGAAAATAAATCTTTTTTTTTTTAAAGAGAATGAGGACTAGACATGGTGATACACGCCTTTAATCCCAGCACTCAAGAGGCAGGGGCAGGAGGATCTCTGTGTGTTGGAAGCCAGCCTGGTCTACATAGTGAGGTCCAGGACAGTCAGGACCATGTAGAGAGACCTTGTCTTGGGGGTAGACACACAAAAGAAGGTGGACCCGGCCTGTTCCAGATGGCACATTCCTAAAACCTAAGGGAGCGAGGTTCCTGATTCCTCCTTCAATCTACGCCCAATCTGAGAGTGCACACACACACACACACACACACACACACACACACACACACACAATATCCTTTATGGCACTCTTCTTCCAGCACACACAGAAAGCCGAACACCCCTATGGGGAGGAGAAAGCGGTGACTCATTTTAATTGCTGGCTGAATGGAGCATTTCCTTATGGCAGCTCTCTGCTAATCCACCTCCCCGCCGGCTCCGCCCACCAGGCCTCTCTGCACTCACGGCACTTTGGTCTGTTCCGCAAGCTCTAACACACCCTTGACAAGAGGCTAAACGTGCGCGCCAGGCTCTGCTGGGAACTTCACACACTTCTTCCCCAAGCCCCTCAACCTGGAGCACATTCCACTTGTCCGGAAAATGACGGGACTCCAGCTTAGCTGGTTTGTGATGCTCACACTGAATGTGGGCCACTTATCAACATTTTTTTCTCATGGCTTTGGAGGACAGAAACTCCAAGGTCACATGATACAGTGTAGTGACAACCTTCTTATTCCATCATCTCATGTCAGATGGCAGAAATGCAAGAAAGGACAAAAGGGAGCCAGGGTCATCCCTTGTAATGGCACCGGTCCCCGCTCTGAGGGTGGAGCCGTGTCACCCGCCTCACGCCCGGGATCCATCTCAGGCCGGAGCCTTGCGCATGCTAGACAAGTGTTCTACCACAGCACACCCAGCTAGCCCCGAACACTGCTACAACGGCCACTACATTCCCTGAACTAAATAAGGCCTTTTAAAAATGTGTTGTATCTTCATTGTGTCAGGCATGCCACAGTGCATGAGCGGACAACTTACCAGAGTCAGTTCTTTCCTTAAGAGGTCCTAGGGATTGAACTCCAGTCATCGGGATTGGCTGCAAGCACCTTCACCCACTGAGCCGTTGGCTGGCCCTGAGTTTTGCAGGAGACTAGCACTCAAGCCTTAGCAGATGGGACCCTCTGTCACTCTGGCATCCATTCATCATCTCTCCTGATCACCCTGTCCTGTGTCCAGGGCTTCCCACTCTAGATGCCCCTCCCCTTCCCTCACAGGCTACCTGACAACCCGTCTGTCTTAGTTAGGGTTTATTATTGCTGGGAAGAGACACCGTGAGCACGGCAAGGGTCATGAAGAAAACATTTAATTGAGGGTGGCAGCTTCCAGTTTCAGAGGTTCAATCCGTTATGATCATGACAGGGAGCACGGGGCCCTGCAGGCAGACATGGTGCCGGAGCTGAGAGGGCTATATCCGGCAGGCAACAGGAAGTCAACTGACTGTCACACTGAGGGAAGCTTGAGAAAAAGAGACCTCAAAGCCCGCCCCCACACTGACACACTTCCTCCAACAAGGCCACACCTCCTAATAGTACCAGTCCCTTTGGGGGCCATTTCCTATCAAACCGCCTCACCATCCAGTACCTCCATGCACTGTCCCTCAGCAGATCTTGACTCACTGCTACCTCCCAGGTACAGGGATACAGAAGGAGCCACAACCTCTGCCCCTGTGGACTTCCGGGCTCCCTGAGGTGTTTGATGCTGTCACTTAATGCTCGGAGTTCAGAGGTAGTGGGGAGAAACTTAGGCTGTTCAGGCCCTTCTCCATGACTGGCTTCATTTGAAATCTTTTAGGAGGGAGGGCACAGGTGAAGCATGCTGACTGAACCAGGCTTTTGTCTGAGGGCACCAGGTCTGTAGTTCAGAATGACCCCAATTTAACCCACAGTCAAGAAGTCAAGACTCTGGGGCTACCAGGATGGTGAGGTCTCTGCCCAGGGCCTTTTGCTACCGTGATGGTAGCAACGTTCTACTGGATGTTTGTAATCACCTTTGACTTACGGTTTCTGCCTTCTCAACTCTGCAAAGCTATGTCAGACCTCCATCACTCCAGGGAAGGCGGGATCTCAGCTCACTGACTTAGCAGTGATCAGCAGGGACTCTTTGGAATTTCCCACACAAGCACAACAATGCCGGCATTCCAACCAACACAGTGCCAATTGCGCAGGGAATAGAACTCATGTCACCCCTGGGCTGTAGTTTGATCTCTTCGGCACACGCCCCATACCCTAAAAAAGTACAAAGCATATTTTAAAGCCAGAGGACAGTGCCCTGGTCCCAAGAGGTGAATAGCTGAGCCCGAGTCAGATTTGACAAGCTGTTTACTTTAAAGGTGTGTCCGTGTCAGGAACACAAAACTGCAGCAAACATAAAAAGCAGATCATAGCTCTGCTCGCAGCGAGAGTAAATCCAGTGTTAGCTTAAGTTAGCTGCAGCCTGACCTCCGGTTTGCGGTTCATTTAGTTAGCCAGCCTCTGCTGCAGGCCGAAAGCCCACGGGATGGTGGGCATGGCGTGATCACTGACAGGAGAACAAATGCCATGCGCAGAGAAGGGAAAGGGGACGCTGTAACAGTGTCACAGCTCAATCTCTGCATTGGTCACTCTGAGCGGAGGACGTACATCTTCTCCTCTGGCAGCCAGCCTCCAAAAGTGCAGATCTGGCTTGCTTTACTTATGGCTGTACAGAAATGCCGTTTCTTTCCACAGAAGGCACCCGGCAGATTGCCCTCGATGGGCATTTTCTTGCTGGGTTGGCAAGCGCAGACCTGAAGCCAGGGGAGATTTTGGGATCTGTGTACATCCCTCACTCGCAAAAGGTAAGAAGGTTTTGAAGTTATTCCTCCCTGTCATAGTGGAGTCCACCCTACCCTAACATCTGAAGACAGGTGGAAGGAAAGTAACTGTCTCTGAAACTGTTTCCTGACCTACTGCAAACTGGTTCAACAACCAGGCTTTGGGACTGCCCTGAGCAAGTGACTCCAGGGTGTGGATTTGGTTGTTGTGGGGTGTGGCCTGCCGAAGGCCTGTGGTCACACTCCCCCACGGGTGAAGGCTCTCCAGCTGTGAAGGAGCTTCTCTACCTGACGCACAGGAAGTGGGAGTCCTAAATTGGCTTTTCCACCCCAAATTCCTGCCAACCCCTACAGCTCATAGGCACGCATGGCCTCCAGATGTTCCCTGGCCCAGGGATTGATGTGGTCACCCAGCCAGCTATGGAGGCAGCCTTCTCCCCCCACTCTCTGTTCCTTAGGCCTCTCTCCAAAGTTGTGCTTGACTCCGAGAGAAGCACCAATCACTCACACACACACACACACACACACACACACAGCAGAGGCAGGTCATAATGAAATCTTTTTTTGCTTGTTTTTCAAGACAGGGTTTTTCTGTGTAATAGCTCTCGCTGTCCTGGAACTCGCTCTGTAGACCTGACTGGCCTCAAACACACAGAGATCTACCTGCCTCTGCCTCCGGGAGTGCTGGAATCAAAGACGTACGCCACCACACCCAGCTCTAATTTTTTTAAAGTATCTGGAGAAATTGTTCAGTGATTAAGAATGCTTACTGCATTTGCAGAAAACCTGGATTCTGTTCCCAGCACCTACATGCATGGTCTCTTCTGGCCTCCGAGGGCTCCTAGATACATATGGAGCAAATAACTCACACAGTCTCATAAACAAAAAGAAATAGATTTTTTTTGAGGACACCACCCTCACTCTGAAAGAAGGCAACCAAAGTGTCTCTCATTTAGACAACTGTTCTCTGTGTCCCGTTCTAAGTGACTAATTAACTAGAGGCACCAAGAGGGAACCCAAACTTTTCATTCTGACGTATCCGATAACCCGGAATGGTTTCTATCTTCGCAGTGGGAGTTTGTGTCAGCCTTCCGGCAGGCCCAGTGCCATCAGAATGCTTTGCCTGACGTGAATGCTGGCATGAGAGTCCTGTTCCGGGAGGGCACAGACATCATTGAAGACCTGAGCATCGCCTACGGAGGGGTGGGGCCCACCACCATCAGTGCTCACAGATCCTGCCAGCAGCTCGTAGGCAGGTAAGTCATGAGCACTGTCCCTTGAGGGAAGGAACCTTGGTAATGGGAAAAGCAAACTGGCCCTCACAACTGTTGATAAAGCCGTGGAATGATGGAAACCCAGACTGGTTAAAAAAAAATCACTGTATATTCCTTCTTTAATTTTGATGAATTAACTCCACATTATTTGGCTTCAATTAAGTCACTTTTGGGTGAGGGACACAACAAAAATGGCCCAGGACTGAGTCCAGCCTGCAGGTGATGTTTTCTTATCTTAGAGCCCCTCCCCCCTGGGTATGGACACTCAGCGGCCCTCTCCAAATAGAGCCCAGTACTCCCACCACAGGGGCACACTATTTCTCCCTGGGTAAAGGCAGCATCCAAGCCTGGGTTCTATTCTCTTCTAGAATATTCCGGAATGGTTCTAGAATATTCTGCCTCCGGCACCTGCTTGATTTATGTTGCGATGAGAAAGGTCCCATTCTCACTCAGCCACTTGGGGCAGGTTCCCAGGCTTCGGTTTTCCCAGACACCCTTGTTAACACAGTTTCTAAGAGAGGCCATGGGGGCTCTAAAATGCCAGTTTCGATGCAGTCAGACTTCTCAACTCCCGCTGTACTAGGCACTGGAATGCGCTCATGCTGGACGAGGCTTGCAGGCGGCTTCTGGATGAAGTCTCCCTCCCGGGCTCAGCTCTAGGGGGTAAAGTGGAGTTCAAGAGGACTCTGATGGTCAGCTTCCTCTTCAAGTTCTACCTGGAGGTTCTGCAGGAACTGAAGAGAAAAGTAAAGCTGCCCTCGGAGTCTACCGTAAGTGCACTGGAGGACAGTGGCAAATGCGCTCACACATAGTCATGGTCTCACAGTACTGAGGCTAAAGGCCTTGCCCACGGTGCCATCGGGTAGCAGGAGGCTGAGTTCACAATGAGTTCAAGGCCTGTCTGAGCTACGGAGTGACACCCATCCCCAAAAATATGTAATAAACGAAAACCAGAGGCATCATCAGAGCCGGTTCCTCCTGAGAACTGTGACACTGTTCCACACCTTTCACACGGCTTCAGATGGCTTGACCTAGCTTCTGGTGGCTTGCTGGTGACCTTTGCTCTTCTTTACCTTGCAGGAATTACCCTGCTGTTGCCTTTACACAATGCTGCCCCTGTGTGCATGTTTACATCCAAACTTGTCCTTCTAAGAGGACGTCAGCCATAGTGTCAGCCAATTCTAATTCATTGACACCATAGTAAACATCCCATCTTGTTTGGATAGGTCACACTCTGAATTTCTGGAGGTTTGGGAAGGTGAAATTCCAACCATAACCCTGCCTCTGTCAGCAACTTGCTGCCCAGGGTTCCTAGCTTTGTCGCAGTTCGTGCCATTTGCCTTGTAGGGAGCCTGCTACTGTCTTCTAGAAGTCCTTGATCTGGGTCAGCCTTTGTCAGCCCAGTGTTTGTTCTGAGATTTAGCTCTGACAAACCCCTTTCAGTTCTCAGGTGTTTCCGTGCCCCAGCACAGAAACATTACAAGGTCTCCGACTCCACTCTGTAATTTTTTCCTTTAAAATAAACTTTATTGAAGCACAATTTACAGTAAAACATGAGGCAAATAATATATGATTTAGCCCACCTGTTTTAACTTAGTACACCAACTGAACTTAAATATAACACATTTTCATTGTCCCCTTTGGGTCATCATTCCCATCCCTGACTAGACAAACACTAACCTGCTTTATGGGACTCAAGTTTCACTTTGCTTAGTCTAGCATTTTGTAATCATTATGAAATGTGATGTCAAATTTTTATGTCTCAAAAAGTCAACAACTGATATGTATACTACTATCCAAATGGCTTTCTAGGTTTTCTGATTGCAAACTTCTGGAATCAGTTAACCAAAATATTTACTCTCACACCTGTTCTCCCTGCCCCGTCCTCTCACTCCCTCAACCCTTCCCTGACCATGATCACAACTCTCATCCTTCCCTGAACTCTGCTCCTCAACCACCCCCACCCCATGACCACTGTCCCTAACCTCTGAATTTCAGACAAACACCTGCACTTCATTTCTCAGTCGGGACACCAGAGCAGTCTTCCAGCCTTAGAAAAAGATCCTGGACAAAGCATTCAGATTTTTTTTTCATTTTATTCTGGAGTGGCTTATTCAGCCTAGAGTTGCCTTCCTAACACACACACACACACACACACACACACACACACACACACACACACCATCTCCTAGCTCCCTCCAGGGACATGGAGATCAGATCTAACCAGTCATCCAAGCCCTCGCTTGAATAGGGGGTGAGCAGGCACTAGGGTCACAAAAAGTGAAACCCTGGGGGGGGTAACTAGGCCACCCCTCAGTGCACTAGGAGCCATTCTACATAACCCAAACCCAACTAATCCAGACTAACCAGTCTCTCTCATTGCGCTGAGCCATTCCAGGACAGCCAGCACTGTCCAGTGATTGCAGACCGGTTCCTGAGCGCTCTGGAAGATTTCCAGGTCACTCTACCCCAGGGAGTCCAAACATACCAGGTCAGTGAGTTTTATTTCACTGTAACCTACACTGAGAGATAAGCTAGAGCTGTGTGGACCAAGCAGGCTATTCCCAGGGTGATTTTCAGTTCTTTCTAGGTGTTCCTAATCAGGAGGCTCTGAGCCCCAAGAGCAGGTGTAAGAGGAGCACAGGGCTGCTCTGCCAGAGTGGTTTGCTGGCAGGCAGTCATTGTCACTTCAATGTGATATTATTGGGGTGTTTGTTTAATACCTACCCAGAAGAGTAGCGGAGCCCAGGGGCTCAGCCTCTAGCCCAAACTGTGTATGTCTAATCTCCAGTCAGTAAACAAGAGGCCAGCTAGTGACTAAGCTGGAAGGACAGTTTAGAAATTAGCTGTTCTTTTTGGTACACAGTCCTCCCCATCACACACACACACACACACACACACACACACACACACACACACACACACCAGTGCAGCCTCAGAGAAAAGGTCCAAAATAAACTCTTTGGGCATCAGTCTGGATCTGGGAGATTTCCTTCCCATCCTGTGCCAGAGGCCCTGGTGAGTTCTCACTCAGATTTTGGTCTCTCTCTGTGGGGCATGCTGTATCACTCTAGGCCTCATAAAGAATGATGAACACGAGCAGGTTGGCCACTGGAAGGGTGAACAAGCAGGACAGAGAGACCTAATTGTCAAACAAAGGAGCTCAGGGTACCACAAATGCAGGAAGTGATGAGTCCTTTCACCTACTTCACCGTTCTGTCAAAATGTTGGCCAATCAGAGGCATTGCTATCAAACTGAAATGACAATTCCTCACTCTAGTTACATCATGAAATGGCCGTGCTCATCATCTGAATGGCCCCAATGTTTGTTGCCCAAGGGGGGTGCCCTGTGACTCCCCCCTGAGTCACCTAAGCCACCCGAGATGAAAGGTTTCTGTGCTAATTCTTTCTCTATAGAGAGTGGATCCTCATCAGCCTCTCCAGGATCCAGTTGGACGTCCCATCATGCATCTGTCAGGTCTTAAACACGCCACAGGGGAAGCCATATTTTGTGATGACATCCCCAGGGTGGATAAAGAACTTTTCATGGCTTTGGTGACCAGTACCAGGGCTCATGCAAGAATCATGTAAGTAAAGCAAAACTTTTCAAAAACCTTTTAAAGGTATACCTCAGGGTTGCTTCAAAGGACCGTGCCCTCTTCTGCAATGTCCTAACCCAAAGAGCTCCATAATGATAAAAACATATCTAGAAGTAACCATCTTGGGAGTGAGGGGGGCATAAGGACTAGAGATACAGTTCACTTGGTAGTGTTCTGGAACACTCTACCATGCACAAAGCCTAGGGTTCATTCCCTAGCACCATATAAAGCCAGCACACGTGTAAACCACTGTAATCACAGCAGGTAGAGGCAAGAGGATCAGAGGTTCAGGGTCATCCTCACTTACAAAGCTAGCTCCAGGCCCAGGTGGACTACATGTGACTCCGTCTCAAAAAGTAAAATGTTACAGTACTTCTGTTTGCTCTCCAAGGTCATAAAGCCTCACCCTGCCGCAGCCTCATGCGTGACTCAGCCACCCTGCCACCCTGAAACACCAGCTTCATTACTGATTAGGAAACAAATACTGCCACACGCTTCCAAAGGAGCCGTGTCTCCGTGCCCCGCTTCAGCAGCCGAAGTGTTCCCTCCTGGCCCTGTAGCAGGTCCCCTGGAGTCTATTCCATGGCAGGTTCACTCTGGTTGCTCAGGCTGGACTCCTTGTTACATATTTTTATTTTCAACTATATTCCATTTTTCCCTTGGGTTTGAGACCCTCAAAATTTGCTGATGTCTCCTTCTTAAATGTCTCCCTATGTTCAGATCAATTGATTCATCTGAAGTCTTTGCCCTACCTGGTGTGGTTGGTGTAATAACAGCTGAAGACATTCCAGGCACCAATGGTGATGACAATGACAAATTGCTGGCTGTAGATGAGGTATGACTGGCACATGCTTTCCCAAATGCCTGTGAAAGTGGTCACCAAGGACCCCTGTCAGTCAACTGTCCTTGCCTCCCAGCTTTTTCTACCATGGAGATGCAGAAGTGCCAAGGTCCTAGCTGCTCTCTACCCCAGTGCCTCTATTAACCTTGCCTTTCTGAAGCTAGGAAATAGCATGTTAAACAAAAACTAATCATAGATCTGATTCAGCCGCTACGTGCCTTTGAGCTCATTTATCTGAACTTATCTGAAGAGTGAATATATGGAACTGATCTATATCAGGATAGAATGTTCTAGAAAGATCTAGAAAGGAGGTGTGGGGGGAGAAACACAGCCACATTCTCTTACTTACATGGAACTCTCACCATCTCTCACTTTCCTTCACTAGCTCTGTTTATTAAGTTGTCTTGGCTGTCACTCACTGGTCTTGTCATTCAAATTCAACAATCATTTACTGACCACCCTGACTGAGGGCCAGAGCACCTCAGCTTCTGCTCCAGCATTCCCACCTACTTCATGCCGTTGGAGTCCACCATCTTTAATGGAGGAGTGATCATAACACACTTCATTCTATCACAGGCGTTAAACAAGTGAATACACTCGAGGTACCCAGGACAGAGGGTGGCTTCTGAAGACTCACTAAGTGCTGGCTATTGTCACATTTCAGGAAATTCCACACACTCTCTCCTTCATCCATGAAGGAGATCAGTGGGGTTTTATGTTTTGTTTGTTGGGTTTTGTGAGGTTTTGGGGTTTTTTTGTTTTGTTTTTGGAGTTTTGTTTTTTAATCCATCAGAAGAGATTGACTGTCATTTATCAGTCTATTGGGAGCTGCCATAATAAAACCACTTAAACATGGCCTGGAGAGATGGCTCAGTGGTTAAGAACACTAGCTGCTCTTCCAGAGGACCTGAGTTGGATTCCCAGCACCCACAAGGCAGCTCGCAACCATCTGTAACTCCTGTTCCCAGTATCCAATGCCCTCTTCTGGTCTCTGTGAGCACTACATGCATGTGCGGTACAGACACATGAAGGCAAAACACCCACACATAAAATAAAAATAAATAAATAACCCTCATGAAAGCAGCACATAAGGTGGGGGCTGAAACGACAGAAATGGATTTTCACAGTTCTGGAGCTGAGCCAGCTCACGGTGTCAGCAGGTCTGCCTTCCTCTGCGGAATCTCTTCTTGCTTGCTGATGGCTGCCCTTGCATTGTCTTCCTTTTGCATTTCCTCTGTTCACCCTTCCTTCTCCCACAGGCTCAGCAGTCATATTGCTCAGAGCCCCACCCTTACGACCTCACTCAACATTCATAGCCTGTGTGAAGGTCCTGCTGACAAATGCAATCTCATAGGTGCCTTAGTATAGGAATGGGTTGGGTAGTTCAGTCACCTGACAGCAGGGGCCACACACACATTAAGCTCTTAAATGACAGGATGGAGGATGCATGTAAACACAACATGACAAGGGACTCAGCTGGTTCATGTTCCAGTCAATCTCTGGGACTTACACTCTCTGAGCGTAGTGGCCAGTGAGTGAAACTCACCTACTTTTTGTGTGTGGTGCTGAAGGTCTAACCAGTGGTCTCACAGGTACTAGGCAAGTGCTGAACCACTGGGTATAACTCAAGACCTTTTTAAATTATTTTTAAATTTTTACCCAAGCACATGTGACTCCAGTATGGCTATTTCTGTTCAGCAAAGACATCTAAGATGCCAACCACTGGTGTAGTTGAGCTTGGCTTCTATTCTGTTTGCTTTAAAATTATTTAGATTAGTTTATTTATTGTTATTATGGAGCAGAGTGTGGAAGATGTGGAGGTCAGAGGACAACTTTATGGAGTTGTTTCTCTCTCCATCCGCCTTTAACTGGGTGCCAGGGATGGGCCTCGGGGCCCCAGGCTTGTACAGCAAGTGCCATTACACACGGATCCATCCCCCTGGTCCTCCATCTGCTTATGTATGTACTCTACAGGTGCGCTGTGTGGGCCAGGTCATCTGTGCCGTGGTTGCAGAGACTGATGTCCAGGCAAAACGAGCAACTGAAAAGATAAAAATCACCTATGAGGATCTGAAACCTGTGATTTTCACCATCCAGGTAAGTAGGGCTGGACTGGTGGCTCAGTGGCTAAAAACACTTGATGCTCTTGCAGAAGACCCAGGTTCTATTCCCAGCAACCAATGCTGGCTCACAACCATTTGTAACTCCAGTTCCAGAGGATCTAACACTGGCTTCTGACTTCTGCAGATATCAAGCATGTGTGTTGTGCATCAACTTATATACAGGCAAACACTCAGGTACATAAAGTAAAAATAAATCTTTAAAAAAAATTACAAAGTCAAAAACATCTTTGCAAATGTCTCAGTATTAGAAGACTAACTCAGAATCTTTTTTTCTCCATTTCGCATCTGCTTGCTCTGGAAAAATCATTTTGCTCTGGAAGATATTACTTGTATGAGATGAAATTATTTTGGCTCCAAGAAACAGGAAAAAAAAGTCAGGATAGAAGTTTCTCTGTCACATTCAAAAGCCTAGAAGTATCCAGGCCCACTGAGGCAGATGTACTGCACCTAAGCAACTTAGTGAGACCCTGACTCAAAACAAAACCTAAAAGAAAGATGGGTGTGTAGCTCAGTGAACTCAGTGGTAAACATTTGCCCACTGACAAAACACAAGAAAAAAAGACTGGACGTTAGCAGCCCAAGGCTTATATGATATGGTAGTCTGTTTATGCCTACTTATACAGTTTATATGGTATGTTTTGTGCTAATATAGCAGAATCCCCAAGACTGGGCAATGTATAATAATAAACAGGAATTTATTTGTCATGATTCTGGTGTCTAAGAAGGTCTAAAACTGAAAGGCTGCATCTATCACTGCATTATTCCAGAAGACAGAAGGGGAAGGGAGTAAGGAACAGAGAGAAATTCACTTTCATAACAAAGCTATTCCACTATGGTTATTACAATAACCCATCCATGAAGGCAGAGTCCCCATGACCTAATCACCCCCACAGGCCCCACCTCTCAAGTCTGCTGACCTGGGAGTTAGGCCGGGACACAAGCCACAGCTTGCGAGCTGTGTGTCAGGAATCCAGATCCTTCTATCCAGTCTCTCTGTAATATATGGTTTCCATTCTGCAGGTCACAGCTTTTTCTAAAATAGCTACTGAAGCTTTAGCCACGAAATCCACATTCCAGACAACAAAAGGAGTAAGAACAGGTACCCCTAACACCTTTAAGAACATTTCCCAGGCATGGCATGAGGGCACATGTCTTTGATCCCAGCACTTGAGCAGCAGACCTAGGCAGATCTGCCTGTGAGTTAGAGATCAACCTGATCTACATAGTAAGTTCCAGGAGAACCAGGTACAACGAGAGACACTGTCTCAAAAAACCTAAAAAGTGAAAATTAAAAAGACCATTTCCTGGTCCCCACAGGGAGGTGTGTCCGTTGCATATGCCTTTTGTAGTTCATTGGCTTAAGTCCAGCATCTGCCACACCTAAGGCCAAGAGAGCTGGGAAGCACAGTTTATTCCAGGTGACTTGTGTATCTACCAAAGACATGGGACCCTGTTACTTGAAGAAAGTGATGAAAGTGAACATTGGGAACAATTATGTGGAGCCTAAATGTAATGAGAATTTCAGGATGGAATTCTATAGAAATTTCTACACTAATTTCTGGTTCTTAGTGACAGGATTCAAGTTATGTTTCTGAAGAAAATAATGGAGTGAGAACATAGAAAATTCAAGTGTGGACTGATGTGTTAATTGTATCATTGCTTTAACAAATACCTGAGATGAACACCGTATAAAGATGACTCACAGCTTGGGAAGTTTCGATTCACGCTGTACCAGGCAATACATTGTAATGGGCACACATGGTGAACAGAAGCACTCACCTCATGGCTGGGCCTGAAAAGGGAGAAAAGGAGAAGAGCAGGTCCCACCATCCACTTTGAGGATGTGTCTCCAACAACCTAAAGTCTTCCGTTTGTCCTCACTTGTGAAGGGCTCCACCATGCTGGGACCAAGCTAGGGAGGAGTGCCAAGCTGGGGACTGAGGCCCTGACTCAGCACAGACCCAAGCTAGAGCAACTTGGACTTGCAGTCTCTAACTTGGTGAGAGCCAGATTCAGGAAATCAGACTGAGGAAAAACAGCTTGTTTCTGGGTTCACAATATACCGTAGTGTGCAAAGGCCTTGGGGGACCGTGGGTACAGTTTTAAGTATGCCTAAGTGGCACCAGTCTTTTGATGTGCAGGGTTAGGAAACCGTGGCTCTTAGGCTTTCTGCACCAAAGCAGCTCTGCTCCAGTTCCCATTTGCCAAGTTTCAGGAATACAGGCTTTCTTGGCCTTTCTATCTAACGTGGGCTTGTTTTTGTTGTCTTTGTTGTTGCTTTATTTCCATTTGAACTCTACTTACCTGGAGGGATAAATGACATGCAGAGGACACATCATGACCTGTCTGAATAGAGATCAAATGTCTAGAGTGAACAAATAACCCTTTTATTACAGAAGGTAGACTACAAAAGCCATATATGCCAATTGTAATTCACCCAACTACACATTAACCTATTTACATGAATATTGATATAAATATGTGTTATATATCTGTGTGTGCTATGTATATGGCATATATCATAAAAATGAATATAAAATGTATTTCATAAGAGAGACAGTAGCATACAGGTACTAGATCCAAACTGACAAATTTGAATTATGGCTGTTCCCCTTTTTACCTGTGTGTTCTTAGGCAAGGACTTACATCTGTGTGCCACAGTTTTCTCACCCATAAAAGGGGAGTAATGACGTGCACCTCATCAAGTCCTCATAAAAGTAAATGAGTTAATGAGTGTAAAACAAGATAATCTCTGCTCACAGTGCTCACTCCATATAGCACATCTCATCAGAAGGTCCAGAGTCTTTTGACACACTAGCATCAAGGCAATAAACCTATTTCTGTGTTTGCCACTGAGACTTGTTGAGGTTGAAGTGTGTGCTGGATGCTTTTATGTCAACTTGACACAAGTTTTGGTCAGTGGAGAGGAGAGAACCTCAACTAAGAAAATTCTTCCACCTGATCTTTCCTGGACAGAAATGGAGGAGGAGCGGATGGGGGATGAGAGCAGAGGGAAGCAGGGGGGAAGGGATTGGGAGGAGAGGAGGAAGGGGAAGCTGTGGTCAGCATGTGGAATGAATAAATAAATAAATAAATTCATTGGAAAAATAAGAAAAGAAAATGCCTCCAAAAAATCAACCTGCAGGCAAGCCTATAGTGCATTCTCTTAATTAGCGATTGATGGGGGAGGGCCCAGCCCACGGTGGGTGGTGCTGTCCCTGGGCTGGTTGGTGGTCCTGGGTTCTATAAGAAAGCAGACTGAGCAAGCCAGGGGGACCAAGCCAGTGAACAGCAGCCCTCCATGGCCTCTGCATCAGCTCCCAATGCCAGGTTCCTTCCCTGTTTGAGTTCCTGTCCTGACTTCCTTAAATGATGAACCATGATGTGGAAGTGTAAGCTGAGTAAACACTTTCCTCCCCAACTTGGTTTTGGTCACAGCCTTTGATCTCAGCAATAGTAACCCTAATTAAGACAAAGTGTTAATTAAGAAAGTAAAAATTGCCAGGCCATAGTGGCACATGCCTTTAACCCCAGCATTGAGGAGGCAGAAGCAGGCAGATCTCTGTGGGTCTGAGGCCAGCCTGATCTACAAAGTGAGTTCCAGGACAGCCAGGACTACACATAGAGAAGCCCTGTCTTGAAAAACTAAAAGAAAAAGTAAAAATCTCGAATGTGGTGTTTATTTTCCATTGTTTTAAGAAGCCGGGCAATTGTCATTGGGAAAGGTGACTTTTTGTTTGCAGAGCTCAGGGCCTTAGGTATGCTGGGCCAGTACACTCTGAGTCACTTTCCCAGCCCTAGGCAAGATGATTCTAGAAACTAAACCTGGGCTTGCACGCAACCTGTCTCACATTTGCAGCCTGGCTTTGAGAGTTATTTTCTCCTCTCTAAGCCCCATTTCTTCATCTTAAAAATAGAGGTAATAATAGAATTAATGCAAAAATATATAGATGCATACATATGCACTGTTATTATGTTGTGTGTGGCATTTGTTTCTGAGGAGATATGAACAGATAACTACTCACCCCAGACAAGTAACCAACGATAACAGACTGAAATAATGATGTCACCGAAGCCCAACTCTGTGCAGCAATGACTTTATAGGGGTTACTTACAGGCACATGAGGGATGACTTACAGGAGCACCAGGAATGACTCAAAGGCAGTTGTGTCACAGAAAGCCCTCCCTAGTATGAGTGATGGCTCTCAAAAGCTGGCCAGTTTTAGGGACTTCCTGAAACCTCTGTGTTGCTTTCTGAGACTTTTTCTTTAATGTGTGTAGGTGTTTTGTCTGAATGTCTGTGCACCACTTGTGTGCCTGGTGCCCAGGGAGCCAAAGTGGCTACGAAATGGAATTGAATGGTGTGAGTCACCACCTAGGTGCTGGAAATGAAACCCAGGTCCCCTGGAAGAGCAGCCAGTATTCTTCACTGCAGAGCCAACTCTCCAGCCACTACTTCTTGGGTCCTTTGTTTGTGTTTTGTTTTGTTTTGTTTTGTTTTGTTTTGAGGCGGGGTATATAAAGCTTTGTAGCTCTGGCTATCCTGGAACTATGTAGACCAGGCTGACCTCAAACTCACAGAGATCCACCTGCCTCTGGCTCTCAAGTGCTGGGATTAAAGGCATGCGTCTCTATGTGCCACTAGCTTCTTGAGTCTTAATGAGCCTAGATTCAGTGTCCCAGGCATCCCTGCAATGTAGCACCTATCAACTCAGAGGAAATTGCCATGTGACAGTTTGTCACAAAACAAACACTCAATAAAAAGTAGCAAAGTAGCTGCTCTCACTGTCACCATACATAAGAAAGGAAGGTTGTGGACTCTAAGGCTTTTGGAGTCCAAGAATCCAAGTGACAGGTGTCATTCTGAAGTGCAGAAGGACATATTGGGTCTGCAGTGTTAGCAAGGATCAGAAGTGGTCGGAAGTCAGTCCACAGAACCAAATAGTAGAATGGCTTCCATGTGGGAATCAGTTCCCACCAATGTCAGCAATCAGATGTGGGAGAAGAAGAGGGGGGGGGGACAAAATCTAGTAAAGCCCTTTGGGAATATGTCAGATACCCACAGGAATGACATTGCAACCTTCCTGCCCTTGTCAAAAGATGAGGACCTGTGTCCTCTCCCTCAACCCAGCCTCAGCCTTCTCAAAACCCTGAGTGAAGAAGAGGCTCGCGCACACAGCTACCTAAGTATCTAACACGCTTTTTCCCTGGGGAGAAGTGAAAAAGGAGGGTTCAGAGCCTCTCCCGAGACCCACGCTAAAAATGAGCAATTAGCATCTGCCATCCTGGACCATCCCGCATTGACTCCAGCCCTCAGTTCTGAACATGGCTTCCTTCTTGGGTTTCCCCAGTCCTTCTGGCCGGTTTTCTCTGCAAATGTAGAAGACATTCCTCTGACAGCTTGGCTGCTCAAGAGCTCTTGAATGCCTGGCACCTTTCATGTGTCCCAGGAGGCAACAATATGGGGAATGTACTAGCAGCCAGTAACAAAACAGGATGATTAGCTTTGTGTCTTTGGCCTTTTACATAGGATGCTATAAAACACAATTCATTCCTGTGCCCTGAAAAGAAACTTGAACAAGGAAACATCGAGGAGGCGTTTGAAAACGTGGATCAGGTGGTTGAAGGTAAAGAGTTCGGGAGAATTCCTAGAGTCATTCCTTGATTCCATTCGGAACCAGCCTTCAAGGGCGTATGATTTCCCCTTGGGAGGCTTAGCCTCTGAAGTCCTGGAACTTCTCCAAATTTACCTTCCTTCTCAAGCCTCTGGGCATCCACGTGCCTATATGTCTATGTTGTGTTTGGAGGTGAGAAGTCAGGAACAGGGTAAGTAGGAGAAAATTTCTAAAATTTGGTTCGTCGAGGGCAAAGAAACAGAAACTAGAACTTTTAACTTTCAGAACTATGATCCCTGAGACAGGCCCCCTCAATCGTCCAAGGTAGAGGTTCCTTACTGGGTGATGCTGCAGGTGGGCAGCTCACATCTCACTTGGTTTAAAATGTCCCATGATGGCAGCTTCCAACCAGCACACACCTCCAGGCATGTTCCTGCGCTTGCCCTTCACAGGAGAGGTCCATGTGGGAGGACAAGAACATTTCTACATGGAAACACAGAGAGTTCTGGTTATTCCAAAGACAGAAGACAAAGAACTGGACATGTATGTGTCCACACAGGATCCAGCCCATGTGCAGGTAAGGTTCAGCAGGACGCCACCATCACCTTCCTACCTCCAGCATGGCGGTCAGCCTCCATAACACAGGTGGCAGCCACTTCACCGAAGGAAACTTAGAATCTAAATGTTGGATATGTGTAATGCAGCTGAGACCCCAGGACCATTTTAATTTTCTTCCTGCTCCTATCAACTATAAAAGAGCAATCCTGATCCCTTTTTCTTTTTTATGTATTTTTCTGCTCTTGGAGAATTTCATGCATATGTACAAACTATTTTGATCATATTCATCCCCCTACTCCTCTCCAACTTACCCCAGACCTCCATCACATCTCCTTCTAAGTCCCTGTTCTCTCTCTCTCTTTTTTAATAACCCATTGAGTCTAATTATGCGTGTGGTTGTGGCTGTGTCCTCTGGAGCATCAGCAACTGGTTGCTACACCCTCAAAGAAAAACGACTTTCCCTCCTCCAGCAATGTTAGCTGGAGGTGGGGGGGGTCTCATGATCCCCTCTCCAGTCTAAGCTGGAATTTGACAGGTAACTCACAGCCACTGTATTCATGACTGCAACAGCTATGTCATGTCCTGAAGACATACTTCTTATTGAAAAAGAAACTCCTGTGTTCCAGGATGTCCTTGAAGTCACTAAGTAGACAAGGTTAGTCTTAAACTTCCAGAACACCCTGCCTCTACATCCTGAGCATTAGAATAACAGACATTCACGATCATACAGGACCTATGCATGGCTGGAGCTCAAACCCAGGTCTTCATGAATCCTAGGCAAGTTACATACCCAGTGTGAGTGTGATTACTTCAAATTAAAACACTAAGTTTATTTCCATCAGGCTTAGTTTAACTCTGTAATTTAATGGCATCACTAAATTTTCCTATGTTCCATTTTATTCTCTAAAATAATCATTACAAATGATTTATAAAGTCAATATATCACTTTGGACCACATCTTATCTTCCAGACAGAAAATGCTCTAAGCTTCACATCACCCCCTTTATTATGGGGTGTGGAGTCTACTGTTTTTCATCTGTTCAAATCCTTTGGCTCAGGCATTTGACTACAAGTGCAGCTTCCAATAAGAACCAAGGATTTTGGTAGTTTTCTTTCTAGTAAATTAAGTATCTGCTCAAAGAGATTTTGGAAGATTAACATTTAAAAATGGCCCAGAGACTGGGAGCAGTGGTGTGCACCTTTAATTCCAGCACTCGAAATGCAGAGGCAGAAGGATCTCTGTGAGTTTGAGACCAGCCTGGTCTACAGAGTGAGTTCCAGGATGCCAGGGATCTCAAAACCCTGAGGAGAAGAAGAGGAGGAGGAGGAGGAGGAGGAGGAGGAGGAGGAGGAGGAGGAGGAGGAGGAGGAGGAGGAGGCAAAAAGAGAGAGAAAAAGAAAGAGAGAAAGAGAGAGGGAGAAAGAAACAGAGAAACAAAGAAATGAGTGGTCTCTGCTGTCTCCGCTCTCTTACACAGTAGGTGTTGAATGGTCTCTGCTGTCTCTGCTCTCTTACACAGTAGGTGTGAGTGGATTTTGCTGCATAGTTGTATTTCAGGAAACAAAACACTTGGCTGTCATTTTCCTCTGTTTAACCCTCATTGTCTCTTGCAGAAAACAGTGTCCTCTACCTTAAACATCCCCAGCAACAAGATCACCTGCCATGTGAAACGAGTGGGCGGAGGCTTTGGAGGAAAGGTGGGACGACCAGCTGTGTTCGGGGCAATTGCTGCAGTGGGGGCTGTCAAGTAAGTCTGCCTAGGAGCCAGCAGTGTGGGAGAGGCTGAGCTCAGAGGAAATTAGTAGCCTGACAAATCAGTTCTGGCTGCAGTCCTAGTCACCTGCTGGTGCCTGGGCAATTCCGGCCTGTCTGTTTCTTTATAATACATAGGTATTTCACACCTGCCCTACTACCCTTTGTGGTTTTGCAAAAGTCAGCTGAACCTATGGTATTGGTTGACTGCTTCCAGAACTGTGGGGCCCATTCCTGAGCTTCAGGGAAGATGAATTGCTTAGATGTGGGGCAGGGTGCCCTTCCTGGGTTCATCATCGTCCCCTAAGTCTTTGCTGCTTCCAGCCCAAAGTAGGGTGGAGTGAAGAAAGAAGGCTCTTCACCCTCCACCACGTGGTCTTTGGAGCGATCTCAAGAAAGACTCACATCTTTGCTATCCATGGCTCAGCATTCAAGTTTAGCTGGCGCTGACAGTGCGGGTCCCCGTTCATTGTCTTTGACTGGATTTGTTGTCAGCGTTGAAGAACCAAGAAGAGAAGGAGCAGGAGAGGAGAGATGGGAGAAGGAGCAGGAGGGGGAGAAAAAGAGAAAAAGGAGCAGGACGGGGGGGAGGGAGGGAAGAAGTAGGAAGAAGAAAGAGGCGATGAAGGAGAGGAAAAGGAGATGCTTACTATTTTGTCTGAGTTCCAATCAGTCTTCAAAGTCCCAATGTCCTGCTTCCTTGGACAGCCTCAGTGTAGCTCAGAGAAAAGTCCTTCGCACTGGGGCCTGTGTCTTCATCCCCAGCATAGGGTGGAGAGGAGCAGGGCTGAAAGCTCACCCCAGCATAGGGTGGAGAGGAGCAGGGCTGAAAGCTCACCCCAGCATAGGGTGGAGAGGAGCAGGGCTGAAAGTTCACCCCAGCATAGGGTGGAGAGGAGCAGGGCTGAAAGCTCACCCCAGCAGAGGGTGGAGAGGAGCAGGGCTGAAAGCTCACCCCAGCATAGGGTGGAGAGGAGCAGGGCTGAAAGCTCACCCCAGCAGAGGGTGGAGAGGAGCAGGGCTGAAAGCTCACCCCAGCAGAGGGTGGAGAGGAGCAAGGCTGAAAGCTCACCCCAGCAGAGGGTGGAGAGGAGCAGGGCTGAAAGCTCACCCCAGCAGAGGGTGGAGAGGAGCAGGGCTGAAAGCTCACCCCAGCATAGGGTGGAGAGGAGCAGGGCTGAAAGCTCACCCCAGCAGAGGGTGGAGAGGAGCAGGGCTGAAAGCTCACCCCAGCAGAGGGTGGAGAGGAGCAAGGCTGAAAGCTCACCCCAGCAGAGGGTGGAGAGGAGCAGGGCTGAAAGCTCACCCCAGCAGAGGGTGGAGAGGAACAGGGCTGAAATCTCACCTCCACTTTTGTCCCGTATCACAGTCAGCAGTTAGCATCTCTTGCACTCACAGCAGACCTTGTGGCTTCTGTGTCTCAAGCGTGGCCACACACAGCAACCAAATGAGCATCTAAGTCCCAATGCCTAGGCTAGCCACTACGAGCCCTGACGTCAGTATATTCCAAACTTGCCCCTTGACCCCACTGTGCACTCATGTCTGGAGGCAGTACCTCAAGATGCATCCTGCCTGATCAAACAGAAGTCATGCAATCAGTGACCTGAATACAGTATCCCAGATCTCCAGAGAGCAGGGGTCCCCAGAGGCCACAGAAAATCCCTGCCTCAAAAAACACATAAGAATTTTAATTTCAATATTTGATGGAAAGAAATTCCACAAAATTCTAGGACTTCTGAATCAGAATTTTCAGGGAAGGAACTGTACATTTAACTGATTTTTTCCTACTGATGTTAGCATTGCATTTACCCATTGACCCCCCTCCCCTTTATAACTAGTAGCAGACATATGCAAAATGGCTGGATTTAGATGAAAGTCTAATTTGAAGCCTTAGGGACAGAGCTTAGCTGACATGTGACATTAATCCCTTCGGACATACCTCCAAACATGAAGTTGCAAGCACAAAGATAATAGTAACTTAGTCAGGTGATAATTCACATCATGCCTAGAAGACTTTGTGCAGATTAATGGAGACATGTGATGGGCACATGGATAGAGAATTAAGTAAGTGGTACAAATGGATGGGAGGGTGGAAAGTGGATTGAAGATGGGACAGATCCACGCAATGAATACTGGGAAAGGGGGAGTCTATGATATTTATTTAGAGAGAGCAATCACTTACACAAAAATAGGTGTCAGCGCTCTATGGTCTCCGAACTGCAGTCAGGATCCAAGAGAGCAAGAGCGCCCACCTGTTCCTTCTTTTTTTTCCCCCATATATTTTTTATTTAATTTTTTACACGTGTCATTTTCAGTTCCCTCTCCCTCCCCTCTTCCCCCACCTCCCCAATCCTTCCAACCCACACCCCCACTCCACCCCCCCTCCACTCCCCAGAGAGGGCAAGGGCCTCCATGAGGGATTTTCAGGGTCTGTCACATCATCCCGGGAAGGGCCCAGGTTCTTCCTCATGTGTCCAGGCTGAGAGAGCATCCCTCCATGTGGCGTGGGGTCCCAGAGTCCTTCTGTATGCCAGGAATAAATACTGCTCCAGTCTCCCAGGTCCCACAGATTGCTAAGGCCTGATTCTCCCACGTACCCGTGACAGGTACATGATCTCTCCCTACAGCAGATGAATGGCTTTTACATCTTACAAATAGATGTGGGTAGATAGTAAAATAAGGATTTAGATACACAGATGGATAGACGGGTAGCTGGAAATTCAGATGAGTGGAAAGACAGGTGGGAAGGATGAATGGAGAATCTAACATTTGGTTTCTGCAGAACTGGCCGTCCCGTCCGTCTTGTTCTGGATCGAGAAGATGATATGTTAATAACTGGGGGAAGGCATCCATTATTTGGAAAATATAAAGTGAGTACTACATGTAAAATTATTAAAGTACCTCATTTTGTTTGTGTGGCTTTGTCCTTTTCTGTCATTTTTATTTTGCTGAATTCTAAAAGTAATCAGCATCTAAAATATCTGAAGATGGTCCTATTTTGGATACCCATGACATTTTATGATGAGCTTTTAATTTAGTGTATAATTGTAAAAAATGATGAAAATAAAAATTTGAATAATAGCTAAAAGACACTGTTTGAGGAGCTGGGACTAAGGCTCAGTAGATAAAGCACACAAGCCTGAGGACTAGAGATGCGATCCAAACCCACATAAAAGCTGATGGGGGAGACTGCCTGCCTGCCTGTAGCCCCAGTATCCAAGAGGAGGAGACAGGGCATCCCTGAAGCAAGCTAGATAGATAGATTAGCCAAATCTGTGAGGTTCCAGTTTGCCAAGAAGCCCTGCCTCAACAAATAAGTTGAAGTACAGTCAAGAATGATATCTAAGCAGGGCGGCACAGGCCTAATCCCAGCACTCTGGAGTCAGAGGCAGGAGGATCTCTGTGAGTTTGAGGTCAGCCTGGTCTACAAAGTGAGCTCCAGGATAGGCTCCGAAGCTGCAGATAAACCCTGTCTCAAAAAATCAGAGAGAGTGGCAATCTATGGAGCCTCTGGTAGTGGATCAGTATTTAACCCTGGCGTATGAATGGACTTTGGGAGACTATTCCACATGGAGGGATGCTCTCTCAGCCTGGACACATGGGGGAGTGCTAGGTCCTGCTCCAAATGATATGACAGACTTTGAAGATCACCCATGGAAGGACTTACCCTCCCTGGGAAGCAGAAAGGGGATGGGATAGGGGGCTAGTGGGGGGCAGGGGAGGAGGGGAGGGAGTGGGAAGTGGGATTGACATGTAAAACAAGATAGATTCTAATTTAAATTAAAAAATAGAAAAAAAACAGAGAGAGAGATCTGACATTATGCTGGAGATCTGACATTATCCTTTGGCTCCACACGTGTACACTCACACATGTGTGCACACATACATGGTTTTTAAAAAAAGCACTGTTACATGGAATAAGGATTTATATTTTTAGTGATTCCTTGAAGACAAAAAAGAAAAAGAAAAGAAAGATGCTCAAATCCCTGACTATAAGAATAACTCTTTGTAGAAGAAATGTTTAGAAACAATTTGACCATTTTCACTGCAAAATAATCTTTAACAGAAATCCACTAACAGGCAAATTTAAATCCTTCAAATCACACTCACTTCATTTTCCCTCAACTTCAGTAGCAACCCTTTTAAAAATGTTTGCTGGCATCTAATAGATGATACTATTTTTCAGATTTGTGGTTTAGTCTTTAGGACAGTTCTGTTGTGATACAAAGTTACAAAACAGCTTTCTTTGAGAATTGCTTAAGGTATACAAGCCTAATTTCTCACCTGGTTGTACCATTGCCTTTGATTACTACATAATTCTATTGCCTACATTGCTACTTACAAGGCATGTTGGCCACCCAGTAAGATGAGTCCATCTCATAAATTCTCCGACCTCTGTGCCCAAAGCTTTCCCGTAACAAGAGATATTATGATTCATCTCCATGTGTTCTGGGATCCCAAAGACTTTCCCACGAGGAGAAAAACCACAGACTAAATTAGAAAGAACGCCGTACAGAAGGGCAGAGAATCTGCCGAGAATAAGGACGATGAGCACGGCAATTACGTTCTGGGAGACAAGCAAGAACTTGAGGATTCCGTGCTGAGTGTGGAGCCAGGATTACCCATTGAAAGGAAAGGACTCAGGAAAACTTGGGTCAAGAAAGGTCTTCTTCAACCAGACACTGAAAGACAAGGCCACAGAGGTCGGAGTGCCACACAAGAGCAAACTGGAGGCAACGTCTGTCCTTGATCTGCTTCAACAGGAGACTGAGGGGCGATGCACACTTGGGAGGCACATTTTAAACAGATCAGTAAAGTGTCCATCATTTTGTGACAGGTAGGATTCATGAACAATGGACGAATCAAAGCCCTAGACATTGAGTGCTACATCAATGGAGGATGCACACTAGATGACTCGGAGCTGGTAAGTGCGTCTGAAACCAACTGTGCTCTTGATAGTGGGTAAGATGGAAACTGTCTAGATGAGTCTTGATGAAAAGGTGGTGTCTAATGTATGTGGGTGTCTCCCTTTGCTTTAGGTAACAGAATTTCTTGTTCTAAAGCTGGAAAATGCATATAAAATCCGCAACCTCAGATTCCGAGGTCGGGCATGCATGACAAATTTACCATCCAATACAGCCTTTCGTGGGTTTGGCTTCCCACAGGGAACTCTGGTAACAGAATCTTGTATCACAGCTGTGGCAGCCAAATGTGGGCTTCCACCAGAAAAGGTAAGATTATAACCGGGATCATAACCAAGGGTGATAAGGAGCCAGAGAGGGAGGAACTAGCTAGTGGTCCCAGGAAACACTAGAGAAACTGCACAAACTAACCCTGGCTCAGAATTTGAGGTGAGAGCTTCATTTTTTTCATGTCTGTGATGTGGACCTAACATCATTTATTTAGCCACTCCACTATTGACACACAGTCAGGTTGTTTGTTACCAGTTTAAGCTGTTAGAATGGTGCTGGAGAGAAGGCACAGCGGTTAAGAGACACACTGCTCTTCCAGAGGACCAGAATTCAGCTCCCAGCACCCACATCAGTGGTTCACAAGGACCTGCAACCCAGCTCCAGGGGATCTTGTGCCCTCTTCTGGCCTCTCACGGCACTATACTCACACGCACAAACCCACACATGAATACATAATTTTAAAATAAAACCTTAAAATGAACTTGCAATGACTACCCCGATACATATATGCTAGGGGAACAGACTGTCTTTGTCCTTTTGTCTGAGTCTGTCTATTGAGCAAACTCACAGAAAAGGAATTGCTGGTGCACTTGAAAACTTCTTTGAGATGCTGTCCAAATTTTACCATTTGAAAACATCATCCCATCCAATACACCAGAAGGCCGGTGGAGTATAACGGAACTGGAGCAGAGACAGGCGGACTCTAGCACTGACTGATGAAGATGCCATCCACTCCTTGATATTTCAGCCACACCCCAGTCCTCTCCCCATTTCTACCCTGTTTCCTCAATCCAGACCCTCTGCTCCAGCAAGAACTCTATGTGCTGTCTCTTGAACACCTTTGTCCCTAAATTCAGTGGGGACCTCCAGGTTTCCATCTCACTGGCAGAGTGTTGCTTTCACACCAGAGAACACCAATACTATACCAGAAAAATAATAGATTCTCAACAAGAAGTCATAAAAGGTGCCCATGGTCAGGCAGTGGTGGCACACGCCTCTAATCCCAGGACTTGGGAGCCAGAGGCAGGCGGATCTCTATGAGTTTGAGACCAGCCTGATCTACAGAGGACAGCCAAGGTTACACAGAGAAACCATGCCTGTGCACATGGATACAAAAGAGGAAGACATTACATCAGGATGAGGAGGAGGATTCTAAAAAAAACCCTGGAGATGACACTTGAGGTTCACCTTGAAGGCAAATGGAAAAGTAATCTAAGAAAATGGAACAGCATGAACAAAAGAATGGACCCCCTTGTGTCCTCGATCCCTTGGCTGTGAAATAAGAACAAGATGATTTACTTCATAGAGTTTCTGAGGACAAAATAATTTTTTTATTGAAACGCTCATCTTTGTAGGACTGGGAATGTAGCTCTGTGATAGACAGTTCACACAACATGCACAAAGTCCTGGGTTCCAGTCTCAGAACCACACATAAAATTTTTTTGGAATGGGCATTGTCTTAACCAAGTGTTGTTACTGGCAAAAATACAGTCATTCTTTTCCTTCTACTAGAACAAATTGGAGATAATGAAAACCTCCCAGGCATTTCCAGCAGGCTGTCTTTCTCTGGTGCTGAAAATTCCCAGGATATGAAGCAGATCCTATTCAAAAATAATTTTTAAAAGATTTAACCATGTATTCCAAAATACTTGAAGACATGCTAGCAGTCTGTTCTGCGATTTCTTTCCAGCAGAACAGTCTTCATCTATGATGGTAGAGCTTGTCACTTAAGATAATAGAACCTGTCACCTATGATGATAGAGCCTGTCACTTATGATGATAGAGCCTGCCACTGAAGATGGTAGAGCCTGTCACCTATGATGGTAGAGCCTGGTTTTAATTCACTCTCTATCAACTCTGCTCCATCCTCTGAATCCTGAAGTTTGAAGAGAAAATGGTGGACCAGTAAGATGGCTCAGTGGGTAAAGGTGATTGCTGCCAAGTTTGACAACCTGAGTTTTATCTCTGAGAACCAAATTGTAGAAAGAGAGAACCGACTGCCATGGATTGTTCTCTGACTTCCACATCTATGCCATGGCATGTACACACACAGACACAAACACACACAGAGACACACTTAGGGGTATCAGGAGACACAGGATGGACAAACAGACAGACAGACAACCCAACCTCCCCAGTCCTTCCATCACATTGCCTTTTAGACTAGTCACTATCAACTGCACTCCGCTTCAGAGTGAGAGAGAGACCCTGGTTGGTACATTAATGTGGAGATGAAAAATAGCCCCACCGTTCACACAGTCGCACATGCCATTGGGAAACAATGAGGGGATCTGTCCTCCCCACCAAAGTGCATGTGTGCTTCAGAGGAATGCCTTCTGAACACCCCCCCCCCCGAGGGCAGTCTGTCTCACCACAGGCATTGATGAAATTTCACACTTGTTTCAGGTTAGGGAGAAAAACATGTACAAAACAGTTGATAAAACCATCTACAAACAAGCTTTCAGCCCGGAACCCCTGATAAGGTGCTGGACTGAGTGTCTGGACAAGTCTTCCTTTCACATCAGAAGGACACAAGTGCAAGAGTTCAATCGGAGAAACTACTGGAAGAAGAGGGGCATTGCTATAATCCCCATGAAGTTTTCAGTTGGCTTTGCTGCTACAAGTTATCACCAGGTAAAGTTCATACACGGCCCACGGCAAATGACCCTGGTGTCTGACACAATCAGGGTCCAATGGTGTGTGCTGGTGTTCAGAGAATGCCACATTTCCCAGAGCACCAGGCCCCTCCTGAGTACACATAGGAGAAATGTCCAGAAATCTCCTGAGTGGCTATGTGTGGCAGTAGGGGGAAGGTCACCAAGAAATTTTGGTGACAAGCATGATGGGGACAGCAGCATGACTGCTGGGACCTGGTACTAGCCCCAGATTCCATGCTATTCAAAAGGAATAGGAGCCCACGGCACCGTTGTGTTTTCTGCTGAGGAGGGGGTGTTCCACATGCAGGAATCCTTGGGATACATGCCAAATCTCAGGCAGAGAACTCATTCCACTGGTCTCTGACAGCCGCCTCCCCAGGAATCTGTTGGTTTTGATGGGGAAGAGAGAGTGGGGTCCAGAATTGTCCTGGGTATAACGACAAGAGGAAGAGGCAAGTCATCCACAGGTGGATGCGAGGTAGAAAACCTAGCAATTGGGAGAGACTTTGAGTGTTGAGTATTTCGTGTGCATACCATCAAAAGCATTCCTCCATTCCTACCCACTACTGACAACAAGCTACACAACACACACACACACACACACACACACACACACACACACACACCTGCCCTGTGAAAGGGAGCCCCTCCTAGGATATAAAAGCAGCAGTTGATCCAAATCAGTCAACGGAAGTCAGGAGACCCAGAGATACCCTTGGCCCACCATTTGCTAGGTGTGTGACATTAAAGTTGTTCAGCCTTTCTGAACAACTTTAGCTCCCTCAGTTGTAAAGTGAGACTCAGAGTGTCACCATCTTAGGACTCATAAGGACTGGCTGAGAAAATTAATATAGAGCACTTGGCAAGATTCCTGGAATATTCTGGGAGTCAACCAGGGCAGTGCTAAGCCCGTCCCAGGAAAGCCCAGACACACCTCTTGTGGCTCTTGCTTCCCTGACAGGTAAGATAAAGTGGCCTAGACTTCTGGGTCATATGCCTGCCTGGCTCCAGTGTGACCATTCCATAAACAGGTACAAGGTTAGTTGTCACATCCACCATCTGGGTTGAATCAATGGCAGAAACACAATAGACCCTCATTAGCCACCAATGTGGTTTTTATCTACCACCAAATATTGTATGTTTACCAGACTAACTTGAACAACAGCTGGGTGACTAACAGACAGATTCAGCAACTGCACTAACTACCCAGAGCTAGCATAGACCCTACAAGTCAAGGATGAAGTCCCACAGACTACACTCATTTCTGATCCCACCTGTAAATGGTGTGCACAGGCTATTCCCACTTTGCCTAAAAGACCACTAAGCTGACAGTTCTTCTTATCCCCAGTTAGGTGCAATGGTTTTCTAGAACAACTCACATGAAAGCCTTTTTTCATTTTATTATTATCACCCCTTATGTAAGTGACACAGGTCAGAACCAGCCAAAGGAAGAGATGCCCAGGACAAGATGCTAGGGAGGGACAAAGCTTGTCTTGTGGGTGTTCACCCCCAGGGAAGAGCACAGAACTCAGGAAAGTGAGGAGGGACTGAAAAACCCCCTCACCACCACCACCACTGACTTACATACCTGCACACAGGCTGACCCCTCTCCCTAAACCTACCTGGGCACCTCCTCATTAGCAATGGATGGCACTTTTCAAAATTTAAGAAGTACCATGCCAAGAACCAGAGACAAAACTAAGCATCTAGTTTCTCAAAATGACACTACACCTCCTCTTGTCATCAATATGGCCACTTCTCACCTAAACCACAGCCCCTCTGCCCCTGGGTGTTGGTTTCTTACCTTGCCACACTCGAAGTAAGCCAGGTGATGACTTTTGGTCTGCATCTGAAAGGCCTCCAGCTTCCCCGCAGGGCCATAAACTCAGGCACCCAAGAACCACTTGGCTAAGCATAGGAGATGTCATTCCAGGTCAGCCAATGACTCACAAGGCTGGAACACCTCCTCACCAAGCAGGCCACAGGCTACAGTGAATAAATACTGTCATTAGCACCATGCACCTCTAAGTTTCCCACCCTCCACTCCCCCCACCCCCACCCTAACCCTAAGTCATCCTGGAGCCTCCAGGCATCTCCAGGGGTAACACCACTTGTCCATTCTATATAGCCACTGTAACTCCAACCTGCTCAAAGTTCTCTCTGGCACACAAAGTCGCACAAGACCACTTGCCCTGCGTGGAGACACTCAGAGCAGAGCTTGCCATGTCCCCAGGGGTGTCCTGTGGAGGCTACAGCAAACCATCACATGCTGGGCAGCTCAAAACCAAATGTATTCCCTCACAGCTCTAGAAGTTGGGATTTCAAACTGAGGGTGTCAGCAGAGCCGCTGTCCCTCCAGGGAGGAATCCTTCCTTGGCTCTTCTAGCCTCTGCTGGCTCCTAACCATTCTTGGCTTATGGCAGTATAACTCCACTGGCTGCTTCCAGCTTCCCAGCCATTGTCCCTGATGCTACCCCAGAGTCTTCTGATAAGGACGCCAGACATTTAATTTAGGGTCCACTTCTACTAGTCTAGTCATCTTAAATAAATGTATCTGCTAAAACTATTTCTAATAAAGGGCACATTATGAGGTTCCGGGTGGACACAAATCCGAGAGAACCACTCTTCCACCCAGGACTTGAAAGAGGAAGTATGGAGGAGGTCCGATAGGGTCAGATGTTGCAGGGAGTCTTAAGAGAATAAAAATGGGGGGGGGGGCCTAAATGTTGGACAGATGGAGACCAGGCTGAGCCAGTCAGGAAGCGAGGACAACAAAGAAGGAGTCAGGGTCCAAGAGGAGTGGAAGTGAGATGGGACCCGGGGACAAGACAAGAAGAGACGGGAATGCCATGGGGGGGTGGGATGAGAGACCAGATCCTAAAGGACCACTGTGACAAGGAGAGGAGCTTTCAGTTCCAGGCAATAGGGAGATTCGCTCAACCCACTCACTTCTGTCTCCTGACTCCATCTACTGTCACTTCAGGGGACCCTGAGCAGCACAAGGAGATTTGGGTCTGACAGACAGCCCAGCTCTCATAGAACCCAGAATCCACACCCTTATGCCCACGATGGCTGAATTTCAGCCTGTGTCCCCACCACCTTGTGACTTGCCTGAAGCAGAACTGTATGCTCATACCTATGTGTCACTTTGTTCGTGCTTATATGTCTAGATGGAGCTCAGGGAAGGAAAATAATTGATTCAGTAGCTTCACAATCAACCCTCAGTTTAAGGCAAGGGGCTGACTTTCAAATAGTTGACACCAGATGGGAGTGGTGCCATATGCCTTTAATCCTAGCACTTGGGATACTGAAGTAGGTGGATCTCTGAGAGTTCAAGGCCAGCCTCGTCTATATAAGGAGTTCTAGGCCAGTAAAGGCTACATAGTAAGAGTTTTTCAAAAAGAAAGAAAGGAGACAGAAAGGAATGAAGAAGGAAGGGAGGGAGGAAAGAAGGAAGGGAGGGAGGGAGGGAGGGAGGAAGGATGGATGGATGGATGGATGGATGGATTCAGGTTCCTAAGTAGTAAAGTTCTTTACAGTCAACTTTTGCACAGAGTAGAGCCAAGTCCAAGGTCCTACCAGGAAACGTAGCATCTGTGATCTCCCTGCTCTGGGAGATTGAGATTTCATTACCTCATTTCTCTTTCTAAATTTAAAAAAAAATTATGAGTGTTTTGCCTGCATGTATATCTTTGCACCATATTCATGCATTGCCCGTTAAAGCCAAAAGAAGAGGTTGCATCTTCTGGAACTGAAGCTATATAGACAGTTGTAAGCTGCCATATGGGTGCTGGGAATTGAACTCCAGTCCTCCGGAAGATAAGCCAGTGCTCTTAACCACTAAGCCATCTCTCCAGCCCCTGCCCCCTGCCCGCATCTCTCATACTGAACTTCCCTAATTGCCAACACACACTTCTGGGTTACCTTATAGGCAGCTGCACTCGTTCATATCTACACCGATGGGTCTGTGTTGGTTGCACATGGAGGCAATGAACTGGGACAAGGTATTCACACCAAAATGTTACAGGTAAGATAAATACAATCGGCCATTCATCTTTCTACACATTGGTGACATGACTGAAACTTGGAGTATTCTTTTTTCCCCCAAGACAGGGTTTCTCTGTATTGTTTTAGTGGCTGTTCTGGAACTCACTTTGTAGACCAGGCTGGCCTCGAACTCACAGAGATCCGCCTGCCTCTGCCTCCCGAGTGCTGGGATTAAAGGCATGTGCCACCACAAATGATGGTTGTACATTCAAACTTAAAGACTTTTGACTGGTTGAAAAGCTTCTTGCATATAAACTACAGTAAACAATGTACAGAAATCCCGTGCATATACAAATGTTCCTGCAACTTGGCCAGGGGTGAGAGGTGAAAGGGATTATTAGTAAAAGCCATCAGTCATGAGCCTGCAGAACATGATAATAGATGCCCCCCACGCCCACACATGCTAACACACTATTGGAGAGGGCAAATGATTCATTGACTATCAGCAACCTGTAACTTTTTCTCTTCCTTCCCTCCTTCCTTCTCCCTTCCTTCCTTCTTCCTTCCCCCCTCCTTCCTTCCTTCTTTCTTCCCTCCCTCCTTCCTTCCTTTCTTTTTTTCTGTGTGCAAGCAGGGCAAGTGCTTTAACACTAAGCAATAATCCCATCTCCTTTTCATTAAAAAAATGATTCATGCCTAGTTGATTCATGTGGTTGCACACATCTTTAATCCTAGCACTCTGGACATAGAGGCAGTCAGATCTCTGTGAGTTCGAGGCCAGCCTGGTCTACAGAGCATGATGCAGGACAGCCAGGGCTACACAGAGAAACCTTGTCTCAGAATAAACAAAAAGATTCATTTGTATATGTTTTACATCCTCCTCCTGCATGTGCATGTGCATCCTCATGTGTGTGTCTGTGCATCCTCTCCATGCATGTGCATGTGCATCCTCCTCATGCACATGCACGTGCATCCTCCTCCTGCATGTGCATGTGCATCCTCATGCATGTGCACATGCATCCTCCCCATGCGTATGCATGTGCATCCTCATGCATGTGCACGTGCATCCTCCTCCTGCATGTGCATATGCATCCTCCTCATGCATGTGTCTGTACATCCTCCTCATGCATGTGAATCCTCCTTATGCATGTGCATCCTCCCCATGCGTGTACATGTGCATCCTCCTCCTGCGTGTGCATGTTCATCCTCATGCATGTGCATGTGCATCCTCCCCATGCGTGTGCATGAGCACTGACAGGATGTGACATGTATGGAGGGCAGAGGACAGTTTGGGGAAGTCAGCGCTCTCCTTCCACTGTGTGGGTTCTGGATATCAAGCTCAGGTTTGGTGACAAGGACCTTTATCTGCTGAGCCATCTAAGCAGGCCTGACATAATTTTAAAGATATGGGATCTCAGAAGAAAAGTCTGGTCCTTTCAGTTGAATACATTGAACATTACGATGGACTTCAGATGTTACAGTACGTGTCTGTAACTTTCACCACCTGGACCCTCAGCTCCTCTAGAATATGCCTTCCACATTACACACGTTCCAAACGACTCCTCAGTTCAGGCACAATCAGCTCTACCCCAGTCCTCCTCACACTCCTGCCACAGACAGGTAGGAAGGAGGGAGGAAGGGAGGGAGGGAGGGAGGGAGGGAGGAAGGAAGGAAGGAAGGAAGGAAGGAAGGAAGGAAGGAAGGAAGGAAGGAAGGAAGGAAGAAATCACAATGCTTGGCAAGATGGCTCAGCGGATCAAGGTACTTGCCACCAAGTGTAACCCTAGAGTTCACTCCCCAGGATCCATGCGGTGGAGAGAAGTGACTCCTGAAAGTTGTCCTCTGACATCCCCATGGATGCCATGGCGCATACGTACACACAGTCATACAAACTATCTTAAAATGTAATAAAAAGTGTCTGTGAAATTGATGTTTTTAATGTGACTACATGGCTTAAGTTTTCTTAGAAACCGGTGTTGGATTTGAAATATGTCCTTTCTCCCAGGTGGCCAGCCGTGAATTAAAAGTGCCCATGTCTCACATGCATATCTGTGAAACAAGCACAGCTACCGTGCCCAATACGATCGCTACGGCAGCGTCCATCGGCGCAGATGTCAACGGCAGAGCCGTGCAGGTGACTGTGGCTGTCTCCTTCCCTGGGGAACTTAACTACATCTCTGGTTTTCTTATCTGTACACGGGCACAGCGGTTGGCTTCAGGAAAGTGATCCGTCACTGAATTAGTTTTCTATTGCTGTGGCTTATGATTCCAGAGAAATAAGAGTCTGTCACTGTCACCGGAAAGTCACATGGCAGTAGGCAGGCATGGTAACTGGAGCAGCAGCTGAGTGCTCACATCTTAAACCTCAAGCAGGAAGCCGAGAGTGAACTGGGAATGGAGGGAGTCTTTGAACTCTCAAAGCCCACCCCCCAGTGACATATTTCCTCCAGCAAGGCCACATTACTAAGCCTCCCCAGTCTGCAGCAACTGGAGACCACATATTCAAGTACCAGAGACAATGGGGAATATTTATCATTCAAATCACCACAGTTACTAATGAAAGCTTAGACAACCAAACTATTGGGAGCAAATATTAATTAAAGTGGGGCAATACATAGACCCAGATATAATGGCTCAGACACAGAAGTCCCTTTCATGCACATGTTTGGGTCCAGAGGGAACCTTGGATCAGTGAGGCATCCAGACTGATGGTGGTGCCACCACCTTCAGTGTGTGGCTTTCAAGGTAGCACTGAGCTTCACCATTTCAGTCATATAAAGTCATGCGTGAGGAAGACCCCTGGCTAAATCTGGACGTGATGCTAATTGCTTATGCTCACCACCCATTAGGAGACACAGTCTCTGGTCATGTCTGCATGCAAGGGAAGTTAGTGAACATGGAAGACAGGGACGGTATATGCCCAGCTATTGTGGAAGGAAGGGAGACTGCATTTTGGGGGACAGAAATTCTGCTTCTGGAAGGCACAGAAAAAGCTTTAAGACCCAACAGTGTGGAACCGTGCCTGTTTCCCTGGCATGGCGAGTTCCTACAGGCAGATCAGCTGAGCCCAGCCCAGCCCAGCAGACATGATGATTACAGCGTTACCACCCCATGTCCCCACCAGAGCACTCAGAGCAACCCCCTCTTAGAATTATTTTAATTAGCGTACAAACTAATGAGTTTCATTGTGACTGTTGTTATTAATTCAACTGATTTAGTTCCTTTTTTTGCTCTGTTGTGCATTTGTTATTATTTTAGTTATTAATATTAATATTAATATTATTTAGTTATTTTAGTTATTAATTTAGTTAATTTGTTATTATTATAGTTTGCTACTATTCATACTATTCATATGTTTATGGATGCTTTGCCTGCATGAGTATCTTTCAACCACATGTGTGCTTGACACCCGTGGAAGGCAGAGCAGGGTATCAGATCCTCTGGAACTGGAGCTACAGAACTGTGAGCTGTCATGTGGGTGCTGGGAATCAAACTCAGGTCCTCTGGACAAACAGCCAGTGCTTTTAACTGCGAGCCATTTCTGCAGCACCCAGATGTTTTTGAGACAGTGTCTCGCTGTATAGTTCAGGCTGGCATGGAACACATTATGCAGCCCCAAAAGACCTCCGACTCATGGCAGTCACCTATGAGATCACAGATATGCACTGCCACACCTACATGTATGTTCTTTTGAATTAATAGTCGCTGAATTTGTTGTGATTCTGACAAAGGCCTTTTCTGTTGGGCATTGTGGGTATGTGTATTCCTGTAGACCACTATGAGGATACCACAAAACCTACCTTCGAATCAGTCTTATCCATGTGAGAACACTGGGGGCAGTGGGGAGGGGACAAAGCTAGTCGGGTTTCCTCTGGGAAAAAATTCATGAGTTTATATTTGGGGTAGGCGGTAACACAAGAGGGGAGCAGGTCAGGCAGTGTGGAGTTGCCAGCCTACCTAAGGGCTAGAACATCTAGTTTTAGGATCAGAACTGTGGGTTCTCAGTTCTGTTGTTTGGTTTGGTTTGGGTTTTTGGGGTTTTTGTTTGTTTGTTTGTTTGTTTTTGCTGTTGTTGTTTTTTATTTTTCAGGACAGGTCTTCTCTGTAGCTCTGGCCATCCTGGACCAGACTTATAGGTGGAGTTTCTGTTCTGCCTGGTCTTGCTGCCATTTAGTCCCAAATAAACATACAGAGGCTATATTAATTATAAACTGTTTAGCCAATGGCTCAGGCTTCCTATTGGCTAGTTCTGTCTTAATTATTAATTCATTTCTATTAATCTAAGTATTTCCATGTAGCCTGGCTTACCAGAGAATGCCAGCATCATCCTATCCTGGTAACTACATGCTCTCTCTCTCTCTCTCTCTCTCTCTCTCTCTCTCTCTCTCTCTCAGCTCCCTCTTTGTGTCCTTCTTCCCAGCATTCCTAATCTGTTAGCCCCATCTATACTGGTGCCCCACCTGGTATAGTTTTGCTTTATTTTTCAGGTTTTCCTGAGATGCAGGGTTTCTCTTAGTAGCCCTGGATGTCTTGGAATCACTCTGTAGACCAGGTTGGTCTCGAACTCACAGAGATCCACTTGCCTCTGCTTCCTGAGTGCTGGGATATTAAAGGCATGCACCACTATTACCCAGCTTTTTAGTTCTGCATTTTAAGATTTACATTTTATTTTATGTACATGGGTGTTTTGCCTGCATGTGTATCTTAAAATAGATTTTCTTATTTCAAACCCAAAGCCGGGGCCTTTAAATAATGGCTTCATAATAGACACAGGAAGTTAGATGGACATAAAGTTGAACGTTTCAGACCCAGAGGGAGCGTGGCCTGTCATTGTAACAAACACAAATTTGAATGAAAATATGATGTTTATTCCTTTTTTGTTTGTTTGTTTGTTTTGGTTTTCAAGACAGGGTTTCTCTGTACCTTTGGAGCCTGTCCTGGAGCTCACTCTGTTAACCAGACTGGCCTGGAACTCACGGAGATCTGCCTGCCTCTGCCTCCTGAGTACTGGGACTAAAGGCATGCACCCCCACTGCCTGGCTATTCCAATTATTTCAAAAACTGAAAAATACAAATAAAGATCAAAGATGTAGTTAAAGAAAAGAGAAAAGTAAAACCTTGGCATTTATGAAAAGGGATCTGAGAGTAGAAATTTGGGATGTTTTCATAGGAAGCGAAGCAAAAGGGGGGAGGGCAAGTCCTGTAACTGATGCTAACCTCAAGGACCTGGACCGTGTATATTTTATTCCCAAAGTGTGAGGCGCAGGTGCTCTGTGAGCACTGCTGACCTGTGCTCGCCGAAGATCCTTTGCCAGAGTGCTCATCACTATGTTCCATTCTTTGTCTCTTCAAGAATGCCTGTGAGATCCTTCTGAAACGTCTTGAGCCTGTCATTAAGAAAAATCCAGAAGGCACATGGAGAGACTGGGTAAGTGTTCCTCCTTAGAAATCTGTAACTATGTGTGAGATAGCAATCCAAACCAGTACTGAGTGTCACACCACACAGAAACAGTCTCTCTAGAGCACTGGTTCTCAACCTTCCTGATGCTGCGACCCTTTAATACAGCTCCTCATGGTGTGGAACCCCCAACTATAAAATTACTTCGTTGCTACTTCGTAACTATAATTTTGCTACTGTTATGAATCATAATATAAATATCTGTGTTTTCTGATGGTCTTAGATGACCCCTGTGAAAGGGTCATTCAACCCCCAAAGGGGTTGTGACCCACAGGTTAGGAACCACTGCTGTCCATAACTTTGGAATGCCCTCCAAGTAAGTGGTTTCTGTTAAGGCTGAGACAGCTGTTTCAGATGTGTGGAGAGCTCTTGTGTGGACTGCATACAGGAAAAGACAGTCACCTGAAAGAGAAAATTGTGTGAATGAGGAACATCTAGAAGCATCCTTCCACTCCGCTTGTGGAGGGAGGAAGAGGAAAGAAGCCTCCGTAAGCCACACAAAAACACCGATGCTCTGAGTAGGAAAGAGAACTAAATATATCTCAAAAGAAATGACTATTTAAGCCGAGAAGTGGTGGTGCACACCTTTAATCCCAGCACTTGGGAGGCAGAGGCAGGCAGATCTCTGTGAGTTCAAAGCCAGCCTGGTCTACAAAGTGAGTTCCAGGATAGTCATGGCTGTTACACAGAGAAGTCCTGTCTCAAAAAACCAAAATAATAATAATAATAATAATAATAATAATAATAATAATAATAATAATAAATAAATGACTCATTTAATCCAACTTCACAATACCCTACACCTTTTCATTAGAATAATTATCACACACACACCTTATATTGTTTACACTTAAAGATTAACTCCAAATAACTTTTTTAAAAAATATTTATTTATGTTTTGCCAGACATGGTGGTGTATACCTTTAATCCCAACACTTGGAATACAGAAGAAGGCAGATCTCTGAGTTCAAAGCCAGCATGGTCTACAAAGTGAATCCCAGGACAGTCAGGGCTACACAGAGAAACCCTGTCTCAAGACAGAGAGGGTGTATGAGAAACAATTAAAAAGATTTATTTATTTTATTTTGTTTGTGTGCTTGCCTGTACATTTATACTATTTGTATATGCAGTACATTTGGAGACCAGAAGAGGGTGTCAGATCCCCTGGAACTCAAGTTACAGACAGTTGTGAGCCTCCGTGTGGGTGCTGGGAACTGAAGCAGGGCTCTCTACAAGAGCAGCCAGTGCTTCTAACTGCCTCTCCAGCCACCCTTCCAAGTAACTTCTGAGCTTATTCCCTATACCATGGATAGATCATAGGATTTTAATTTGCATCATTCACTTCAGGCTTTCAAACTCAACCAGAGGAAATTGTCATATTCCAGCTGAGAAAAAAAGCTACGATGGGGTCTGTTAGAACAGAGCATCTGCATCAGGAAGCACATGTCAATTTTTACATATGAATATGCTCACTTTAACCTAACAAGTGGTATAGCTATTTATTCTCCTTAAATGTGCCCATTCCACAGATAGAAACAGCATTTGAACAAAGAATCAGTCTTTCAGCCACTGGATACTTCAGGTAAAACTCAAAATAATATATGGCTTAGCTAAGAGATCATAAGATAATCTGATTCTTTGGGCCCCCATCCTTATTCATAAAAAAGATTGTATTATATAATTATGGGGGTCTATTCTAGACCCAAAAATTATGTGAATTCATATAAGTTTCTGAGTGGTATCATTAAAGAAATATTAAATAATTAATAACCCATACAGGATTAAAAACACTCTGATTTACCTAATATTATTTACATTTATTTGTTTATTTATTTATTCTGGTTCTGGGCATTGAACCTGGGACCTTGAACATGCCAAGCAAGTACTCTACCACAGACCTACACCCTCAGCCCTTGCTGTTCTTTATTGTGAATAGTGAAAAGACATCATCACCAGAACTAAGTTGCCATCTCAACTTTACCAATTTCCCTGCCTTTGTCATAAAACCTTTCTCCCTGGAAGTAGGTCTATGGAGGTGAAAAATCACTTGCCCTCACTATGCAGTGCTGGTCAATGAAGGAGGTCTCAATAAACTTATGCTAATTAAATACATGAAGTAAAGAGAAGAGCTGACTATCAAATTCAAGAAGTCATATGGCACTATGGTTACAATTTCGCCAAATAAACCACCAACCTACACACACATGCACAAAAGGAAATCTTGTGGGGAAAGGAGGAGAAGGAATAATGGCCAGCCCAGTGCAGCCTCAGAAAAGCCCATGCAGTCCTCAGTTTGATACATCCTCAGGGTAGGAATTCGGTTCAGTGGGAGAGTGCTTGTCTGACTTGGGAGAGGCCCTGGGTTCAAATCACAGGTCTGTAAAAATTAGTGATAAAAGAAAAACAGAACCTGTAATCATTGCCTACATCTTCACGTGTAAATGAATGATCTGAGTCACCAGTCCTCTTCTATCAGCCTTGTTACTTTGTGATCAGGTCCCCTGTGACTTGGGTTAGAATGTCCCATGGGGATCTCCAGGAATACAGCCCAAAATTAACGGGGTTTTCCAATGTGCAAATAGAACCCAAGGTCAAATTTCAAAGTGCCAACCTGGGAACAAACATCACTGTCTTCTTCATCTTTGACATCCGTCCCACAGCTCAGGCACCTCCTCTTTAAGACAGAGGCACATAGCCATCAAGGTGGATACGAGGGAGAAGCTTGAATGAACTAAAACAACAGCTGAAATGCTATTGTAAACTTTCTGCCCTCCCACATTCTAAAGGACTTTATTCCCTCAGGGGCTACAAGGCCTTCATGGACTGGGAGAAGCAGGAGGGAGACCCGTTCCCGTACTATGTCTATGGGGCTGCATGTTCGGAGGTTGAAATTGACTGCCTGACAGGCGCTCACAAGGTAACTCAAGTTAACATTGGCCCAGCAAGTTAGATCAACAGCAGAGCCGCACTGTGCAGAAAGTGGCCCAGTGTCTACAAAGGGGAAGATAATTCTCTCAATTCCAAGAGGGTTTCAATATAGTATCAAAAAGAAATGTCTATGACCAGCTGCATGTGATTAATGTGTTCAAGTTATTTCATTTCAGATGACAGAGTCACATTCCTCAAGGATAGACAGATTGTCAGAGGGGGAGATCATTTAGTAGCAGAGCTGGTGTTCATCCATAGCCCTTATTCCCAGGGCAGTACAGATATCCAAAGGAACAGATGGCGGTGGTGTGGGGAATGAAAAGAACGTTGTACCTGCTATTGATTATCAAGAAGCCACTCACTGAAGACAGGGAATGTATCTAGACAAAGTCATTGTACCATAAATGACAAACCTGTGAATTATACTTCAGAAACAAAGATGGCAGAAGTACCAAATAGAATAAAGTATAGCCAAAGTGTAGTAAGTTGTTACATTAGGAAAATAATAATGGCCGCATCATATCAAAATACTTCTATTTATTGTTAGTTAACTTATCTTCCATTTCCATTATAAGAAAAAATGTTTTTTGAGACAGGGTCTCAAGTAACTGAGACTAGCCTTGAACTCCCTAAGTAGTCAAAGATAACCTTGGACTTCCAATCTTCCTGCTGCCATCTCTCCAATGCTGGGCCTATAAGCATGTGTACGCATGTTCAGTTTATGCAAGGCTAGAGACCACACTCTGAGCCTGTGCACACTAGGCAGGCCCTCTACTAGCTAAGCCCTGCCCCCAGTCCATGAATAAGATTGTTTAAAGACTCAGTGAGTGAAGAGATGTCTGGAGAGAAATGCCCTCCTAGTTCATTCAAGTTTCTCTTTCTGATACATTATGTCAACGTGTTCTTACACTTACTTTTTTCCCTGTGGGGGGCATGTGGAGGTCAGAAGACAGCTTGTGGCAATCAACTCACTCCTTTTACCACATGGGCCCTAGGGAGCAGACTCAGATTGTCAGGCATGGCAGCAAACACCTTTTACTGCTGATCCATCTTGCTGACCTCTGTAGCTGTTTTTATTTGAGATCATCTTAAAGAGGAAAACTCATGTGATCCCAGATTGTTCATGTCTTGTTTTAGACTGTTTCCCGGTGGTTTTCACTTGGAGGCACACATGGATAATGGTATTTGTGCAGCAGTCCTGGAGGTGAGCCTGCCTCAGCCTCCCCTCGAGGGCCCAGGTGCCAGTGTCCCTGAATTCCTGAGGCTCTGCCTTAGTGGGAAGCTGGTTTTGGTGACAAGCTAATCATAAGACCCTCCACACTGACAGGTGTGTTGCCAGATTTAGCAAATAAAAAACATAGGTTGGCTAATTAAACTTGAATTTCAAGGAACTAACAAATACATTTCCAGCAGAAATATGCCCCCACGAAGTTCTTAGAACATGCTTATTTTATCTGTCAACTCTACCTAACGAATCCCTAAAGAAACAAAATAGGTTTTTTCCAATTTATGGTGTCAGAGAGTTAAAATTTTGGTTTTTTCTGTGCCTTCCAGTTTATATGTATACTTAAAGGTCCAGAAATTTCAGAATGGTGTTAAACTCTTAAAAACAGTTTGTTTTTTGCCGGGCGGTGGTGGCACACGCCTTTAATCCCAGCACTCAGGAGGCAGAGGCAGGCGGATCTCTGTGAGTTCGAGGCCAGGCTGGACCAATAGCCTCCAAAACAATACAGAAAAACCCTGTCTCATAAAAAAAAAAACAGTTTGTTTTTTAACGAGACAAAAATTCCATTAGCGAACAATAAACCAGAGACCCTGAATCGCCGGCCCACTGTGGCCAGTGCTGTAAGACAGTCCTCTGGAGATGTCTGGAGCTGGTAAGCAAAGGTCTCTGTCTGCTGAGTTGCCATCACTTTCCCTGTTCTGTCCCCACAGCGCAAACCACATCAGATGTCAAGGTAAATGTACAGTAAGGAGGGCTGAGGTGTCCCCAGCCTCCTTTCCTACCCAGGTTCAGAAAGATGGCTAATTCTAGGGCCTGAGAGGCCAGGATTTGAGTCAGAAGAGAACTGCCAACAAGGACATGCTGGGAAACACCTGTAATCTCAGCATTTGAGCAGCTGAGGCCAGAGGACCAAAAGTTCAAGACCAGCCTGGGATATATAACAAGACTTACTTTCAAAAAACGAACAAAGAGAAGGGCTGGGGATATAGTCCAACTGATAAGATATTTGCCTATCATGAAGGAAGCCCTGGGTTGCATACCAATTCCAGTACTGCATAAAACTAGGTGTGGTAGTCCATGAATGTAATCCCAACCTTTCAGAGGTATAAGGCAGAAGGATTTGAAAAGGCCAGCCTTAGCTACATGAGAACCTGTTCAAAGGAAGTAAGGAAGAAAGGAACAGGGAGGGAGGGAAAGAGGAAGGGAGGGAGAAAGTTCTAATCCAAAGACTAGAAAGGAGAAAGACAGTTTTGTTTGTTTGTTTGTGTTTTGTTTTCTGAGGCAAGGTTTCTCTATATAACAATCCTGGCTGTCCTGGAACTTGCTCAGTAGACCATTCTGGCCTCAAACTCACAGAGATCTGCTTGCCTCTGCCTTCTGAGTGCTGGGATTAAAGGCATGCACCACCAATGACCAGTGAGAAACTCAGATATTAAGCTTAAACAAAAAAAGTTGTTACCAGAATACTGGGGAATGGTAGGTAAAGGAAGGTCCAGAGGTATTCCTAAATTAGCCCAGAGGTGTTCCTGAGATAGCCTAGCCCCCTGGGAATCAACACTTGACCTCAACACTCACCTTGACTCCTTCTAAAATCTTGCAAGCCCCAAACTGACACACACTACACTATGTGATTTTCTCAGTAACATGACGATACAGCCTGCATCCAACCCTTTCAAGGACTAGATATGCTCATAATTTCTACTAGAGCAATGCAGCCAGGTAGAGAATCCAGTGGACAAGCAGGCTCAATCATTTACCAGGTGACTCACTACACACACCAACATGCCCTGGACTTTGGAGTCTCTAGCAGGAGTCAAAGCAATGCATGCAGATCTTCCAGATCATAATCAGGCCTGGCACCACATGTGAAGTTTGTCAGGTGTCTTCCCAATTCTGATGCCCGGAATAGCAAGAAGCTCTTTGAAATTCTTTTTTTTTTTTTATTATTGAGGGAGAGGGGGTACCATGTATGCCACACGAGATTAGAGGACAACTTTCAGAATTCAGGTCTCTCCTTCCACCATATAGGTCCAGGGTTTGAACGCAGGGTCACCAGCTGTGGCACCATTTGACTGTATGATCCGAGCTACCTAAAAATAGTATTTTTTTAGTGTGTGGAGGTGATAATAGGGATCAAGCCTACAGCCTTGTGCATACAAAAGCAGCAACCTAATGCTGAGATATATCCTCCACCCCTTAAAATAGTATTTTAATTCAAGTTTTTATAAAGAGGTCATTTCTGTTTGTCTCAGAAAATCAGAACAGACATTGTCATGGATGCATGTTACAGCCTGAATCCAGCCATTGACATTGGACAGGTAGGTGCTGGCCCACCTGGGTGGAAATCCCTTCCTAAGAATGGTTGAGGGGTCATTAAAGAACTTCACACAATGATATGTTGCCACACAGTTTAAAATTGTCATCCCCCTTCAGATAGAAGGCGCATTTATTCAAGGAATGGGCCTTTATACCACTGAAGAGCTGCACTATTCTCCAGAAGGGGTCTTGTACTCTCGGAGCCCAGAGGAGTACAAAATTCCGACTGTCACTGATGTCCCTGAGCAGTTCCACGTGTCCTTGTTGTCATCATCTCAGACCCCACTAACCATCTACTCATCCAAGGTAAGCATATAGACTATCCAAGTTAAGCATATAGACTAGCACCTCCACACCACAGCAGCCCAAGGAGCATGACCAGCAAAAGCCACCAGACAAAACAAAACCTGCATGCTCGGGGTTACCTGGACTAGCCCACTTGGAGACCAGCCACCTAGGGAAAACAGAGGACCAGGAAAGAGAATGAACCTCTCAGGAACAATGCTAGGCCCTGGTCTCATTAATGCTGTCTCTTCATGAAGTAAGTGTGTGTGTGTGTGTGTGTGTGTGTGTGTGTGTTTGTACTTCTTGGGAGAATAACATTTTTTATTTATAAACTTTGTCTATTTCTCTTTTTTTCCTTTTTTTTTTTTGAGACAGGGTTTGTCTGTGTAGTCCTGGTTGTCCTGGAGCTCACTCATTAGACCAGACTGGCCTTGAACTCACAGAGATTCACCTGCCTCAGCCTCCAGAGTGGAGTGCTGGGATTAAAGAAGGCATGTGCCACCACCACCCAGTTGTCTATTTCTTTCTTGGTTTTTGAGATGGCCAGAATGACCTCAAACCCACAGCATAGGCTTGAACTCTTGATCCTCCAACCTCCACCTCCCAAGGCTATGGCACCATGGTTAGCTCTCATCTAAGAATGGAGAATATAACAGAGGAAAAGCTCCAGTTCCAGCAGTAACACAGGAACATGGGTACAATCCCCAGAATCCACATAAACGTTCCGGGTGTGGTGGCATACTCTTAGAACCCCAGCACTGGGGAGACAGAGACAAGAGGACCTCTGGGGCTCTCTGGCCAGTTGGTCCAGCCTAATTGGTAAGTTCCTGGCCAGTAAGAGGCTCTGCCTCAAAGGAGATTGAGAACATTTCCAAAAACGGTAACTTGAGGATATCCTTGTGAGAGGGCCCAGGTCAGCAAGGGACACACCAAGACCAAGTTCTCAGCACAGAGGATAGGTGTTTGCCCCTGAGGGACAGGAGATGGAGGATGAGGGAGAAGGGAAAGGAACAAGTGTTGTGGGATACTTGTACACTGTGTGAAGATGTGTTGTTGTGACTGGTGAGATAAAAAGCTGAACGGCCAATAGCTAGGCAGGAAGTATAGGCAGGACTTCCAGATAGACAGAGGAAGTAGGAAGAGATGATAGAGACGTGGAAGAAGCAGGATGGGTGGCACATGACAGAACATAGCTTTTTAAAAATGGGTTAACAAGTTATGAGAGCTAGTTGAGACAAGACTAAGTTAAAGGTCAAGTTTTCATAATTAATACCATGTCTCTGTGTTGCTATTTGTGAGCTGGTGGCCCAAAGAAAACTCTGACTTCAAACAAGGAGGGGAGTATTTGCCCAGAGGACAAAGGACCGGCTCTGGATAGAGAGGAGACGGATAGGATGAGCTGGTTTGTTTTAATTGGCCATGTTAATTAGGCAGCCAAAAGGGGGCTTTTGTTTGTTAGACTTCCATACTTTGATACCTGGACCTTGGTAGTCAGCCTTGGAAGAAGGAAGTGTCCAAATAAGGGAATAGACCTTGTGGCTGGCTTTAGGGATGTAATCTATGGTTTAGCAAGGAAGGGGGATGGGGGAAGGGCAAGAACTGCCAGAGCCATGTTTGCTTGCTAGAGTCCTTCACTCTGGCCTCCACACACATGTACACATGTGCACATGTACCCACACACATACACCATTAAAAAGGGATGGGTGGAAGAATGCAGTATTGAGCTGGGTGCAGTAGCTAAAACCAGTAATCCCAGCAAAGGGTAGGTTAAGGCCTGCTTGGGCTATGTAGAGAGTTCCAGGCCAACACAGATTACCCTGTCTCAAAAATCAAACAAAAGCTAAAGAATAAATGAGATTGAAGACATGAGATACCATTGAAACCTTAGACATCAGGGAACTGAAGATCTTGTTCCTACCCAGGCCCACCATCCTCCTTTGCTCTTAGGTAAATCACCCACCTCTGAGAGACTTGGGGTCGTCAGTCAAACCCAGAAATAAATCTAGAATCTAGAACAGCTGTTGTACCCAAATTCTGAACCCCAAAATCACCAAGAGACCTGTTCCAATGCAAAAGCAAAGAGTCTTTTATTGTTTAGTGAGTCAACTGTCTTAACTCGGGTCCCTTGTCCATCTAACACAGCGGTTGGCATGAGAATGACCCAAGGGGCTTTGAGGTGAGGAATTTATTGGAAGGAGCAAGGGAGTGTCTAGGGGTATGCAACAGTCTCAGGACTGGTGCACTTCCGGACTTGGGCAACCTGCCCTGTGTTGATTGGTCAGCTGGTGGTTATGGCCTATAGGCCATCCCAGGGTGGTTGCTATGCTCTGCACGTCACTGTTATGCCACTTTTACCATAAAGCACCTCCAGAGCCCACCAGGTAACTTCTGACTGGTTCCTTGCCATGTGAAGGGTATCTGACCTCCTAGTGATTAGGGCAGGTCCTGCAAGGTCAGAAGGCCAGAAACTCAGCAACACGTGTTGAGTCAGAGGTCTACATCTTGCTGGGTCTTTCCTGCAGCCTGTCATGGCTGCTAAAGCAGGGGACTGGGTGAGAATCTGGTTCCTTCACAGCCAGTCCCAAATGTGGTGAGAATGTCCTACCCACCCCACCCCAAGACAGACAGATACCTGGGCAGGGGTAGATTGATAGCATCTAGGTGTATTTCTAGTTGAAAGAATTTGTAGGATTTTACAGCAGTGCTCAGAGGCCAGGGGTGTGACTAAGCCCTTACACCCAAGAATCATGTGGCTTCAAATGTCACTAGTATCAGGAAGCAAAGACACCACCAACCTTTATCGATGACTAAAGGGAAGGCAGAGCAAATTAAAATAAAGGTCAACTTTGTCTGCATTGCTTTATGCAGAGCGTGACAAACCTCAGGTGGAAACTTCACCAAGGTGGAAGATATAAAGTCTTCCTTAAAATCTTCTAGGAAGCTTCTAGGTAGGAGGTGCCTGTTTAACATGTGGACCTGGCTGTCAGGTTCTCCCAGCTTCCCTCAGTCCCTAGCTGCTAGAGGATATGGCTGACATACCCTACCCCCTACCCTAACTTCTCCATCCCTGGGTATGGCTGTCCTTCCTCGAGCTGCCCTTCCTATATAATCCAGTCACTTTGGTTACCTGGACCTTTGATCTTCCCCCCTGGTCTCTGTGTCTCCTGGCCCTTCCCTCTCCCCTCTCCCTTCTGCTCACATGGCCCAGCTCAGTCTGGTCATGTTTGCTCTGTACTCTCCCAAATGTCCCTGCCTCTGGCTATGCTCTCCCTTTTCTCTACAATAAACTTTCTCCTTCACCATACCTTGGAGCAGTCATGTCCTTACTTTTTAATTACTTGCTTCTCATTCAGGAGTAAGTTGATTTTCTTTCCTGAAACAAGAAAAATAACTGCAGGAATTTCATCATTTCCAAACTGAATGCCCCCCAGCCTAGATGACGACTCTGGATGTGGATTGTTAAGGCCATCACCGATCCAGAGGGAGGAGCATCGACAAGGCCTTCAGACTCTTACTGGAGTTAAGCCATCTGTGAGGGGGCGGGGGGGGGGATGTCAAAAGCAACCCAGAGCCTACAGAGAACAGCTTCAAGTCAGGAGTTCCCAGGCAGGGCAGCCAGTATGGCAGGTATGCCTATAATCCCACCACTCGATAAAGGCAGGAGGATCATGGATTCAATGCCAGCCTGGGCTGCAGAGCAAGAGCTCTCTGGAAAAAAAAACAAGGACCAAGAGGGGCATGGTGGTGTGTTCCTATGATGCTAATACGCAGGAGACAAAGGCAGGAAGGTTTTGGGATTGGATGTTCAAAGTCAGCCTAGTCTACTCCAAAGCACATTTCACAGTCTGGGTTCCATAGCAAAGCCTTGTCTCAGAAACCAAACTTAGACAAATACCCTGCCCTTTTTAACCCCGGGGAATCACAAAGAGTTCTTTCCTCTTCTCTTGAAGTCGGCAAGTTCAACCATTGACTGTTCTAATCAGGGTGCCCTTCCCTCACCACACAGAAGCACGTGTACACATCGTCAATAGGTTTTCTGCCTCCTCCCCATAACAGGTGTCTGCACCGCTACAGTAAGCTAGATCAAGCTGAATTAAAAGGGTATAACAAATGTTTACTTGAGCATAGCAACTCCTGGGCAGGTTCTCCAGTCCCAGAGAGCCCACAAATGGAAACAGGGAGATTTTATAGGTCGTAGGAGATGAGGTGATGATGTGTCCAACAGAAGCTGGGTTTGTGCCCAAATATGATCAAAAGCTAAATGCCTAGGTGGGGACTTGGGCTACTGTTGGCAACAGGGGAGGAAGTTGCAGTAGTCACCAAGAATGTGGAATTGGGCTTGTGGGCTCCTTTGTTGGAGATTCTCTAAGGGGGCAGGGTTTGAAGAGAGAGAAATAGGAATGGGACTTTCTGGATCAACAGGATTGAGTTGGCGGTTCCAACTGAACACGTGTGTGTGCACATACATGTAAACACACATGCATTCCTTACCCATAGAATAAATACTTAACCCAGAGAGAATTAAAGATCCAGAAAGTTCAGCTTTTTTAAGAGCTCTAGGAGTTTCACTTGGTCAACAAACTGGACAATAAACATTTGAGATGTTTGAAAAGTGATTTATAGAAAACTATATTCCAGGGATGAGGATACAGCATTGGACAAGATGAGGCCCTGCCCCCATATAACTTGTTGTCCACTATAGAAATTCTTAAAGCAAATGTGTTACAGAAGCAGGTGATTTCTCTGAGTTCAACCTGGTCTACACAGTGGGTTTCAGGCCAGCCAGAACCACAAAGTGATACACTGTATGAAAAAAACCAATAAATTAGATGTGTTTTCTTACAGGGCCTCGGGGAGTCTGGGATGTTCCTGGGGTCGTCTGTGTTTTTTGCCATTGCTGATGCAGTAGCTGCAGCGCGAAGAGAAAGAGACATGGCTGAGGACTTCACGGTGCAGAGCCCAGCGACCCCAGAGCGCGTGCGCATGGCCTGTGCAGATCGGTTCACAGACATGGTAGGCTGTCACTCTGTTCCCCCAAGCTCAGCTCTACTTCCTGCTCCTTTGGGTTCTTGCACAAATCATGACCTAACCTGTGTCTAGTTGATCAAGCTATAAAATGCTAAGAGTAGATCACACAGTGGAACGTGGTGGCCCGTGTTTGTCATCTCCGCAGCTGAAGGGCTGAGGCAGGAGAGTCACCAGCAGTGGTTCATCCCACTCTCGTGAACACAGCTACAATAACAGCCATCTGCCTCCGACCCCACTGCCTCCTCTGTAGGCAGAGGCAGGGACCTGGCCCCCTGGGCCTCAGGCCACTGTAAGACTGTGTTGTCTTAGCCAAAAGCTTTAACACACATGTGACTTTCAAACAGTATTCTCAGTCCCATTTTACAATTATTGGGACACCGTTTCTGGAATGGAAGCAGAGTGAGGAAACTACATGTTGTGCCCAAATTCTGAACCCCAAAATCACCAAGAGACCCGTTCTAATGCAAAAGCAGAGTCTTTAATAGCTAAGGAGTTAACTGTGTTAACTCAGGTCTTCCACCCATCTGACTCAGGGGATAGAGCAAGAAGAACCTCAAGGCAGGGAATTTATTAGGTAGAGCAAGGGGAGGGTCTAGGGGTCCACAACAGTCTCGGGATTGGTACACTTTCAGGCTTGAACGACCAGTACTCTGTTGATTGGTCAGCTGCTTGCTAGGGCTTATAGGCCCTCCCAGCGTGGTTGCTATGCTCTTTAAGCCTCTGTAAAGCACACCCAGAGCCTGCCAGCTAACTTCTGATTGGTTCCTTGCCAGGGTATCTGACCTCCTAGTGACTGGGGCAGGTCCAGCAAGTTCAGAAGGCCAGAAACTCAGCAACACGTGTTGAGTTAGAGGTCTACATCTTGCTGGGTCTTTCCTGCAGCCTGTCATGGCTGCTAAAGCAGGGGGCTGGGTGAGGGTCCGGTCCCTTCACTACGCACATGTAAAAAAGAGCTCTTTTGAGTATTCCTGCTCACCCGAGGCTGGCTTCCAACAGCCTGGCTTCTGGAGAACAGACTCCAGTGTTTCCACAGACCTAGACTGTTTTTAGCAATCTGGTTGTTTGGCAAAGCTGTCTCACACAGTGGGAAGAAGTGACTCATTTAGCTTATTCACTATTCAGGACGAGGCAGCTGGGCTCTGAGACACATAGGGTGAGACAGCACTTTCTGCCAGGTCTGAGGATTCCTAGCTGAGACTTTGTCAAAGTGTCCTTGTGGACACCAGTTGTTGTCCATGTGAGAGCAGTCTCACATTTTCTAAAATAATAGCTCCTAACATCACCTTGTGGCAGAACCTATATTTGATATAAGCTTTATACACCCTTAATCCTAGCACTAGGAAGGGAGAGGCAAGCTTGTGAGTTCCAGGCCAGCCTGGTCTACATGCGAGTTCCAGAATGTCAGAGCTACATAGTGAGACACTGTCAAATATGCAAATAAATAAACAAATGTGAAAGTAACACTTTTCTGTTAAGTTTCAAACCCTGGACAAATGGCTGAGGTGCCTATTTAACATATCAAAGCAGATCTGGTCACTAGGTTCTCCCAGCACCCAGCATCCCTCAGTCCCTACCTGCTACAGGATATGGTACCATACCCTGCCCCTTACCCTGAACTCTGCAGCCCAGGAGCTGGGCTGCCCTTCCCCCAGAGGCTCTTCCTATATAATCCAGACTTTCTGGTTACCTGCCCTTTGGATCTTTGGCTTCCTGGCTGATGCACTTGGTTCTCCTCTCTTCTGTCTTCCTTCCTCTCTCCTTCTCCTCACATGGTCCAGCTCAGTCTAGTAATGTCCACTCTGAACTCTCCCAGATGTCCCTGCCTCTACCTATAGTTTAGCTACAATAAACTTACTCCTCCACCACACCTAGGAGAGCAGCCATGTCCTCTCCATTTTATTTCTTTCTTTCATTCAATGAACACCTTGAAAAGATTAGAATATATGGAAAAATTAGACTATATGAAATCAACCATAATCCCTTCAATTAGAAATAACTGTAACTATATTGTATGTATACATGAGTATGTGGTCATGTGTGTCTGTGTGTAAGTGTGTGCATGCTCTCATGTGTTTGTGTATATAGAGGCCAGGGCTGATGCTGATACTGGGTGTCTCCCTTGATTGATCTCCATCTTACATTTTTCAGGATTTATTTATTTATCTATTTAGTTTTTGCATGTGTCTGCACGTATGTACCTGCCTGTGTGTGCAGATGTGGGCAGGGGCCCACAGAGGCCAGAAGAAAACATTGAATCCCCAGGAACTGGAGCTACAGGTGGTTGTAAGTCTGTGAGACAGCTGACATGGATTCTGGAAACCAAATTCCGGCCCTCTGAAAGAGCAGCAAGTGCTCTGAATGTTAAGCCATCTCTCCAGATACCATCATCATCATTTTTATTATTATTACTACTACTAACATTATTTTAAATACAGTTCCCTGGCTGGGCCTGGAGCTCTCTGATCAGCTGGACTGGCTCTCCAGTAAGCCCCAGAGACTCTCCTGTCCCAACCTTCCAGTGCTGAGGTCACAGCGATCACTGATGCCTCTGACCAGTAAGCCCCAGGTGTCTCCTCCTCCAGTGCTGAGGTCACCATGCACACTGCTGCACCTGGCCTTTTGCACAGGTGCTAGGGATCCCAGCTTCATCCGCTGAGCCATCCCTCCAGCTCCTGTAGACACATTTTAACCAGGTTCTACTTTGTACATGCTCACATGTACAGCGTATCTTATTTGTAAGCTCATTTTACAGAAAGGGCACACCCCAGACAGGAACTCTTGAAAGAATTTGAGTGGTACTTTCCCCCATGAACTGTCACTCAAAACTCCTTAATAAAACCAAAAAAGAACATATCTCCCCCAGTGTACTCAAGTTACAAACTCATCATCTAGGTATAGCTGGAATAACAATGCTAGGGTGGGAAAGAGTGTTATCCTACAAGTAATAAGCCCAATGCTTGGACCATGTGGAGTGCAACTATTTGGTCTTTGTGGTTGCCCTACTGACCTCATGAGTATTTGAAAGAATAAAAATATTGGCCAATCCCTGATAAGACTTGAGGGACCCCAGACTTTGGTTACAGTCATGGCAGAAAGTATGGTGGTGTGCAGGCAGACCTCCAGTGTGCTGGAGAAGCAGCTGAGAGTTGTACATCTGAATCCACAGGCAGCAGGAAGAGAGAGTGACACTGGGCCTGGCTTGGGATTCAGTGGTGGTTTGAATAAGAATGGCCCCTATAAGCTCATAGATTTGAATGCTTGGTCACCAGGGACTAGCGCTATTAGGAGGTGTGGTCTTGTTGGAAATGTGTCATTGGGCGTGGGCTTTGAGGTTTCAGGTGCTCAAGCCAGTTCCAGCGGTAGCCCCCCCTCTCCCCCTGCTGCCTGTGGACCCAGATGTAGAACTCTCAGCTCCTTCTCCAGCACATGTCTGCCTCCATGCTGCCATGATGACAATGGACTGAACCTCTGAACTGTAAGGCAGCCCCAATTAAATGTTTTTCTTTATAAGAGTCACTGTGGTCATGGTGTCTCTTCACAGCAATAGGGCATTAACTAAGACATGTTCTAAAACACCGAAGTCCACCCCTAGTGACATACTTTCCTCCAGCAAGGCCACACCTCCTAATCCTTCTAAGGAGTGTCACTCCCGAAGACTGAGCATTCAAATACATGAGCCTATGGGGGCCCTTCCTATTCAAACCACCGCATGCTCTTAAGCTGATCACCAGCAAAGAGGATGTAACTCAAAGTCAGCCTCGAGTGAAGTGTCCCAAGGAGAGCAAAGAGGACAGTGACAGAAGACCGAAACACACAAAATAATCTTCTGCAGGGAATGTCAATGCTTCTCTATCCAGTGGGGAATAGCAGTGGATACATACTTGTGACACCAGCCCTTGGGAAGCTGAAGCAGGAGGATCATGAATTTGAGACCAGGTCTACATAGTGAGACCCTGTTTTAAAAAACAAATTGTGTGAGGTGTGTATGTATGTGTGTATGTGTATGTATCTGTATGGAATTTATGTACATGGAATGGCTGTGTGTGTGTGTATGCATATGTATGGGATTTATGTACATGAAATGACTGTGTGTGTGTGCGCGCGTGTTCGTGCGTGCATGCATGCGTGTGTGTGTGTGTGTGTGTGTGTTGTGTGTATATGTATTATGTATGTATGTATGTATGTATGTATGTATGTATGTATGTATGTATTAAAGGCTCTGCTGCTCCAGATCCCTTTCCTGGCATTCTGTAAACAGCTTGAGTTCAAATCAGGGACAGAGAAACAATGAAACACATACAGAGTATTTCTCACCACCACTAGATCAGCTCGGGATGCAGAAGGTCTCATGGGGACTGTTGGCATAAAGCCCTTGAGGGAGCTGAGCTGCATCGCTGAGGAGTGGGCAGGAAACACACACAAGGCAGCTCACATACGGTAAGGAGGCAGAGGCATTCCTATCAGGGGAGGAAACAGAAGTCTATGGGAACAGGGTTTACTCCGCAGGATCGGTGTGAGAAAGCCTACTTTACGCAAGTTACAATCTCATGAAGCCCAGTCTGACCTCACATTTGCTATGTAGTCCAGCATAACTTTGAACTCCTGGTCTCCTTGTTGTTCTTTTGTTTAATTTAGAAGGCATGAGATGGAACACGAACACGAGACCCATTAACCATACAGTTTATTAAAGGAGAGGAGGAGGAGGAGAGGGGGGAGGAGCAAGAGAGATGAAGAGGGTAAGAGGAAGGGGATATGAGAAGAGCGAGAGGTGAGAGCAAAGAGGGGAAGAGAGGAAGGGGATATAAGAAGAGAGCGGTGTGGGTCTGTCTTTCAAAGGGGTCCTTTGTACCTGCTTGCAGACTCATGGAACCCTGGGCTGACTAGAGTACTGCCTGAGTGCGTTCTGCCAGGTAACAGGGGCAGGCTAGCATAATGCCTGAATCCTTTCCCTCCTGCCTCCACCCTTCCAAGTGCTGGGTACAGGT